GAGCGGGCAAGCGCCTGCGATCGCCTCGCGAAGGTATCAGCGCTGGGCGGAAGGAGAGCCCGCGGGCACAGCAGTGGCCGCTCCAGGATGTATGGGTGAGCCCCTTGGGCATGAAGGGGTGGCCGCGTCGCCTACACTGCCAAGGGAGAAGCCGAGCCCGCCGCGCCGCGCCTTCTTCGAGGCAGTAGAACTAGAAACAGGGGAGGAGCCGCCAGAACTGCCAGAACGTGGGGCGCGTGAGCTATCACGAGGACGAGAGTACAGCCGCGAGGCGTGAAGACGTAGCACCAACGGGCAAGAAGAGGAGAGGGAGCCCACAAGCAAGGAGACCGGCGACGCCATAAGGAGACTCAAGACAGGCAAGGCGGCAGGCGGGGACCAGCTGAAGCAGGAGCACGGCGAGCCACTGAACGCACCGAACAAGGACAAAGCCAGAGACAAGACGCGCAGGCATTGGCAGGAAGGAGCCCCAGAGGAGGGCGGGGCTGGCTCATTCACCGCAGTACCCCCAAAGCCCGGGAAGGATCACAGCAGCGCAGCAGGCTGGAGGCCAATCGCATTACTGAACTTCTTCGCAACGGTCTGCGCGTCTGTGCTATGCGTCAGGTTTGTGGGCCCAATAGACGCAGTCTGCTCGGAAGCTCAGGCATGGCGCAGACCATACGGGAGGGCAGTTGGCAACGCGCTGGCGCTAAAGTTAGCAGCACAAGCATGGACGGCGGTAGGCCGCTCGGCCTCGGTGTGCTTTGTAGATTTGGCGCAGGCCTTCGACATTGCGCCCAGAAAGGTAGCACGCAAGCACTAGCGAGGGCCTTCGAGGCATACCCATACGCCATAACGCACAAGCTCCGTGAGAATTTCTGGGCGTTGTACAGGGGGCAGCGCTTCGCAGTAAGGAGGGAAGCAGCCGGCAGCGAGACTGACCAGAGAAACAGCGACGGGGACAGGGTGAGGCTGCTTACTCTCTCCGCTAATCTTCAGCATGTGCATCAGTTACGTGCTGGACAGAGCCCGCCGACCCCGGAACAAGAGGAGCCAAACGAAACTGCACCGGATGAGGCTAGTCGAGTGGGATGAAGGGACTGGCGCGGAGGGAGCAAACTGACTAGGCCGTCTGTTATTAGATGCGTGCGCGACTACCTAGCAGAGAGCGCGGACAGCTTGCAGGAGGCAACGCGGCGGCTTGTCGACGCGGTGCCTGAGTACGGCCTTGCAGTAAGCCTCGCCATTTGTAGAGTTTAGCGGCCGGGCGGGTGACGGGCAGGCACCAGGTGCGCTCGCTCTGTCGCAGGGCCAGCGAGAGCGGGCGCAGGAGTTTGCCTACTTGGGCAGCGTGCTAGCACAGGACGGAGGAGATGAAGCCGGCGCACTCGGTAGAATAGAGGGGGCGCGGAAGAAGTCTCGGGAGCTGTCCAGGGTCTTCGCGCGCGCAGGGATCCGGCGGCCCGGGAGCGGAGGAGACGCATACTCAGGGCCTTCGTGCTGCTGGTAGTGCTCTGGCTCGGGGGATCAGAGGCGTGGACGCTAACAGCAGGAACGGGGGCTGCACTAGACATCGACCCGGTACGTAGGGCAAGAAGCTGCGGTCTTGCATAGGCGCCACAAAGGAGGACCACTCAGGGACTGAGGACCTGCCGGAGAGGACGGGGCAGGGGGGGCCCCTCGGCTATGTGGTAGAAAGGAGGCGCCTCAGGTACGTCGGGCACTTAGTGCGGCAACCCCCCAACAAGGTGGGCCAGGATAGCCCTAGCAGCCGAAGGAGAGCAAAGCCGCAGCAACAACAAAAAGAGAGGAGCGCCGTGCGCGACCTGCAGGAGGCAGCAAGCATACAGCTGGCGCTGACCTCAGGGCAAGAGCGGCACAGCTAGAAGAAGCCGCAGACAGAAACCGCCGGGCGCAAATGGTAAAGGAAAGGCTTGGCCCTCGTCGTTCGGTTCTATATCAGGGCCAACAGGAACAGTCGGGAAAGTGATGACAACCCAACAACAAGCTAGCCGAGCGGGTAGAATTCGCCAGGGAAATCCTAGGCAGATAGCCGAGTAGATTCGTGTCGTCAAATAATTGGACTGCTTGCGTTTTTTGTGTTTTTGTTTCATTCTTCGTCTGTGTTGGTCATGATCGTAATCCTTGAAACTTGACGAAGGTCCACAAAGATCAGACGGATGAAAATCATCAAAATGACCAAGATCGCCAGGCGAACAGGGTAACCCACTGGCGCCACTTTCAACGCGTTGGCTTTAGTTGGCGCGGGGGTGTGTCGGCGGTTTCTCCCTTCTCTCTCTCGTTTGTTGTTTCAAGTCTCTCAACACAGTCAAGGACAAAGCACCGCCGGAAAGATCTCCAGGCAGGAAATTCACAGACCTAAACGCATGTGGTTCCAAAATCAACGATCAACAGACAAAGGGCCCCCAGCGTTCTCAGATTGCTGAAAGTAGTGAACTTGCATAAACTGCAATCGGGTCCGTGTCATCTTGTCAGTCTTGCGCAGTTCGAAGCACATCAAGGGCCGTCGTAGGGTGCTCTCGCGCTAGGTCTCGCGTGGTGTGATCTGATGCGTGTCCGTCTATCTAAGGCCACTCAGTGAGATCCAGACGAGTATCTGCGTAGGATGATCAAGCGAAGGCAATGACGACAAGCGAGAAGCGTTTCCATATGAAGCGCGTGGAACTTCCTCGGTCGTGGTATCCCAATGCAACCCCAACGAATATCCACAGGGATCAAACCAGCCAGAGGCCACTAGTCTCAGGCTGTGGGTTCAATTTGCACCAAGCTCAGCGCTTCTCACCGAGAAACTGCGCGTGACTTAGCAGCTTGCGTTCTTGTGGTCCAACTACAGTCTGACTACCCTACGTGCTCCGCTGGTTTTATTAAGCAACTAAAAGCAAGAGACTCTGCCTGGCAATAAGAATTAGAATAGTTGAGTTTATGCAGCCTCCTCCCATAGCAGGACTTTGCTAAGATTTTGCCCTTTCACTTTTAGAGGTGTGCTGCAAATCTAAGCTGGCTCCTCCCTTTTCATAAGATCGGGGCTTAGGTCCAGCGGCGCTCAATCTCAAAGGAGCACTAAAGGAAAGCAACTGGTGAGTTTTCAACACCCCTATCGGCTTAGCTCTTCAAACAATCTATTTCCAAGTAGACGCGGACACCTGACAAGGCTGGCAAGTGGCAACCTACACTGCAGGTAAGAGAGAACCTCCAGCCTCCAAAGCTCTGAAGCCGTTCTGAGTTGTCCGCTCGGGCGTTGTTATGGGGGCCGTGTGTCTTTGGCGACGTTGTTTTGTCATTAGCGGAGACGGGCGCTTGTGTGTGCCGGCCTCGTCCTTGTTATCTGAGTCCTTCATTCTAGTTCACCTGCTGAGCGCTGGTTCTGCGAGTCGGGCACTGCGTGCCGGCGTCGTGGGCAGCGCTATCCGCGTTCATGAATTTGGCAGCAGAATGCCGACCGCGCCAGTATTCGGTGCTCTGTGTTTAGTCAACCCGGGGGGGCCTCATCGGTTCGGCGGGGCTTAGTGACTTGAGAGTTTAGCTCGCCCCGGGTGCAAGGGCTGACTCGTCCGCCGTATTTTGGCCCGCAGTTCGTTCCGTGCGGCACTTTGTTCGGCCCGGGATCAGGGGGCTGGGGACGTGTTTTCCCTTCATCGAGAAAACCTTCGGAGCAAATCTCCTGCTGATTTTACGTTAAGACCAAGACCTAAAACCAGGCTCCAAAGGATCCACAACCACATGCTTGGTTCTCTAAGTACTTATAAATATATTATAGTTATATATTTATTTTTATTGTCCTCGACGCCTCCATTTTCGTGGAGTCGTGTGTTCCTCTCGGTGGGCTGGTTGCACCATAGTAAGTAGTCTTTTTCTAAATTCGATGGCTAGGCAGGCTCGTGATGATGCCACAGCTTTCTTCCAAGTTATTCCTACTGCGGCCGACTCCTGGAAGAGTAAGTGGCTCGAGTGGGCTCTCGATGGGATTGGGGGATGCGTGATCCTAACTCGCGTTGACGTTGCCACGACCGCGGATTCCAGTGTGAGGGATTGGCATTTGTTCGATTTCACCGAATATCGAGCGTATTAATAAACTTGGAGATGATGATGATGATGATGATGATCACGAAGATCCGGAAGTCAATGCTGCCAGCGCGTCTTCCGGGACTGTTATGCGACAGGACTTGTGATAGTAGGTCAGACCAAGGAGCTCACGCAGGTGTAACTTTGTTACGATATATGTAATTCAGTGCTCTATAGGTATACTATAGGTGGTATAATTATAGACAACATCTGAGCTTCTCGATCTTTCTGTCCCTCTCCCTTTCTAAGCACGACACTTACAACACACGTCGACGAGCATAGTAAGCCTCGCAGGAAATAGTGAAATGACTCTGCTGGGATAGTGAAACGACTCTGGGTCTTCGCTGCAGAGGACCGATTGGATATCAGAAGCAGGGGCTTTGGTGGGGAATGAAATTAATGGATCATACTTTTTCTTTTTACATGAATGAAATTAAAAAGCGGGATGAGGTCGCCTGCTATGATTACAACGTACAACTGGAGGACCACAGGGGTTTTGCCTTGTTGACTTGCACTTGAAGAATTTCCCAGCGAGCGGAATCATGCACCGATCAAGAAAGCTATGATGTTGATGAAGACAAATAACGCACACAACGCGATTCTTGAAAGCACAATCTGACACCACAACCAGTTTTGCTTCTCAGCCATCTGAAGATGTTACAATTATTGAAATTCGCATGCGCCCAGCGCTTTCTGGCCGCCATTTGGTTGCGCTAGATATGGCGAATTTGGCCAGCACTCGTGTCCGGACAGCCAAAAAAGTGTAAACAACGAGAAGAAATCATGATCATGAGAGTGGATCTCCACCAAAACGCAGATTACGCATCGGTGATGAATAAGAACACGTAAGTAACCAAGTAGTAAGTAAGTAAGTAAGTAAGTAAGTAAGTAAGTAAGTAAGTAAGTAAGTGAGTATAAGTAAGTAGTTTCCTCAGCCTTTTTTTTAGATGATAGATTTCATCCTTTTCCTCTGCGAGGCCTAGCCTTCGAACTTTCTGGTGATCGCCATGGATAGATCCATCTCCTTCTGTAATCCACCTCTTGTTTAAAATAGTCATCTATTTCAATTTCTATGTATAGATCGTCATAGAATTAGAAATAGAAGCATAAGTACTAATATCGGAAGAAAAATCATGGCAGAGTCCTACATGGCGGATGTAGGAGCCGTAGTCGATTACGCGCAGCGGCCGAGCGAGCCCGTTCGTTTGCAGTCCTTTGTCCAGCTTGCTTCGTTCCATGTCGGCAAGGATCCAGGCGACGAGTCAGAGCTGGTCGGGGGGCGCGTTCGACTCTGGCTCTACTGGATCGACCACCGAGTCGCGAACTGGCCTGAAAACACGCCTCTGCCGTCCGCTTTGTGGCGGCCTGAGTGCGGCATCATGTGGCGGCTAAAGCGCGTCCTCGACGACGACGAAATCGCGAAGAAAAAGAGCAGTGTAGTTGTCACTAACACTACGGCTGAACAGAAGGAAAGCCAAGAAGCAGCGGCTGGGTTTCAGCACATGCCACATTAAGGCTACTAGTTTTTCACTATCTCGACTTTACTCAGGTCACCGGCCTCGGTGCACGACGTTGACTTTATTCAGCTCGCCCAATCAAGATACATGCGCTGTGCCCATCTTGCGTATGCTGATCACGATAACGATAGTGACGAATACCGCGACTCTGCCTTCGATCGAATCCTCTTTCGCCAATCCGGGGGTTTCAAAAAACGTCACCTTGCAGTCGCTGGCAATGGACGATGCGTGTCTGAGCCAACGTCGAGTAGAGCAAGAAAAACTGTTGTTATGTAGAGGACGAGTGAATGTGAAAATCGAATATACATGCTGTTGTGGCTGTTGCGATCCTTTGTTCATCGTTGTGTAAAAAAAATCATGATGTTTGAAGTCTTTCTTCTACTTCTTCTGTTGACCACCACTACATGATTAGCAGATAAATGAACGTGCAGCACTCCGCCGACTCCAAGTCCAACACGAGCACTCCATCATGATCTCATGTCATTGACCCCACTTCAACGACACCTGCTTCAGCAGAAACCAATGCCAGAAAATCCAAAGATGTCGATATCGGCGGACCTGAAATTGTTGTGGGAACTGACGACACTCGACGGGCCGTCGTGGTGTCTGTCAGAGGAACTGCGTCGGTCGACGACTTAGCCGCGCTTTTGATGATAGGCACAAGGACTCTACGGCTTCCGCGGTTTCCTCTGGAACAGACTAAAATTAAGGTCCACATTTAGTGTAGTCCATCTTGCTCAGCATCTCGATACCCTTTTGTTTCCCTTGTATTCTTGTCATGGGAAGATGAGAAGGGGTCGAGATGAGGGCACCGAGAAAGATGGGTGAAGGCTGACTCTAATAAAAAACGGGACAAGAAAGGAACCGACGATCTGGTCCTAACGTTTCACGAAGGCATCTTCGCGAGCGCCATTTACACCTTAGACCAAACGTTTGAGGTGTTGCGCAACATCCTGCACGAAAAGAATGAGCGGAGCGGTGAGGAGTATGATCGAGTCGTATTCTGCGGCCACAGCTTTGGTGGCGGCGTTGCGCAGGTCGCAGCACTGCTATTTCGACATCTCTTGCTGGCGGAGCAAATCCATCTGACAAATCGAATGAGAACGTCAAAGACGAAGATGAAACAAACGAAGATGATGTTTTCGAAAATGAAGATGCGGAGACCACGCGCAACGACCAAAGCTCGTGTGGCTGTACAACATTTGACGACCAAGAAAGCGCCCTCATCTGCCAACATGCATGTGGAGCTTCAAAAGTTGCATGTTGAAGCGTGGAGCTACGCCGGGCCACCGGTGGTGCGGCGACCACTGCAAGAGGAACTTGCCACAGCTGAAACGCTATCACAGGCCTTCGAAAGCATCACGGATCCGCGTCTTGCCGCGTTAGTGCGGCATGCAGAAGCAGTCGGTAGTTTCACGCAAGGTCATCACAATAATTATCATGTTGATCATGGTGCCTCTAAATCCATTAATATGACGAGTACCAACATCAAGAACAAGGACGATCTTTTGCTAGATTTCTCAAAAATGCTGAGTCTTCCTTCCAGCAGTTCCACTCCTCCAATCGACAGTGCGAATGGCAACAGCACAACTACATCGAGTAACCCCTCCAACCTCTTGTTTCTTGAGCCGCTAGTGACACTCGAAGCCTACCCTTTCGTCATGGAGCACGACCTTGTGCCGTCACTCAGCGTGGGAAGCTTGATGCGGTTGCTGATTAGCCTGCGCGAGATCGATCGGCTCGGTTGGAGTCCCTTACAGAAACTGCAGTACATTGTCCAGGCTGAACTCGCTGACCCATCACCTATGCCTAGTTCTGCAGGTGGAGCTGGATCAGGATCAGGATCAGGATCAGGATCAGATCCGCGCAGCAGAAGCACCTTTGTTTCGTCTTCCTCAGTGGCATCTTCAGGCTCATCTACTACAGCGAGACGACCGTCCTCGTCGTCGTTCACGAACCAGTCTGAACCGTCGCGGGAAACTTACCTGAGCAAGCTGTTAGCTGCGGCGACTGATGCGGCTCAAGCATGGGAGAGATGGGAGGCCTTGCCAAAAAACTGGCAATCTTCTCGAACAGGGGAACAAAAACTACAAGATGAAGAAGACACAGATGATACGACTAGTCTTCTCGGAGTAGAAGGAACAAGAGGACGACGACAAGATGAAGATGATAATATCACGACGAGTATTCCATCTTCATCTTCACACTCAACAAACAAGTCTAACAAGTCGATGTCTAATAAACAACCTAGGACCAATAGTAGTACTGCTAATACTAGTACAACTACTTCTACGAGAGAACAAGATGACAGTATTCACGGTTCTTCCTTTGCGCGAAGCTTGTTAACGCGAACGCTTTCTAGCTCTGTCGCCTCCAGTTTGTTGAACCGCGTGGTGCAAACCAAGAGCGTTTCTTCCCCAGCAAAAGCGAAAGCGCTGCAATTCCTAAGTGAGGATGCGTGGGACCATGACGATGCCTTAGGTAGTACGACGTCCAGGCTGACGCAGGAAGCGCTTGCTCCGACCATAAGAGCAGACTGCATGCAGCACGTGGCATACACCTCAATTTTGAATGGTGGCCCTGCGCTTTTTCGAGAGACGCATACAGCAGAAATGCAGGACATCAAGCACAAGGGCAACCGCATGATGTTGACGGGAAAGCTAGGCATCAAACAACTACTTGTTGAGAAGCACGATAAAGAAGTTCTACACTTATCCTGGCTCATTTGAAGATTTGTTCATAATCATATCAATCTTAAAACTATAAGGCATCGGCATCATCTTCAACGTGCTTTCAAGGAGAATGAAAACACTAGAGAGATACATTCGAAGATGAATTTAGTGAAGCTCTAATACACGTGGAGGTGCCCGACCACGAGGTGGACCATCATTTAACGTATTTAGAAATCTCGCCTCAGGATGGAGGACGTGTTACAGCTCACCGACTGTTAAAGTTATGGGTGTTGTAGGGAATTCATCATCTCCACATGAGTCATCTGAAAGTGAGACGAAAACAAGACAAGAAGAAAAAGAGAGCCAGACGATTCCTGAGATGAATCCCCTATAGTATAGCTCCAATAAATGAGGTGGATGCGGAATCCACTTTCGCCACTTGTCCTTCGCGCAACGTTTTAGGTTGGCGCACTATTCCGGTGGGAGCCGATGCCACGAGCGCGCTTCAGGAAGTGTTATGCAGCAACATTTTCTCCTTTGCCGATGCACTTCAAACTCAAGTTTAATTGATCAAGATCAACATTTGAAGAAAAGATGATGAAGAATTATAATTGAATGGATCTTGTTTGTGCTCCGATCCCTTTCTAAGCATGACACGCGCGCACGTCGACGACCATAGGGCGGCGGCTTACGAGAATGCATTGCAGGAAATAGTGAAAAGACGCCGGGTTTCCGCAGCACAGGAGCGACTGGATGTCAGAGGCAGGGACTTCGCAGAGGAATGAACTGAATGAATCAACATCAGTAAGTAATTTCAACATGAATAGATAAAAGGGGCTGGCAGATATTGATATTAAGTATGCTCATTATACCAGAAGAAGGGAAGCAAATATATATATACAAACTTAAAGAACTATCAAAAGTTTGCAGGAGAAAATGAACACATCGCGGAGAGAAGGCTAGGACACACTGGTGGATGTAACATCCTTACTGCAACTAGTACTACTAGTAACACTGACGAGAGAGAGCGCAGTAGGACTCTATACCTGAGATCGAGAGTGAGACAGAGAGAGCGCAGTAGTACTCTATATTAATACCTGAGATCCTGATCATCCACGGACTTGAACTTGAGCTGGAACCTGATCCATGGACTTTCAAAAGAAGGAGACCATGCTCGTGCTTCTTACACAGGATAAGGCTTTTGATAAACAAGCAAAAGAGCGAGCTCGACATCACAGGAGTTTTGTTTTGACCTTCTTGATGTTAGTTTCTTTTGCAATTAGAGTAATAATATGTAATTACACAGACAACTTAGGCATGACGTCATGATGAGAGACGCCAATCTTTCACGGAGGGGACGAGGGGGAGGCAGTCTCTCCTTTCTTTATCCGGTCACGTACACATGATTGAGTCTTAAGTACTTATTGTCATTGAAAACATAAACATTATGCGAGAGAAAAACAAAAAGATGCGCTGTTTTCTTGTTGCCTCTTTTCCGGCGTGTGCGTTCGCTGAGCTCACGAACAGCCGACGCGCACAAGAAGTTGACGCGTCTGGTGAGACAATAGATGCGAGTGATGATACTCTTATGGAACACACGACTTGATTGAAGAACTACCCAGTTTATTACACATGAAGGGTCATTATTTCACTTCAATGGCTCACATGTAGGGCTTTGAGCGAACAAGTTTAAGTTTTGCAGTAACTTGGGATCAACATTCACACAGTAGCGCCATATATTTGTACCAATGATGTTACAGAGCAAGTCATCTTTTCCTCTCATTACTGCGGGCGCGGATTCCAGTGGAGACCGGAGCCGGAGCGGCCATATAAAAGAACAGCGCGGCCATATCGGCGAAGTTCGCCGCCACGTGACCAACAAGCGGAGGCGGAAGACGAACAAGGTCGACAACCCTTTTCTACAACTACCCGGCTGGCCTTTGCCAAGTGGTACACAGAGATAATATATGTTTGTAGTACAACAGATATTTTATTAGCATTGATGCCAGTCTTGTTCCTCCACTGAAGAATACGTTTATGGTTCTTCGCAAGAAGTGTTATTCTTTTGGGCATATCCATTTCATCCCTTTACAAAACGAAAAACTAGCTTTTCCTTTTCTCAACTCAGGTGAAGATGCAGAAGGGGACGCTTCAGGAAGAAGTAGTTGGGTTCAGACGCACACTGCCGGTGGCGTGGGCGACGCACTCGTGTACGGCAGTCCAAGCATACCGATAGCAGGAGTGTACAATAACTCGACCCTTACGAGTTTTGGTTTGGACAATTCGTTTCTGGAAAAGATGATAATCTACTTTAAGGCGAATGCGAATGATCCGGGTGCAGCTTCTCCTGGTTCTGTTGCTGGCGACGACGCCTCAGCGTCGCGTAATATCGCTGGAGGTGCGGGATCACAGCCACAGGGTAAGAGCACACACAATTCGCTTTCGGTGACGGAGGAAGGCTTGAAAGCGAAACAGACGGGAATCTCAGGGGCGAATGGTGGCGGCGACAAGGCTGCACCAGCACACACTGACAATATCAAACTGCCAGAAGGCATCAGCGAGGAATCGCTGCTCAGCGTGGACATCAGAGAAATGATCAAGCCGGGGATTCTGATTCTCGATAGAAGAAACATCGGCTTTTCCGAGAGATTGTGGCGTGATGTGGACAGACCAAACGCCCCAGCTGACGGGGCGGCGAACATGGAGGCCAAGAGCCTTGAGGATGTCGCGAAGGCGTTGAGCATCGACTTCGGCGTGCTGGTGCAATATATCAAGGCGTCCAGCGCATTTGTCAATGCGGTCGCCAAAACGCTCGCAAGCAGTGAACAGGAAGCAGCTGGTTCTGGTAACTAGAAACACTTTTTTGTCCATTGTTGGTTTCGTGAAAAAGTAGCTTAGTCCAACTAGTTTTCCAAGATCTGGATATGCATATGATTTGTACATATGTTCACTGTGTTCGTCCCCCATTTTTCTATACCAGATGTATTAAGCACGGATGGCGGTGTTCGTAAAGAGAGCACATCTACTTCTACATCTACTTCGGCTTCGAGTGATGAGGCCCCCGCGGAGCAGAAAGGCACCACGGAACATACGACAACCTCGAAGGCGGATGGTGGCCAGGGCAAAAATACTGGCATCGGGAAGGACGAATCGCAGCTCAGCGTGGACATCATCTTCGAAAGGATCAGGCCTGGGATTCTGATTCTCGACAGGAAAAACGACGGCTTCGTCAAGAGAGCGAACGCCATAGCTGACAGGCTGAAGCTGAACAATGACGAGAGAGAGACCAGAACAAGCCCTATTCCGGGTATCGCTCTGGCGTTGGACATCGATTCCAGCGTACTGGTCCAGTATATCGAGGCGTCCAGCGCATTTATCAGCGCGGTCCAAAATTCGCCCGCAAACAGTGAAGAGGAAGCAGCTGCTGGTCCTGGTAACTAGAAACACTTTTTTGTCGATTGTTGGTTTTGTGAAAAAGTAGCTTTGTTCTACGAGTTTTCGAAAATCTGGATATGCATACTTTTATTCAAATGTTCATTGTGGATGTGGTCCTCCCCCATTTTTCTATATCTATACCAGATAGAGATCGAGCTTCCGCTTCGGGTCCCGCCAAAGCGCCGAATGCTGGAGCGAGTGGTATTGAGATCCGAAACGCGTTCAGTGGTGGAATATTTTACAGAGGAAGCGCAGAAATGTCTCTACGACTGAGGAATATGAATATTCTAAGCCTGAAGCTTTTCCTGTTTTTGCGTCACGGTGTTCGTACGACTTTGGTGTCTGCCAAGAAGCATGAACCACTAGCGGATGAGGACCTCGTGGATACTGTGCTGAACAGAGGCGATATTGCGAGCGTAAATGTGCCACCAGTAGGTATAATTTGGTGTCCGACTTATAGAGGATAGGAAAAATGTGAAGACAAGCAAACTGTGTACTCTATGACGGAATTCCGTGGTCTGGGAATTCATCCTAACCTGCACGGGTCGGGTGTGGGTGAGAAAATAAAGAATACTTAGTTTAGTTCGCAAGGTGAGGCTTTCTCTCATGTCCGTGTGCTGTTACAGTATATTGACGACGTGTTTGAGTATGGGTTTATAATCCGCTCCCACATCTACTACAACCCAGATTTTTCGACGGGTTGGATTTCTGCGGCATATGCTTTAGCCACTGCGATGGCCAAGCAGGCCGACACCCCATGGAATATACCGGTGGAGGACGATCAAACCGCGCTAGACATGGGGACGAAAGTAATCGAATGCCTTCATCAAACGGCAGCGCAGGGTAGAAGTACGTTGTCACTACCAAGACCATAAAAATAAATCTAAATGAGAAATGTCCTGAAAATAAATGCATTCTGCTTCCCTTGTATTTCGTCAGCAGACTGGTACTGGCCTGACTACACTGAAACTCGTCCAGGTATTGAAGGGAGCACCCAAGTCGGTCAGAGTATGCTGGAGTTGCGGGGTGAATGTCGTGATACGGGGATGAAGATACGGATGTCGAATGGAAGAGGAAGTAAGGATCTCGTCGCCCGATGGACCATGGTGAGAGGCGGCTCAGAGTCAACAGAAGCGAGAGGCCCCATAGGAAGTCTTGGCATCCAGTCGTCCTCGAACAAGTGCAGCAAGTAAGAGACAACCAGCTTCCGAAGGTCCTAAGCAGTTCCGAGCTGCTCGCTTGGGTGTTGTTCTGGGGCTTCCGTGCTTTTTGCGTTGTTATTGCTTTGGCATCGGCGGAGGCGGGTGTCTGTGTACGCCGGCCTCCTTGTTGTCTTGGTCTTGTTCTTCCGTTTGGCTTGGGCAGTGTTTCTGCGAGGCGGAAACCGCGTACCAACGTCCTGGGCAATAGTCGCCGCCCCCATGGATTCAGCACGCCTGCCGCGGCTCGTGCTCGTCTTTGTTGATTAAAGGGCAGCGACGCCCCTATTATTCGGAACTGTGTACTTAGCTATTTTTCTCTCAACCCCGGGTGAGTGATTAAAGGTCACCGAGATGGCATGCTGTCGGAATAGAAAGAATAGTACCTAGTTAGTATTTTGCGAAGCGACGTGGATAGAAGATGAGCTCGGTCCACGAGACTGTCCCAAATCAGTCGAAGGGCCCGGCCTCTCGCATGCGGGTGCGTTGGCTGCCGTCTTAGCACATTGAAAAACCCCCCACGGCGTAGAGTGTCGGGCGGCTAGGTTTCGCGCGCCCATCTTCATCCGAGAGAGACTAGATCTGTCGCCCAATGAGTTCCTGGGGGGCTGTTCAGAGTGAGTGGCTTTAGATTACTTAGTTTCCGTATCAGTTCGTCTCATGGTGGCACCATTTGAAGAAGACAACGAGGCGACACTCTAGCGCGCGACGAAGGTCGCGCGGTGAAAGACCTGCCAAAGACTAGCCCACGCTGATCAGGACGCTTCGCGGCACCTTTGTGATAGCAAAGTAGCATAATGATACGGAATCCAGCCAAACATTCACGACCTTGCATCATCACTAAATTGCACAGCACTAGGCGGTAGTCTATGTCTGGCGAAGGCCTCGGGCATGCCACCAGACCTGACAGCCTATGGCAGACCTCTGATAGATAGTCGCGCGCTTTATATAAGTAAACGCTTTTAATAATAAGCGATCCCATTTGCAGCTTAAATAATGGTAGAGCTAGAGCGCCTCGAAGTCGATGCTTCTACTAAGATTCTACATCTGGTGACGCCAGCGTGATAAGTATAGTGCCCCCCTTTCTTGCCAGCAGAGAAATTAGGGGACACAAATGTGCTGGCGCGTTTGCGTTTCTCCTCTTAGTATTGCGTTCGCTCTGGCCCTCGTGGTGTCGTGTGGCACTTTGTACTGCTTGTAGTCAAGAAGCTGGTGACGTGTTCTTCCTTCATTAAGAAACTCTTGGGGATGGGGCCACACCAGACTCAGCATCAGGCTTAAGAACAAGACCGAAAGCCAGCCCCCGTAGACCCAACACAACTCGACGGCGCCACGTCGAGGTCCTACGTAGGCCAGTCAATTAATTAGTGCAGCGGCTCTCTCACTCTCGGATTCTTTCTGTCGAGGTGCTGTCGTGTTGTCTTCGGCAATTTTCGTAGCGCTGTTGGTGGACAAGAGAGGCATATCGCCGCACCCCTCGACCGCCTTAGTCAACTTTGTCTGAAGGCCCACAAGGATGACCCAGCAAGGCAAAGGCCCTGCGGGGCTTCCATCGTCCGCGCCACCACTTCTGCGCCCGTACCGTTGAGTGCAAAAGCAAAAGTGGAGCCAGAGCCACAGGAGTGCGCCGCTCCTTGTGCCTTTTAAAAAAACTCGCGCACGGCGGGTCCCTCGGTTGTTGTCGAGATATTTGCGCGTGGCTTCCTTGAAGAGCAAGCCTGGCTCGCTGTGCGGCTCCTTATTTCCGCTTTTGGTTCAGATAGTGAGTCGTCACTACTTGGGGTGTGTGTTGTTTGACCCCTAGGCCTAGACCGTCCCCTCTTTAGCTGTAGCGGTGTATGTTGGTCTACTGTCCGTCGTCGCGGTGTGTTCGGTTCGGGGGGTTGGTTGCATAGTAGTCTTTAATATTCTCAGGACGTGCCACAATAGTAGAAGCCATGAGCAAGGAGTTCGACGCCTCTTCCCACCTGAACGATATGATCGCACCAAAGGAGACGAGGAATCCGACGCGGCTCTTCTTTTTGTGGTCGTTGGATATGTCTTATAACGCGTGTGTGATGCTGTCTCAAGTTGACGTGCTGGCCAGCGATTCCAAAGTGATTGGTTGGCATGTCCATGTGTTCGATTTCAGCGATTATCCTAAATCGACGCAGCGGTAAACTACTTGGAGATCATGATGAAGATCTAGATGAATAAGTAAACCGTTCCGGGAGCCGATGCTCGTGCCAGCAGCGTGCTTCAGGAACTATTAGTATTATGCGACGGGAGATATGGTAGTTCAGCTTCACCCTTCAGGTCACAAGGAACTCATGTATTACGTTTGAGATGTTCCAATATAGGACATCCCAGTAACTACTTGTCGATCTTTCCATTTCTTTCTAAGCACGACACATGCAGCACACGTCGACGACCATAGCCTCGCAGGAAATAGTAAAAAGACCCTGGGTCTCGTCCGCAGCAGAGGAGCGCCTGGATATCAGAGGTAGGGGCTTTGCTGGGGAATGAAATTAACGGATCATACTTTTGACATGAATGAAATTAAAAAGTGCTCGCATGAGGTTGACCTATCTCCACAGCGTCACAACGTGGAGGACCACAACGATTTTTGGACTTGTTGACATGAAGAATTTCCTACCGCCGAACGGAATGCGCCGATTAGTACAACAAGAAAGCTGTGACGAACACGCAGACAAAAATAGATAACGCACACAACGCGATTCTTGAAAGCACAATCTTACACCACAACCTCAACCAGTTTTGCTTCTCAGGAGCCATCTGAAGATGTTACACTTATTGAAATTCGCATGCGCCCAGCGCTTTCTGGCCGCCATTTGGTTGCCTGAGAAATGGCGAATTTGGCCAGCACTCGTGTCCGGACAGCCAAAATAGTGTAAACAACGAGAAGAAATCATGATCATGATCATGGAAGTGGATCTCCACTAAAACGAGGATTTATCGTTGATAAAGAACACGTAACTTAGTTGTAAGTAGTTTCTTCAACCTTTTTTTTAGATGATAGATTTCATCCTTTTCCTCTGCGAGGCCTAGCCTTCGAACTTTCTGGTGATCGCCATGGATAGATCCATCTCCTTCTGTAATTCACCTCTTATGATCAGCTATTTCATTCAATTTCGATAACTAGAACAAAGAAAAGCAGAACAAGTACTATCGGAAGAAAAATCATGGCAGAGTCCTACATGGCGGTGGATGTAAGAGCCGTAGTCGATTACGCGCAGCGGCCGAGCGAGCCCGTTCGTTTGCAGTCCTTTGTCCAGCTTGCTTCGTTCCATGTCGGCAAGGATCCAGGCGACGAGTCAGAGCTGGTCGGGGGGCGCGTTCGACTCTGGCTCTACTGGATCGACCACCGAGTCGCGAACTGGCCTGAAAACACGCCTCTGCCGTCCACTTTGTGGCGGCCTGAGTGCGGCATCATGTGGCGGCTAAAGCGAGTCCTCGACGACGACGAAATCGCGAAGAAAAAGAGCAGTGTAGTTGTCACTACGGCTGAACAGAAGGAAAGCCAAGAAGCAGCGGCTGGGTTTCAGCACATGCCACATTAAGGCTACTCGTTTTTCACTATCTCGACTCTGCTCAGGTCACCAGCCTCGGTGCACGACGTTGACTTTATTCAGGTCGCCCAATCATCCTCGGAGTCGAACCAGGTGCTGGGAGGGTTCGACGTGCAGGGTTCACAGCCTACCCTAACCTAACCTAGCCGGTGATGGGCTATGAGTATGCTGAGTTAGGTGCCCACTGAGACTGATTTAAAGGGGAAGATAGGGAGGAAAAGAACAAGGACAAGTCACTCAACTAAGAACAGTGAAAAACTAGTAAGGTTAACAACAGCCGCAAATTTGGAATGGTCAAGATGCGAGGAATAGAGGGTTGGTTTTCATCAAAATCCTGCTTGAATTGACCGACATAGATATGCTAGAGGACGAATATCGCTTGAGAGTGTTCCCCTTCGACGTTTTGAGAATAGACTGTGCCATTTGGATGAGCGGACAACAACGGATGGAGAGCACGGATAAACTAGATGTAGACTTCTTTCCCGTGACCCCATGCACGGGGGAAACTACCGGAATGCCGAGTACTTTGAACACGGGTAATCGTAATGCACCAGTTGCACCAGGGAGCTATGTTGAAACAGAAACTGCTGCTTTGGAAAACACAACTTCTGAAAAACTCGAATTGTATCCGCTTCTGCATAGTACAGGAGGTGCAGTTTGTTCCGTTTCCAACAGCAGTGGAGATGCAGCTGCAACGATCGCAGCTGAGCTCGATCCGCAGAAGGGCAATCGCATCGCTGTTGGCTGCCGCACCAAGGCGGGAGAGCTGGAGCTGAGTGGTATCACCTTTGCAGGCACAACGCACACCTCTATTAAGACACATCTACTACTATTAAGGTGGGCTTATAAATAATTTCGAGACGAGTTAGAGTTTTGCAACCTGCTGCACTAAAAGCAAAAAAGATAGTACGCATCCACATCCTGCACTAATTAAAAACGCCTTCATCCCTGGCTGATTCTTTTCTCAGCTGTAAGAAGCCAGGGATGTCCATCTGAAGAATGCAAAAATGGCGAACAAACGCGTCTTCTAACTCTATGATGACGGGAGTGAAGTATTCGGATGTCATCTTTTCGTTGCATTTGAGGCGGCGACCGCAACTTTACCTGTGGAAGGGCGTCGTCCCACTCTCCCTGTGTTAAGGCTACCGCTGAAGCATTTGCAGCGTCATCCTTGGTCTCTTTGTTTCTCAAGGGGAAGAGGGGGCCGAGGCCGGGACGGGCGCGACGCGTGAACTCTAATTGTGCTTATTGTACGGCGTTCTTACTACGCTTTTGCACCCACAGGAGCTCGGCGGCAGGTTGCAAACCCACACGGCTCTGTTTTTGACCGTCTTCGCGATTCAGTGGGTGCTCGCCGAACGAGTACCGAAAATCTGCTATTTAACGTTGCTGGACCACTTGGTTTTCGCGGCTGTTGCGGCACTGACGATACTTGTTTTAGGCAGCTGCGTGGCTTACGGCTTTGGTCTGGGCGTCGCGGGACTTCTGGGGACAACTAGTGATGGCGGGGCAGATGACGTCTCCTCGTTCGACCTGAAACGCGCCCGGATCGTAGATCTAGCGACGTTGCTCGTTGTCGCCATAGCTTTTACAGCGCATTTCACGTACGTGGCCAGGACGCGGTCGCTCCGAAGCGTCATCTGGGGCGGAGGTGGCTCAACCTCGAGGGGACCTGGAGGTAGCAAAGTCGGCAGCATCACTGCAGGTTTGCCAGCAACTGGGAAAGAGAACAACGATTTGACAATATTCGGAACTCGCTCATGGAATGCAGGGACGCACATAATCAACGGTGTATGTGTGCCAAAGCCCGCTAATGCTTTCGTCTTAGAAGCAGAAAACTTCGGCACAAAGCAACAGAAGCGCCTAGGCGTTCCAGGACGCCTCTTACGTGCGCTTGAGGCCTTTTAATATTGACCAATGTAAAGGAAAAGGTCGTACTATTGAGCGCTTTTTAGTCAAAGTCAAAATTATGCAACTATGTGGCAGACTCGGTAGAACCAGGAAAAGTGAGCCTTGTGCATTTTTTTCCGTCCACTAGGAAGATTTTTGTTCGTCAACTAGGTGGTGCAACCAACCATTTCGATCCGATATTTTCGAGATACGCCGCGTGGAGCTGGAGCACTTGCACTGTTGGACGTGACCAAGAGAAAGCTCAAGGTCGCTGTTGAGTAGAGCTCCTACTAGAACAACTAGTCGACTTTTTGCTCTTCAGAGTCCAAGTGGGTTCGCGAGTTGCTGCTTGTTTCTGCCACTAAAAATAATCATGCATATTTATAAAAATTAGAGGAAGATTTATTTCATCAGTGTCAGTCGTGCATTGCAGTACTTTTCTTCGCAGTTGTGCTGGAATGTTATTTAGGATTCAGCAACGAACAAGAAAACGTCATGTCCTCACCAGTTTCATCTTCTTCTTCTGGGCCAGAAGTTCTTCGCGTGAAGAATCGGCGTTGTGTGCCCTTAGATTTTTTCGCGAGAGGGCGTCCATGGCAATTTCATCAGCAAGCTTTTTCACGTGGGGCAAACAATTACGGGTTTCCACGTTGCGGCCTTCACTACCAAAATTCTTGACCTATTCTCCATTAGGACAGAAGTCAAGGATCATGATCTGAAGCATGTAATTCATTGCGCAACCTCTAAAACTAGCTTCCTGCCCAGGTTGTCCTACCCGGGGACTCGTGCGTCTTTGGCTTGCCGATCTCTATACTACAGCATGGACCTTTCGCCGATCGGGAATCGACAGCTGCTTCTCCAAGTAGGAGTAGTTCGATACCTCCGCTACTGTCCGTTACGACAACTAGAACGTCTTCCACTAATGATAGTCGTGCTCGTGAGCTAGCTCATCCTGGGGGTGGTGCACCATCGTCTCCGTCGAGAAGCGCACTACTGTCAAGTGCTGGTGCTTCTACCTTAAGAAATGCGGTGCATGACGAAGATGCCGCATCAGACATCACTACTAGCACAAGGGACACCGAAACCAGCAACAGAGAGAATCAGTCACCTACAGCTAGGAATGGGCTGGCGGACCGCTTACTACCACCTGAGCCTTCCGACAACAACTCGAGTGGCGCAAATACCGATGCAGAAGAAGTCCCAACAGCGGCAGCGGAGCAGCCGGACAATGCAACCCAGCCACCAGAAACGATGCACACATTCCTAATTTGTGCAACCGCACCGGCTTCAGAAGTAATTATAAATATATTTTCCATTGTGATTTAAAAAGCATCATGATGAAGGTGGCACGAAGATTACTGTGACAGAAACGAATCTTGACGTGGTCGTGAATATGATCAATACTCCTTTTGATGTATAGCTATGTATAGGTTTACGAGCAACTACATCTGCAACTCACAGAAATAGCTAGTACATCACAAGAGGCACCATGAGAATGTCAAGGGCGACATGACATACTACACTTGACGTCATGAGAACAATTATAATATGCCCTTCTTCCGCTTCTTAGGTTTCAGCGCAAATATTGCGCCGGCGTCAAGTCGGCTACGGCCTCATGGTCGTGATGCAACAGCTCCTAGTTGCTGTGATCGTCTCCGGGTACGACGTCGGATCTTTTGCTGCCACGAATAATGCAGTGCAGGCTCTCAGTGGCAAAAATGTTGGAGATGCAAGTACTAGTACAACAGCAGATCGAGCAGATTCACTTCTCAGCCAAGACCGGTTTCGAATGTTCACACTTCTCGGCTTGCTCCACTGTTGCTTTATTGTCGGTGTTCGCACTACCACTACAGCGGTCGGGGTTTCTTTCGGTTCTGCTCTTATTAAGGCTACTGGTGAAGCATCCTCAACAACGGCATCCTTGGCGTGTTGTTCAGGGGGAAAAGGGGCTTACGGATGGGCTCAACAAGGATGCGGCGTCGTAGCTCTAATACTCCAGTGCCTGCTCGACTTGCTCGCGGAGCACTTGTTTTAGCGGTGTACAGGGTCGGCCTCTGTGCATTTACCATCTTGGCTCTTGGCTTTGGATTTGTGGAAATTATGATGCTGGAAGACGCTTATGCATAGCCCATAGATTTAGACTCGTTGAAGTCTGAGCATGAGCTAGGCGATCATGTTGCAATTTAGAAAATACTAGAGAAGATACTACTAACTAAAAAGTAGATGCAATTCCAAGAATTTGCTTCATCTAAGTGACCCTTGCTAGATCTTGCGGTTCTGGCTTTCAACGTCCGTTTAGTGGTGGTCGACCTTCCCCGCATACATCCGACGCTAACGCAACCAGCACAGCTGTTTCTTCGAAAGTTTGCGACATCGTCGTAGAATAGATACCTAAACGACCTAAACTAACCTCCTACCTGAAGGATGTTGGAGCCACCAGACGAGAGGACGGATATTTTTGTTTCTCAGCATCATCCTCATCGCGACTACATTTTTGAATGATCTTGATCGTGGTTTCAAACCCCATCTTGCCCAGTATGCGTATGCTGTGCTACGGACTCCAGTACTCATAGTACCACAGGACGAGGCGCCTCCTCTTGATTTCCCCATTCCTAACCTTGTTGAATCGAGTCTATCGCGCAGATGAAAGGACTAATAGATAAAAAACTGTAAGTACTACCAAATTGCTGCCGATTCTGTTATGGGGCAAAATCATGCCGCCAACTTGACGAGCGCCACGGCTGCAATGCATCCTCGCACTGCGGGGAAATCATGAACATTTCCTGCAGAGAAGAAGCGAGAGGGAGAGAAGATGATGTTGAGAGTGAAAATAATGCCCAATAAATGGCTCAGCGTGCTGTTGAAATAGCAGCATGGGTAGCTTACGGAGGAGAAGTTCGAGTCCGTCCATGTGTGTCAGATTCATGTGTAAGTAGCTTCTACTTTTAGTTTATGCTGCATCTGGAACTGCAAGTAGTGCAAGCACAACTATGTATTATTTGAAATTAGCACAACAATCAACTACATCTACATCATGTCCTTATCCGCGGCCCTCATGGTGGTACTTAGGAGAGCGCGCCAGCAAGGGCAGCACAGGCTTCGTGACCGACATGAAGTCCAGCAGTCCACCTGGCGCTATTGTGGAAACAGGTTCGCATTGTGGATTTTAATTTTCCGCCCTCTCTTAGGCGGCGCTCTAGATGTCAGCAGGGATCTTGAAGCTACATCGACTCGATCAGGAGGGCAGAGCACACTTAGGACAAGGAAAACAAGTAAGTATATAATATGACTTTAATTTTTATTTTTTTATCGCTCTACATACTTAAGCAATGAAGATCTTCAACGCAATCAGGGGGGGGGTCCTTAAAAATGGTCATTTCATATCTGAGGCGTGTAAGTACTTGTACAAGAACTACAGTCTATACATCTTCCTCCTCCTTCTTATTTGAAAATAGTATGGTTTTTTTATTTCTGCTTGAAAATAGTAACAAACTGTGTTTTTACAACTCTCTAACAAATCAACAAGAAATAAGGTGGATGACGTGGCCGAAGCGACTGGCCGAAGAGGTAGAAGTGCTTCTGGAAGTACTGACGCTTCTACTGTTGGTTCTTCTACTAGCGCTTCTAGAAGAAAAGGAAAACCAGAGGTGGACAGCTCTCCTAGATATGATAACTACGATGTTGTTGTCGATGAGGGTCAACATTCTAGGCGGACAAGAAACACAAAGAAAACAGCACCACGACATCTACGAAGAGAGAAGGAACAAAAGGAGCACGATCGGGATGAATCAAGTTACGGCCTCCTGAATTCAAAATTTTCACATCTTGTTGAACAACTTCTTTGTTCCTCCACAGGGAGAGAAAGCAGCTTCAAGATGCCTGCCGAAATTATTTTTATGGGAGATTAGTTACTGAGGGCGCGCTTTAATATTATTCATGCTAATCACATTCACACGACGAGATGAGTGAAGATGATTCCCGGAAAATGGCCGCCGATTCAGATGAATCGTTGAAAATCATGTCCGTCGCGGATGAGATAGAATCACAACAGCAGTGGATAATGGCTCAGAAGGAAGCTGACCTCGAGGACGAAGCAAAAAGTGTAAAAAGTGGTGCTGCAGGAAGTAGTAGTAGTACTTCTACTACTAGAAGTGGTTCTCGTTCTTCAAGTGCAAGACGAGGAGGTGGTGGCACAACTTCTAGTTCTACAACAGTTATTACTTATTCTTAATTTGGATCATGGTTCATCTCCCAAGAAGTCATCTTCTTGAGGAAACGAGAGAAAAAAGGGACCCAGAGGACGATCCCTCAGTAGATGAATTCCTCGTCATAGTGCCTGTCCTGTACTCGAAAACTGAAAATAACCGAGTTACTGACTGAAATAAGGGAGGTAGCTTTGACAGGGCTACCGTTCCTTGTTCAGTATCTCGCTTATTTTCAGCAGTTACTCGCTTATTTCAGTTGTTTTTCGAGTATCTAAATCTAATACAGGAGGTCGCGGCCCATCTCGCTGGGAAGTAGCAGAGGACGAAGATGAAGATGACCACTCCAAATCGTCCAATGATTTGACCAAGGAGGACGGCGTCAATGTCTACATCAACAAGGACGGTTTTGTATCCTTCCAGCTTCAAGAACAAGATCAAGTAGAGCAGAAGAGAGGAGCTCAAGAATTCACTCAGCAGGACAAGAGGACACACAAGGGACATGAAAATAGATACACGACGAGGACGGGGACTAGTGAAAATCGAGATAAGAACACTAGAGAAGATCGAGATAAGCAGGGTGAAGGCCGATTTGGACAGCAGGAGCGCAGGAGTAGAATTATGAATGGATAGAAGGTGGAGAGGTTTTATCCTAACTTCATCATCGTCGTGTTAATATTGAAAAAAGTAGTTGTTCTGGATCTTCATTTTTCATCTGGCTTCCCCGCAGAGGAAAGGCAGGGAGACGGAGATGAATATGACAATCAAAACTAGGAATGTCGAAGATGTCATAGTTATACATAGATACTTCTTTTTGTAAAGTACAATACATAGATGATTAGAAAAAATATGAGAGCAAGACGAACCAAAAAACAAGTCAAAATTCTAACTCTAAGGATACGAATTCCGACAGCCGTCGCCGCCAGAGGACTAAGACGAGAAAGGCTACTTCTCCTGGCGATATCCAAGGCCACGATGAACACATGCGTGGCGCGAAACTACCTATCCTTCCGCCATGGCGCGACCCTGATGATGCGGTGGAGGATGCGGTTTGGGTCCGCCGCGCTGTGCAACTATATCTAAGGTGGAAGAGCAGTGTCAGCATCTATTTTCAATCTGTAATTCTAATTAATTTCATCTATTTGTAATTATGTTGTTGGATCTGAGATGATGGCGAACCAACAATATGAAAGAATGATTCGTTTTTTTTTCTACTACTTAAGCAATTGCAATGACTCAATCTCTTCATCTGTCTGTATCTCTGCAAGAATATTTTCAGATCCTCCCCCGTCATTTGAACGGGTATATCACGAACAAGGATGACATTCAACATTCGCCAAACCATGACTAATTCAGCATCTTGCACTCGTATAGTATTTCGTGCACTTCTGTTCTCTTCGCTACTACAACTTCATCAAAGTTCATGTACTTCAGTTCACCCACAACTCAGGTCATCAAAGAAGCTGTACTAGTTTCTTTGCTGAGATTTCCAGTACTATTTTAGTACCTTGTGCTAGTAGTCCTTCTTCTCACCTCGTGGTCTTCTTCTAATGCAACACGACGAAGTCAGGTTCACTAGAACAACAGAGGAGCATGATGATAGCACAAGTAGCGGGGGCTTCCTCGACGTTGAGCGAGAAGCGAAACCTGCGCTGAGTGAGCTTGATGCTGATGGCGCCGAGGGTTCCGAAATCAATCTGTTAAGGCTAGTTTTTCCCTATCCCATTCGTTCCTATGTGGACTCTGCTGAGTGGATTCCTCCTCGATTTATAAGGGAAAGCAAAATAAGGAAGGAGAAGGGCAACTCACTCAATCTCAATCAGGCATAAAGCATACCATATGAAAAAGCTAGCGCTAAATCTGGGGAGCTCCACGACCGCAAAGAACCTTCGCACGGACGCACGGGTCGCAGAAGTGGAGGCGGCACAGGTGAAGAAAGAAGGCGTTTTTCTTTTTGCGATGTGGACCAGCCTCGGCACTCAAATTAAGGGTAGGCTAAAGGTGTTCCTGGTACCGTTCGTTTTGCCTTTCTCAAGAGGGATTGCGAAAGGCATGAGGAACGGGGTAAGCGAACATCAAAGCCAAAGCCCTACCCCAATCTAATCAAAAGCGGATGCGCGCGAGCCTCGAAACGTGGATGAAAGCTCTGGGCCCGCGACAGGCCGTCATGATAACGAGTGCCTTTCCAGCCCAACAAGAAGAAAACCAAACTAAGGCTCAACACAATTGTTCATTTCTACAACACGTCTTCATTTCTCCCTATTCCTTTATTCTTAGGATTGGGAGAAATGCTAATGCAGGCAAGAAAGGAATCGATGTTCTGAGCTCTAACCAAAAGCTGATCCGCGACAAAGTAGCGAAGGGGGAACTGCTGCCCCAAGTTTTTTCTCCTGTTGCGGGACACTGTCGGAACCGATTGAGTCGAAGGCTGCATGCAAAACACGCTTTGATTAAGGGCGCACACAGAATTACATTACATGCTCCACCACATGTTCGACCAGGACCATGATCCACCCTGGCTCTTTTTCTAGTACTAGGAAAAAGGTGACGAGGTGAGGTCGGGGGATCATGATTATCTGATCTGATGGATCAACATGTTGTAATGCTGCTTTGTTGTAATTTCACATGGGACTGGATGGCCGGCTATGGTACCCGTAATTTGATTCACCTGTGCTCGCTGCCCTTCGTGTATCAGGTCGCCGCCAGAATACCGAATCTCCTGTTTCTAGCTACTACCGAGGACGACGCTTATGTTTTGCCGCAGCCATACCAGCTGCGCGCAGAGTACGCGTTTTCCCATCCAGAAAGGTATGAGCTGAAGCTATCGGCTGAGAAGTTCGAGCCCTATCCCGCGAGTGTAGAGGCTCTCGGTGGCGCGGGACTTACAAACACTTCCTTGTCCAGTTTGATATTCCAAAGTACTATAGTCCACGCAGATGGACGAGATGATGATGAAGATCTTCTACCTGCATTTTTGAGCACTACAACTCCAATTACTTCATCTAGTGGAGGTCATGCTAGTGAAGATCAACATGGAACTATATTAACTACTACTAGTACTACTGAAGCTGCAGGTGAAGACGCGGAAGATGGACAAGATGGACCACACGTTGTAGAAGTAGATCAGAAGTCTACAACTATGGAGGAGGACGAGTTGCTTGGCAATGGAACATTCTCGGCATCTACCTGGCAAAGTACGGATCCCATGGCGATGGCTTGGTGGGATTGCGCAGGAGGCATGTGCGGACAGTTTGTTAAGGCTAGTTTTTCACTACCCCATGACCATGTCTGTGGACCACTATGCTCGCTGAGAGAGTGGGGTCCTAGCCCTTGATTAAAAGGGGAAAATATTAAGGGAGGAAAAAAGCATGAGCAACTCACTCGCGCAGGCATAGCGAGGGAAAACTACCTTTAAGTTTGGGTTTCTGTTCAATGCAGCAGGTACCCATTTGCTTGGGGCCGCTGTGTCACATGAACGGATATTATCCCATGTTGGCCGCTGGGCTGCTTTAGAGCATGCCCGAATCGAGGTAGAGTTAAGGCTTGGAAGTTCACCTATCTAAGAGCATATCTGTGACTTTTTTCAAAACAACCGGTTAGTTTTCCCTCTAGTAATCTTAGGTGTATGATCCCTACAACATGCAACATTTCTGTGACCTTTTCAACAAAGGGCACTGGCATACTAGATATGCGAGCTAGATCGGTCAACTTACAGCCACTAACTGAGGAGGCGAAAAAAAGAAAGCAAGAGGAGCAGGCTCAAAAAGCGAATGCGGGTACTACAGTGCTCGCAGCTCTTCATGAGCAAGAACAAGATGTGGAGCAGAACGCGAGTGCGCCTGACAATGACAATGACATCGTCTCTACGCTGATTGCAACTCGTCAGAAAACAAGCGAGGTTGAAAACTTGATGGAAAATCTGATGATCCACAAAGCAGCTGTGGATCATACCACCTCTACAAAAAATAGCCGCGGGTCTGGTGGAGGAGGTGGAGACGAGGTAAGCAAAGAAGTTATGGCTTAAGAACACTGGTTGTATTTGTAATTCTGGTTGTAGCGCTAGTGAAGATACTTTCTTCATCTTGATGAAGAACAAGCTTTAGATTAGAAAATTCATCAAAGGAAACGCTATTGATTTGCTGAAATCATGGACAATAATAGACTACTTCTAAAACTACATATTGTTTCTTGAAGTATGTCTAATATGTCTATGTTGAAAATCAAAATTCTGAATCTTCCTAGTAGGTCTACCCCCCTTTTTAACCTTATATATCGGTATCTTTTCCTTCTGCTCGAATGATGTCGGAAATAGGTTGTCATTATCCGCTAGAAGTACCGCTAGTACCGTTTGAGCCGCAATCTAAGTAGCAAGAGAGCGGAGACGCGTCCAGGGCTTTTAACACGAGTGGCTTAGATCTGGGACGCATGATTGGAATGGATTGCATAATGGGCTGGGTTTTAAAAGATATCGCGCGAGCTCACTTAATCCGACTCCTCTTATGAAGTTGAGGAAAAAAAGACACCATGACAATGACTCGTCAGCATGGATGATTCTTCTCTTTGACTTCAAGTTCAAGCTAGAAATGATTACAACAGGAGCACACATCAACACATGTCATACTTCCTCGTCTTCTCCATCGTCCATCTAGTACAACTCACTCTCTCACCTAAGTACTCACTTCTCGTCCATTCACCTACTCGTCACTCTCTCAACTAGTAGTGAGGTAGTTGTATTGACCACTTCTCCATCCACCTAGAAGTACTCACTTCTACTCCATCTTCCACCATCTTCCATCTTCATTTTTTTGGCAACCTACCCATTTTGCCAAAGCTCAGACTGGATATGATGACTTCGCGGCAAACGCACGACTTGAGCCGATGGAGAAGACGGTCCTCTTCCACTATATTTCGGACCCCTGGAAAGCGGGCGAAACTGATATGAAGAGGTACTATATTCGAGTACAGTTTATATTAGCTTGGAGAAGTAGCATGGATAGAAGTAGCAGCATGTGAATGGCTCTGGTATTTGGTAGCCTGATTTTGATCATAAGGAAAACAAGAAGTAGGGATTCCAAGACAGGATCGAGGAAGTCGAAGTTGTACATTGTTCTTCAGAGGCAGCGATCGGTCTAGCTCTAGCGTATCATAGAACGTAGAACTTAGGGTAGCCCCGCCAGCGCTAGGTCGTAGTCGTGTTTTTGGCTCTTCAGCAGCCACGACTCACGTCTGCTAGTTTTCCTAGTGGACCCACATTGAGCCTAAAAACCTAGACGAGTCATGATCTTCTCGTTCTAACACACATATTCCGCAGAATCGTTGGTCTGACCACTACGCCGCGCACAGAGAGCTGCGGGACCATATGAAGGCGCACGTCATTGAAGAAAAGAAAGAATCAGAACAACAAGAACAAAAGAAAGATGCACAGGGAAAGTAGTAGGAACAAGAAAGAATCAGAACAAGAACAAAAGAAAGATGCACAGGAAAAGTAGTAGGAGCAAGAAAAATAAAGAACAAGAATATAAGAAAGATGCACAGGAAAAGTAGGGGTAAGAAAAAATTTTTGTACATTTTGACGAGTCCTCGTGGTTCCCCAACAACTACAACACGTTGGATTCCAATAAATATCTTCAACGATGTATTATTGCATGGCACTCTTCCGGTTCGAGCTATTATAGTAAATATATACATAGCTAGTTACATACTGATACTCGTCTAGTTGGTTTGCTTTGGGCTATCACATTCTATCAGTAATCAGCAAGGCTAATCGATCCTTGTCCTTAAGTCTAGAGTTCTCATCGTCATTGCTTGGCATTGCTGCGCACATTGTCGTAGGATGTTCAGATTTGGAGACAGCAACAGTTGTCGAGTGTGAGTCGTTTATTCGCGAGACCCAGACCAAACGAGACCATTATGCTAAGAAAATTCCACTGAAACGAGGGAAAGCGAGAGTGAAATAGAGAGAAAGAGAGATGTTGTAAGGAACAACGGGCTGTTAGATATATCCGAGTATCCTACTTCCTGAGAAAATAGAATAAATCAAGGCTGCCCAGGAATTTCTACTTATGATGACGTTGACCCCGCTCTCAGCTCCAGCTGTTGTGTTGAGTCTCCCACGAGTAGTTGTGATGAAAGTGTCAAGTTAAAGTGTAAAGAATCGATTACACCTAAAGTGTAAAGAACCACATATACCACTTCTTATTGGGATGAAAAGTAGTTGAAGTTGCATAGACTAACACTAACTTGTCTTGATTACTTTTAACATCTTTTTGACTCGACAAAGCATTCTATTATCTGAATATGAATTTTCAAGGTCCGAGAACTCTTACGATCTAGTTTTCAAGTAACGCAGTCCTCCGGGCCCGATCATCTTTGGCATTTGCCACGCAACAGCATTGGTGGAGCGTAGCGCAAAAGTTGGTCTGATATCGCTTCGTTTTGATTCTGTAATAAAGACTTTAAGTTTAAGCAACATACAGCAAGTTAATCTACTTAGTGGACTTTTTAGACGAGCAAAGAAAATTAGAACTTAGAAAACGACCGAAGAATTATTTATCCGCTATTCATCAATCTGTAGTTGTTCTATCTCTATGATCAGGACCGAGAACTATAATTCCTACCTCGTCGTGTGTAAATCAACTCTTGTATAATAGGATCGCATTTTTAGTAAGAATTTTGAAGTTAACTTTCTTTGTGTTTTGATTGTTCCAAGAAAGAAACAAAAATTCTGAACTCTACAACATCATCATACTTGTGTAGTTGTTTAGAACGACGGTCCAATTCCGTCGAGGAGGGGTAGAAGATTCAGTTTGAGAGTCTTCATCGTTAGACGAGTTTATTCAGTTTTGATCACATTGATGTCATGAAAATGCAAATATCTTCTTACCCTTGATCTTAAAAAAAGTTAAAGGTCGTAAGTAAGTTGAGGTTTTCAAAATCGTAATTTGTCATTGCTTTGATGTTTTGAAGCCAAAGGTGGAAGAACTGTCCTTTCGAACAAGCTGAGGCTGCTTGCTCAGGCGCTTGCAGAAGTAGAACGTTGACGAGTCACGACTTCCAGAGGAAGGCACTAGCAGGAGGACAGCGGAGTAGAGTAAGCAAGTAGAAATATTAGAAATACAGATATTAGTACAACAACGAGGTGGACAAGATAATGGCGGCTGCACAAGGAGCGGCAATACAGCTGCGGCTGGCCGGACTACAACGGGCGACGGCAATCCCGGTTGCGCTTCGGCACCATTCAACGTCCTGCTCTTCGAGGACTAGTTCCTCTTCTTCGTCACGCTATTACTTCGCAGTCGTGAACGGAGGACTACTACACCAGGTGGGAGGACAACATCATCTTCATCTTCACAAACACAAGAAGCCTGCTAGTTGTATCAAGTCGGCCTCGTCCATCTCAACAGCGCGACTTTTTTCGTCCAACGCAGTACCAGTTCAGTCGCAAAAGGGAGCAGACCGCGAGGATGAAAGCAAGATACCGAAGCCGCCGCAGGCCAGCCAGCCGCAGATGATGACGCCACCTGAGCTTGCGGCCGAGCTCGATAAATTTGTCATCGGACAAGCAGACGCAAAGCGGGCAATGGCGAGCGCGATTCGGTATTTATCCGTTAATCCTCAACCACACGTTCTTCATCTCCTATCAACATGGCTTTGTTCACGACTAGTAGTTTTTTTCCTACAACAACTGAATGCTTAGAACGACCTACTTGTCAAACTACTCTTTCCCTTTTGATTTTTTCTGTACAACCAGGACGAGATAATTGACATCAAGGATATTACTGATCCATGACAAATACAGTCTCTTCAGCAACTTCTCATTCACATGGCATGTTTTTATGTGATTTTTCGAAAACTGAACGACGACCCAAATTTCCAGTTTCCGTTGGCGCCGGAAGCAGCTAAACGAGCAGCAGCGGGAGGACTGCAATCCTCGGAATATCCTGATGATCGGACCCACGGGTTGCGGAAAAACCGAGATCGCTAGGAGACTCGCAAAAATAGTGGACGCACCTTTTGTGATCGCAGAAGCAACAAAATTCACAGAAGTCGGGTTCCATGGACGCGATATCGAGTCTGTGATGCGGGACCTCATGGAAGCGGGCATCAAGATGGTCCAGAAGAAACTGGAGAAAGAGTACACACCTATGGCACTGGAAGTGGTCGACGAAAAATTGCTGGAAGCCCTTTTAGGGGATCTTAGCCAAGATACAGACAGAGTCACATGGCGAGGGCATTTGCGTAAAGGGTATTGAAATGACGACAGCTGAGCTCTTTCCTCGATCTGAATCTGTTTCATTCATCTAAGTAATATTTTCACGACTTCGTAATCGTAGATGAACAACTTTTATGCAGATTGATTTCATTGGAATTGGTTTACCAGCATGATCATGTAAAAAGTAGCAAGGAGAAGGAGGTCCAGCTGAAGTTGAAGAAGAGCAAATACGAAGATCATAAGAGAAGTAGGACAAGTTATGACTTTCATCAAATATAGCATCTTTTCCGAAAATGCAATCAATGAATTTGTCCAAACATACAGGTGGCTGGACGAAAGAACGGTTTTTGTTGACGTACCTGTGACGCAAACGCAAAGTCCAGGAGGCATTTTGGGTGCACCTTCCGGAGGCATGGCTTCTGGCTCGTTAGAGCTCGGTGACATCTACCGTGACGATCGTGACCTCAACCGACTCACATCGTACTACTAGTTCTCCTTTTAGGTTTGTAATAGAGGGTGATGTCGACTTGTTGTCACTTGTCGCACTCGAGAAAAACATGATGGAAGTTTTCGAATGCAGTTGCTTATGGTGATCATGTTTCTCCCAAATTATTAAATAACAACAACCATGTACATCGTGTACTTGATCCCTCAAACGTTTTTCATTCTCTACCCTCCTCCACCACCCATATCATAACAGGGCAATGGGCGGTGGCCGCGGTGTTGTGAGGACTGAGAAAAAAAAGCTAACGATTCGAGAGGCGCGAAAGAAGCTTCTGCGTGCTGAGCTCGACGCGCGCATCACGCAGGAAGAGGTACAAGAATGGATCTACACGTTATTTGCTTCCTCATTCTATTCTTTCTTTTTTCAAGTGAAATTATGCTCTTGAATCTCTTCAGTTATATATATCTTTATTTCAAAATGTTGAAGATAAAACGTAGATCATGTACAACTACAAAAAATCAGTTGATCCAGCGTGCGCTAAAAGCGGTTGAGGAAGACGGAATTGTTTTCCTGGATGAGATCGACAAGATCGTCAGTCCGAAGGGCAGTTACGGCCCTGACGCCAGTTCGGAGGGTGTGCAGCGCGATCTGTTACCGATTATCGAAGGGACCACGATAAACACCAAGTACGGAAATATCAAAAGCAACCACGTGCTGTTCGTGTGCGCTGGGTCATTCCACGCAGTTCGGCCTAGCGATATGCTCGCGGAACTTCAGGGACGCTTGCCTGTGAAAATCAAGCTCCATCCGCTGACGGAAGGAGACTTCTACCGTACTTATAAAGAATTAGAAGAATATTCTTATTCAATACTTTCTTAAGATGATTAAATGATACCTCTTACTACTTGTTGATATCTACAACATCTACTTCATTCTACATCTACTAGTAGTTAACACGTACTATAAAGTTTCTCCTGTACTTCTTGGACGAGTCAAGAAAAAGAAATATACCAAATATACTTGCAACGTGAAGATTCCAATTCACCACACAGGTATCCTAAGTGAGCCCGAGTTTGGTATTATCGAGCAAAATGTCGCCTTGCTCGGAACCGAGGGAGCCACAGTGGAATGGAGCGAGTGTGGCATTCGTGAGGTTGCACGCCTTGCAACGGAAATGAACACGTACATCGAAAATACGGGTGCGCGCCGTCTGCACACTATCGTGGAACAGGTGACGGACGACCTGAGCTTCAACATTGCCGAATATAAGGGAAAGAAAGTTCTCATCGACAGGGCATTCGTGGAGTCAAAGACCAGCACTATCGAGATTGACAAAACCGCTAGAGGATTGCTATAAAAACATCTTCTTCATACTGCTGCAGGAAGAACATGAGGAGTTCATCTAGTGTTGAAGCGGGCGACAACGACAGGAGGACTCATCTCAGTTTGGTGACTCATCGAGTAGCTGTGCTTGGGCATGTGATTCACGGTCGTGGTCGTGGATTAACTCAACCTTGGACTCGTTTTTGCCTTTTTGAAACAAAGCAGTATCCTAATTAATCTGTCAATGCGATTCCGATTTCATACCTTCTATCTCGAATATCTTTGAGTTTGCAAAACTTAACCTCGACTAACATAATCCGCATACCACAACTACTACAACTTACATTGAATGATAAAATTATCATCTGAAGTCTTTTGTCTGTCTAAGTACCTGATATCAAAGTATAGAGAGATCGAGATTTAGATAAGTCTAGTACGATGTAATTTTTAATGAAATTCACTACCCGCTTGACGTAACAACGATTATTTATTTAGTCATTTTTGAACGCAAGAGGACCACGATACATAGTATTTATACCTCTCTGGAATGATCATGATGATAAGTCGATGTCATGGTGAAAGTTTGTTTTAATTCTTGCCTTCATCATGTCCACCTAGTAATTTCACAGGAGCCCACGACCTCCCAAAAACGAGAAAGGGGGTCGTCGATGAAGTGCTCTTCCTACTCACAAAAATGAGGAAGAAGGTCTATAAAAATAAGGTGCTCTTCCTCGGAAGGGTCTGATTTTCATTGTGTGACAGCAGATCGTTTGTGTAATAATAGAAGAGAACTTATTTATTTCTGAGCATTGATTTTCTCCTTCTCGTGGTCCACGACTAGTAAGTAGACCCCGTACTAGTTTGTTTTGTTGGGACCGAACTCCTCTTATTATTTTGGAATGTAATGCTAATGTAGTTATTAGTTTTTAGACTGAGAGGACGAGGCACAACGTACGTCGTCACCGCCGCCACGAAATTTATGAAATAGAGCAAGAAGTTGCCTGAGTTTTGTTGTGCAACCGCCTGGAGCTAGAAGTAAGTGCTGCATAGAGATAGAATGAGATATTTAGAATCCGCAACACTCTTGATGTTTCATTATGTTCGCCATATGATCGATACTACGATCGCAACGATCAACAGGGACCACGATCGCAAAGGAGGCATTCTCAGCTATGACTTGACCTTCGTTAGAAGTTCCAGTATAATTAGTTTTTTTACCACGTAGCTAGCAGTTATGAAGAGCAAGATGTTTGCGAAAGACGAAGCTTGTTCAAGTTTCTTAGCATAAATGATGTTGAAGCTGAAAGAACACTACATGTTGTTGATGATTGGTCAGACTGATTGGAGCCATAGTACTGATGATCATGCTCATATCTTTAACATGGTAATGCTGGCTTTGCATGCTCGAGAACGAAATCTACGCTTTACGGATATGGAGAAGAAGTAATTGAATTATGTGTTCTAGTTATTTGTTTCATGTATGTGCTGTGAGTGTATCTGTGTAGCGATCATTAGCGAATTTACAGTCATTCTTGGAAGAGAGAAAAGATTGTTGGTGAAGATATCTTCAGGTGATGAGTCTTGTTTGTCGGTTAGAGAGTTTTAACACAACGAACTGTGGAGTTATGCTTATATCATGTTGAATTCCGATTGTTCATCATGCGCCGCGAGGGTCATAGATGAAGACACCGCATAAAAAGATGATTCCACCTTCTTGTTCTTACATATTCGAGAGACGCAACGAACTAATTTTTGCTGCATCAACCACAAATATTCCATCGACATCTCTAGAAACCACGAGAAGCCGAGCATCAAAATGCTGTTTGAACGTGAGCTTGCGGAGTTACGGGGTAGCATCCCGGATCGCTTTCCGCATGAGATTCTTGCAGTCGCACCTTTAGTCGGCCTCACGAAGGGCATGTACCGCTTTGTGATCGTCGGATTACTGGCACATTTCGCGATCTACGTGTGTTTATTGGCTACTGACGTCTTTGCCCAGAGTTGGAAAGCTGTTTTAGCAGAAACGCAACCGGAACTGTCAACACGACGACGGCGTGCGTTGGGACAGGCACGTGCCAGTGCCGGATCTCCGGCTACGGGTCACGGGACGAGTGGCTACTCCAGCCTCGGGACGAATACAAAAAGGAGAGTCCTCTACTTATCAAGTGGGGGGCCTCCTGGACGAAGTAGCGCTCTAAGATCGTCAAAAGAAGGAGTTTCAAATGCAGACTTGCTTGCGGTGATGCTGGAGGCGGTGCCTGAGAATCAGAGCCCGAGCTTTGAAAGCGCAGAAGAGGAGCGCAGCTCTATTTTTGGTGAAGAGGGGACCGACACGCTGAGCGAGGCCGAGCTGTTCGCGCGCTTGCAGGACATCATCAATATTAGCATACTCGCAGAGATTGTAATTTTTGTTGTATGGCTGCTCGGATCATTTTACTATAAATAATCTTTTATACTGTACTTCATCTTCAATGTCGTCATCTGATACGAAAATGTTCGTGCTGTGATGAAAGTAACTACTTACTTGCATCATTCAACTGCGTGGTTTATATTTAAAAGTTTTATCCTCGACCTGAGTGAATCTTCAGGATCCACCAAAGAAGTAAGCCCCTATACGCATTTCATTCATGAGCCGGTCTGTTTTGGAAGGTGAAGCGCAGTGGACGCGAAGGGCTGCCCTGGCAATGGGACCGAGTGGCATTTGTGACGGGAGTCTTGTTCCGGATGTCTGCAGCTGGTGACGTGCTCTGCTTGTGTCACATTTTCGTCGCAAGAGTAGCTGTTGTGCCTTTGGGCATGCTGCTTTTCACTACCGTGGGGATCTGCTTGTTGTGGCAGGTAGTTTTACTACCATTGCGGTCAATTTTCACCTTTTTCATGGATGCTGATAGATTCGAAGCCGATAAGCCAGATAGGTGTCTTTGCAGCTGCGCTGCACTTACAGCGTGCGCATACCGATGCTGCTGCATCTCAAGACGAGACGGAACAAGACGCGGCAATATATCAGGGACAGCAACGTTTATGACAGGCAAGATGCACGAAATGATTTCGTCGCTGCAAATTGAACCTTGCAAATAGCTAGATCTATTCCTATTTTATTATATGTCAGAAAGTTATGACAAAAAATATATAATGAATGTTTGGTGAACCGGTACCCTGGAGGGAACTAGTGGGTGCACATAGCGCGAGAACCGAGCACTTCTCTGAGGCATGCACTGGCTTCGGCCGCCTCAGATGCGAAGACCTCCAGGGCAGAAGGACGAACGCGCGGCGCCTAAAATAAACGGATCCTATTAATATAAACGTGGCCACTAGCACTATAGTTCTTATTTAGATATTTGGATTACTTGACTCTTTTGGTTTTTTGTTTCTTAGTTAGGTGTGCTCCACCGATATAATGAAGAAGAAGATAATGATTGTCAATCAGGCGCATCGAGATGAAAATTCTGAATTACTAGTCACAAGAATTAGTCCAAGTAGAATCGATATCGACGAACGTCTTTTTGTTTCATATGCGCATTCGCCATGCTGTTTTTACGGAGTTCGGAGCGATTCGTCAATGCGTTGCGTCGGATAGCGGGAGCTCGCCCACCACCTGGTGGAAATCCACTACCTGCCAGAGAATTAGACGACGTGGTCACTTCTGCGTCCAGTGGGGTGGATTTCGTAGCGTTCCCGAATACTATTATTACGGGTAGGTTAGAGGTGGTGCTTTTGTAGTTATACCGTTTCTTGTTATGGAGGCTCATCCCGATCTCCTAAGGGGCGGGACGGCCATAACAAAGAACGAGATAAACGAACACCAACAACCTACCTCTAATTTTACAACTACTAATACAACAAGTCTCCAGGTGGACGAGACAGGTGGAGTAGAATCAACAGAAGACGCGGCGAGTGCGACACGTAGAAGTGGCACGACCCCTGGTCGTGAAGAGCGAGAAGGATCTCAACAAACGTTATTAGCAGCATCCGATAGGAGTAGAGATGATAGAGATCGAGATGAAGAGAGGCCGCAGGCAGGAGCTGAAGATATTCAGACAGCAGAAAACATAAACAATGCAGGAGGAGTTGAAGACAACAACGTTGACGCATCAGGAGGCACAACTACGTCTTCGGCTCCACTAGCTGTGGTCGATGCGGAGAATCCGGTAACAGGCTTCCTACTGGCGACGAATAATATCGCAGCAGCGCGACAAGTCGCTTTCGCGCACAAAGCGGCGCATTGCGCTGCGAGCATGAACTTGAACCTGGTGTATGCGACGCTAGTGCGGCATTTCATCCCCTACGCGGCAACGGAGGATCTCGATTTCCAGATAACCGTAACGGGATTTTTTCGCTGTCTCGCACACGATCTGGTCGCAGCGGTCCTCAAGTTCTTCTACCTTCTATTAAGGCTTTCCCACCTAAGTCATCCATCTTCCGAAGATCTTCTAGTGAATGAGCTCTAATTCTGGATTACGACTTCGCGAACTCCTTCGTTCTATTCTCTCTCGTACTCAACCTCTGCTGCATGGTGTGTGGCACTCTCTACACAATATCGGATCGGCTCCACCAGCATCCGGAATTAGAAACATTTGAGGACCTGGATGACGCATAAGAAGTTGGCCTGGGAGAAGTTTGAAGAGAAAAGATGCTTTATGTTCATGACACATACAGAAAAATTAAATTTAACATTATTCTTTTTCTTTTGAAATTTTTCTGGCGCTGCACCAGAGCTTTATTTCTTGCATGCTTATACCTGGGTTGCCCCATATTAAAGCATGTTGACGATGTTCTCGGGCAATAAAAAGAGGACATTACTGAAGGACATTTACCTCGGTCACGATGCTGCCTTGTTGTCATCTTAAATCTTTATCTTGCGCCTAACAAAAGCAATGGTAATTTTCTCAGTCCAAGTCGTCGTCCTCGCTGCATGATGATCTAACTCAACCTGCTAACCCTGTAGTTGTTTTAGGTACATCAATGCTCCCTCTTCAGGTGCTGTTGAGGAGCCAGCATTTCGAAGTAATTGTTGTGCCATTTCTTGTCTAAAAAAGAAAACTTCATCTCCGTCTCCTGTAGTGGTAAATAACACTCGTTGACCTAGTAATCTGATGCCAAAACCAACGTGCTCTCGTTTGGGCAGCCTGAGTTTGCTGCCTACAAGGGTCTGTTCCCTCTGGTTGGTCTTTGTTCCTACTGAAGAACCTGGGTGATACACACTTGTGCTGGTTGTTCTCTCAAAGTCGACCTGCTCCTGCGGGTTCAATTGCAACTGGCCTCTACGCAAGCCACGACGTCAATTCCAATTAGCCTCGTCTTTGCTGCTAAAAGTCACGATTCCGCCACAGCCGCATTTTTCAACTGCACGGAAAAGCTGCTCTTTTCTTTGCACAGCCTCCCGAAGATGAGGATTGGGGTAACCTTGCCGTTCTGGATGGCAACCACAGCTTCAGCCTTGCTGATGGTGCGTAGTCCACCTGGCCCCTCTACTATACAGGACGATGAAATGAACCAGCACGATGAAGATTATTCTCCCGGTCAACTACCTCAAGCTGCTTCTGCTTCTGCTAGTGCTACCTCCTCCAGTCAAGAACAACAAGAGCATTCGAATTCGATGTTGGAACAGTCAGATCATACAACATCATCCAGTCATGATGGAACAGTCAGATCATTTGTACCCATCTCCAGTCGTATGTTGGATCATACAGATGCTAGTCCTACCTCCTCCAGTCAAGAACAACAACTACATTTGAATTCGATGTTGGATCATACAACAGTAGTTTCCTCCTGTATCCCAGAGGACGAGTCCTTCTATTGGGAGCGCCAGGAAACGTCCGGCTCTGGGGGTCCTCCCGAGGCCTTTTCGCAAGTTCTCTCGGTTGAGAGCTTTTCGTCGCTCATCATGAATCAAGGAGATGTTGATGCGGTATTGACGCCCGGAGGTAGTGGAAGTGGAGTTTCAAGTGGTGGTAGAGGATATATATTAAGGGTAGGTTAAAGGTGCTTTTCTTGCCGCTTTTTATGCCTCTCCTAAGGGAGAAAGGCATAACAAGCGGGGTAAGCGAGCACCAAAACAAGCCTACCTCTAAATACACACGATGATGAGGATCATGATCTAGTACTTCCTCAAGATGAAGAAGTGCCACTTCTTGACGAAGTCTATCTTGCTCGCGGCCAAAGCAATGGCACGCAACAAGAAACTGGCGGCCAGAGATACAGCTGCCCTCGGCGTAGAGGAAGCGACCACGCGTCAACTAGTGTCGAGTGCCGTAACCGCACAAGCGGACTGGGACCACCCCCGCTAAACAATATTACAGCTATAAGCGATGGTAGTCGGGGCTCATCAACGGGTTCTCGTCCTGGTGCAGGAGCATTTGCAGCTTCGACGACCCGTGCTAGAGGAGGTCTTGGTCCTCCAGTTTACTATAGTCTCAGCGCTCAAGATGATCTTCATATTCAGCCGCATGTAGAAGATGATCATCTTCATCTTTATTCAGAAGAGCCGTCTGGTGAGATTTTTGAAGAAGATGAAGAGGACTTGTTAGCCCAACTTGAGGCCTTGCGGCCGCCCAGTGGTAACGCCTCCAGTACGCTTTTGAGTCCCGTAGCTAGTGCTGGGAGTGACCACCTGCTCTTGGACGATGTTGAAGATGAAAGAAGCTGCACAAGGAGTAACTCAACCTCAAGTAGGGGTCGTGAAGATATGATTACTACATCTACTACACTTCAGCTTAATAACGATGAACGTGAGGAAGAACATGTTCAAAGATCTTCATCTGGATCTCCTGATCTCGATTCGGAGCACCACACTGTCGCGGCTGATGTTCGTGAAGATTCAAATAGTTTCTTATCATCATCTTTTAGTAGTAACGTAGGAGATGAAGGAACAAGGGGTGGCGTACTAGCGCCCCCGCCTCCATCGTCCTCCTCTTCATTACGCAGTGGTGGACGAGCATTTTCCGGACTTAGCAGCGCGTCGAGTTCATCTGACTGGTTAGCAGCTCGTGGAGGTACAGCTCGAGCTCGTAGTGCTCTTCGTCCAGAAGCGGCAGTAGATTTCGCACCCCTCTCCGAACTCACGTCCTCTCCGAATTCACGCTCGGGTCTCTGTCCCTTGCGACGACGTGGCAGTACTCAGAGAACACCTCTGCCGACGACGACGCGCGTAGTGCCTTCTAATCGTCATGATATAATTCCGAGTTCTAGTACAACTGCATCTGGAGATGAAGTTGTACTACTGGGGAGGACGCCAGTAGAAAGTGAGTCTCGGCCGTATGCTCTTCGAGGTCCTCGTGGTCCCCAGCGCTTAGACGATGAAACAGCGCATCATGATGAGCGACTGAGACGAAGAGGGCCCTTCTCAGCAGAAGACAGCACGTTGTCCTCACGTGACACATCACTTTTAGCAGCTAGTCGTGCTGAACTCAATAGCAACAACGGGGGAGACCAAGACGAGACGCTTTTGACAACACAACGCGGCCCTTCCAGTAGATCTTCGACCTTTCTATCAGCAGCGTCGCATTCAACGGGCATATTTTTGGGGGAACGAGGCGAAGAGATGTCTCAAGGAGCTCAACATGCTGTAGCAGACCAAGAACAACATTCCTCGAATACTAATTCAACAACATCAGCTGTCGGGGATGCGAATGCGTCTAGAAGGAGCACCAATCATGATCGAGCAGAGCCACCACCTGATGACTTCTGTTATAATCTGCCTTTAGGAGCAGGTGAGCCAGGCGCGAGTTTTGTTTCACAACACAGCTCAACGACTACGACTAACCCGATAATTTCATGCTGGGCTTACTGCTGCTCTAGTCCGAGCTGTTCCTCTGGAGCGAGTGCTCTTGTCTCCCACGCCCAAGCCCGGTTTCAATCGTTTTGCGAGCACTGGCAAGGACTTGCGAGACCACGAGGTGAGGGCTTAGTTGTGACTAGTGAGCCGATGTGTACCATCTGCTTTGAGGAGATTGAGCATCGGGACTTGGCCGCAGTGTGTCTCCGAAGGCCTGTGGCGCACGTTTTTCATGCTCACTGTTGGAAAAGGTACGCGTCGACGCAGACACAAGCAGCGGAAGCAAATGCTCCATGTCCTGTGTGCCGCGACGCAACGCCACAGGAGCAACGTTTGGTCTACCGCCTGATGTGGATGCATCGAGATGCAGTTCAGGAGCTCCAAGAAAGAACGCTGCATCAAACTCCTAGCATTTCAACTAGAGTAGAGCGTCAGGAGCGTCTGGGTGCACAGCTGCTGTACCACGAGTCCCAAAGGCATGACGGCAGGGATCTATCCACGGTCCCGAGGATGATGCCGCGAACGCCACCGAATCCAAATCCAACGCCCGCTACAGTAACGCCACCTCCTCCCACCCAGAGCATCGGCATGAATCCAGCAGCATCTGCGGGCGGAGGCTCATCACCTTTTTATGGACGTGGTTGTAAAAAGTAGTTTCATCTTCATGTCCTCCTCCTTCGCAGACGTTGTCGTTGACGTAGACGAGGCAGATAAAAGAAGATCATGATCGCAGCTCTTTCAAGTACTAGGTGAAAAGCAGAACAAGCATGATTATAAGCCCTTTCAATATTATAATGCCAACAGGCCTTCGCATCTAACATTTTGTGACTTTTTTGGCTGGAATACAGGCAGCGCAACGGCGTGCTCGTGAGCCTCTGCTCGGACAACAGAACCAGAATAGACAGCATACTAATGATCTCAATCTCCTAAACAGGAGAGGGTCTTCTTCATCAACCTCAACAACGTCCTCTTCACAAGTAAGGCAGCATCCATATCCACCAGGTCCAGCATCAGGAACACAAATGAGGAGAAGTGCGCCACCTGTGGGAGACTGCACTATTCACTTGCTGCACGATCGGGATGGACGAGAGATCGCCGATGAGCAAACTCGCCGTTTATTGCAAGGCGTTCTAGAGGATCATGGTTACTTGGTTCTTGAAGACACTAGCGCGGCCAGCACTTCTGCGTCTGCGAGTGGTCATCCAGTGGCAGAACCTCGCCCAGCCACATCAACATCGAGGACATCTCGTCCTCCAACGTATGGACGCGAAAATGGTATGGAACAAGTTGTATCGAACTACAATCCCGTACCAGCTCCTGCTTTTGTTCTTGGTGCGCCAATGCTAACGAGGACAAGGCGACTTACAAGATATGGTACGTTTTTGCGGGCTCCTCGTGCTTGGGGTAAGCAAAATGGTTGCGTCGTCCAATGGGCAGATGTTAAGACTTTGACTTCATATATTATAAGAGGCATCTGCGCCTATGTCATCGATTTCGATGTTGTGATGCTTCAAATTTTCATCATACTGATTATATTAAGAGGCATCTTCGACGAGGATGGCGCACTTTCAAGTTGGAAAACGGTCGAAGATGCACTCTGAGATGAAAATAGGGAAGGTCTAAAGATGGCCTGGGTGTCAGTAACACTTGCCGCGTCCTGAGCCACACCCTCATGACATCTGGCTCTCCGCCGGAGCGTGCATGTCGGAAAGTCAAGTTAAGGCGAACGAAAAAAATAGATAATTATATTTATTTATGAATATTAGACTAGTTAGGTGGAAGGCTTTTCCAATGGCTTCCAGCGTGGGATCTCTATCCCGTCGTGTCTGCGGATCCAGGTGGATCTAGCTATCATACTACTGGCAAGGCTATGCCTTGCCCCTAATAAGTCAAAAAATCTAGTCCCTTCACAATTATTTTTATTATACATAGTTGTAAGTAGAATAATTTATAGAAAGGATGTAGGTGGATGGACCACTTGGATGGATCGGATCATTGACCCCCCTAAATCTTCGGGCCCTACTTAAAACGACTAGCGGCCCTGGGAAGTCCATCCGATCCATCCCCTCCCGAATCCGACAATCGTCCTACAAATTGTTCTATTATAGAATAGGTGGATACCTTTTTATAGATACCTACTTACTTTATCTAGTACCCTAGTTTTGATGTTATTATTTTGTTCAACAAATCAATTTGCTCTGCCTCTAATCAACGCGGCTTTCCTTCGATCCTCTGGAAAGGCGAAGGCGTGCGGTGCGGTTGTGTTGGTGCTCGCAGCTGCACAACTAGGAAATCGAGCAGGACTGCCACTCCCACCCTTATTTGGTGATGCACGAGACCACGGTTCTGCGACTACAAATTCGGCGAAAGCTGGACACCCTCAGCGCTTGTTATGGCTCCAGACTTTCTGTACTTCGAAAATCTTGCTCACAATGGGGGTTTCATGATGTAATTAATAAATATGACATCTTCATCTTGCTCTTGTAGTTGAAGCCAGTTTTCATTTTCATTTTCTTCACCCCTAAGATAAAGATTTGCTACAGGGAAAGAACATCCACTCATCATGACCTTGAAATATGAAGGAGTCGCTATTTCTAACATTGATCCATCCAAGCCATTCGCAACTCGCAGAGCAGATTGCGACAGAAATGACGCGTGGCGCCATTCTGGGCTTCTGTGGCTACCACATGGGAACAGGGGTACTGCGTCATTTCTTTTTATTATTTATGGTTAGTATGTCGTTGCTGATATAATCATGTAAAAAAGAGCACTTACATGATCGTTTTAATGTTGCTTTTGCTCATCATGTAGGTGCTGACCTCAACCGCGTTCGAAGACTACCAGTTGTAGGTTGTACATCTAGATCTAACATCTACTCTACAACACGACCATTTAATATTGGGTTTCCGTCACATACATGACAGATGGTCACTTATGCACAGTATGCGCTAGGCCGTCGCAACAGACCGAGACGGCGACTATTGGGATCGACGGACACCGTTTCATCATGACGATTACTCAAGCGTATAATCCGTACGAGAACGAGAATCTACTGCAGACTTTATTCCTCTTTGCTTAATGGAAGTGAAATTGATTTCTCAATAGATGTCAGCTCGGTTTTTATAGTTCAATGTGCGATTATACTGCTTTTAATCGTAAGAATGTAGATGACAAGTTTAAAAAGTATAAGTTTTTAACTTGTTAATTTCTGAATTTTTGAATCTTCTTCTGAAGGCATGTTGCCTTGCATGGTGTCCTCCTAAGATTTTTCTACCCTCCATAGTCACCAAGACCAAAATTAGGTGCGACACCGGTTCTGGTACTCTACTTCTACCAAAATGCAGTTATTTTATGTCAAGTAGAATGTAAGACAGAGACAGAGATGGACGCAGCTAAGCAATCTTAATCTTTTATTATTTTTCTTTTCGTGGTAGGTTGATAAATCCCACTTGAACTTCTTGAACTTCCATAGTGTCGACAACCGGTCAAGAAAGGTATTTCTATTTAGATTTTATTTTTAAGTGCTGCGCTACTTCCAAAATCATAAAAGTCGTGTGTACGTCGTGTGTTTCTAGGTATAGAGCTATGAGAGGAGCATCTTATGCCTACTCATCCTCTCTTAGTGCATATGCAATCGTTATCACGTATAATACCTCGGCAAAGTCGAGCTCTTCATCTACTCCTCAGTTTAGAGAATAATGAGTTACAAGTTCAAGTATGACTATGATAGTCCAAGTTCTTGCGCATGGTGCTTAATGAAATGTCGAAGTCGAAGATTAGATAATTTTCATGTCCCTTTCGCTGTTAACGCGATTTCCCATGTTCCCATAACTGAAGGCGTGCTTTTTCTTGCAAGTCATGCAAAATGTGAAACTCGAGTACACAGATGTAAAAGCCTCAACTTGTAGTACTAGCTATCTGCTATTATAGTCAACACTGTCGTTCTTGTCTGCGAATTGAAATCAATATTTTAATTTTCATCTAGCTACCTCATCAACAACAACGTGATCTTTGATCATTACCAACACTTAGTTTGAGAATATAACCAAATGAACTACATCATGGAAGTTGTAGATCACGATGTTGATGAAAACTGTATTAATAATACTCAGCGAGCAGGAGAACCCTAGAACTAGCTTCAGGAGCCTCCATTATGTCTATGCATAAACATGGCTCTTCATCATCTCCAGCTTCCAAGGAGCTACAACTGGTGACTACCGTACCCGCCTCCGCTTCCGCGTTGTGGAATCTAGTGTCTTAGCGAAGTAGAAGAAGGGTAGTCTTGCTACTTAGTAGTTCCTTGTCCCCAAAGAAACAAGAAAAACATTAATGATCTATGATGTTTACTAAACTCCGAGCGTAGAGGTGCCGCAGTAGCAGCTGCGGGGAGGTCGGTGCCCTATGAAGGCAATGTGATTGCTTGATTGACCGAGCGTAGAGGTGCGGCAGCCGCAGCTGCGGGGAGGTCGGTCCCTGCGGAGGCAACGTAATTGATTGACTGGCTGACGCTGCTTCATCTGTCTATTACTAGAGCAGAGACGCCGGCGCGAGGAGCTGCATGCTCCCGTTCTGTTTCTGAGCGCAGTATTTGAATCTGTAACCTCCATTTTTTATCTACTGAAGATTCCGATGCTGATTCTGAGTCTGTCCTGAGATGGGTGGAGAGATCTGTCAAGGTAGAGATAGATCTATGGCACTAGCTCTGTTGACTTGAGGAGTGATATAGTAAATCTGAGAACACTGCCGGTGCTGGTCATCAAGAGTCGCGATCATTTGAGATGAGGCATTGATAATGAGAAACATCAGAAACTTTCTTTCACCACGAAGTCCGTTCTTCTGATTTCTGTTGAGGTGCTACTCCTGGGCTTGCTGATTCTTGCTGGTACTCATTTTTTAGTTTCATCTCCTTCACGTGCTCACACACATAACTCGTTACTCGATTTTTTTCACACATGACATGAAAACAGGATTTGATAACTGTTCTCTATATCCCCTGTTGTTGCCAGTCGTGTCTTCTCACGTCGCCTGTGACTAATTTTTATTTTTGCTTGTTATTGTTCTATCGAATTTGAAAGTCGTGAAATTGATTCATCACTTGCTTATACTTTAATAAATATCTTCAATCATTGTGGTGGTGGTCGACGCTTGGAAAATTATAGATAGTGATAGACCATATATATTGAAGGTATTTTCAACAGAGTTTCTTTTTTTAAAAAAGTAATTAAAAGACAGATTAAACAAAATGACGACTCCAACTCTAACAACTCCTACAACCGATGAAGTTTCGTCCAAGCATGCCACTGCGACCTCTCCGACGACTGGCCCCACTCCAACTGCTCCGAAGGCCGCTGCCTCCACGTTCTTCACATGTGTGTGTGCGAAGCCAGGATCAGAGGGCGGCAGCTTAGGCCTGATTTATTGTGACGATGAGATCGTTGCCGTGGTGCCGAAAAGTTGGGCCATGGTCCAGGACATTGATCAAGGAGACATGATTGTGGCAGTCAATGACAAAAAATTCAAGACCATGTCGCCGAATGACCGCAAGACAGAGCTCGAGAAGCCTGGTGTACGAATCGAATTCGAGAGACCTGCAACTAGGGTGCAGCGATATTATAATTTATTCAGAGACTCATTCACATTGACTTCGTCAACGTAATTCTGATTCATTGTTTCGATACGCATGCCATAATTTTCTCATCTTTATTGCCACAAGAACAACAAATATTAACCAAAACGTGCTGGCTCGTCGTGAAAAAGTGGCTCGTCGAGAAAATCAAACAAGTTAATCAGTTGCACCACTATAATAGTACTCAAGCCGTCATTGACAACATACTGATACTGTATACTCAAAAACGCTTACTAGGCTATCTGCGTCTCCGGAATCTTAGTGGACAAGAACCCTGGTTGCAGGTTTAAAGGACGTAAAGTTGTATCGGTAAGTGAGAAGGGGTTTGCCTCCACCCTCGAGATAGCAGTGGATGACGAATTAGTTGCCGTCAACGGCACAGGGTACTTATTTCATCTTGGCTACATCTAGTACTTCTGCTAGTATTAGAACAGGTTACTGAGTCTGAGTACGGCGAGTATGTTGTACTCGTACAACTTCTATGTAGAGGCCACTAGAAGGTTAATGATCGTGACGAAGATGACGCTGTTGTAGAAGGCCGCGTGGTCCGTTGTTGCTTATGCTTTGATTGTCCGATAATAATTGACGTAAGTTCATGAGATCAGTAAGAAGTCAAAAATTTGATTTTCAATTCTAGTCGTGATCAGGTCACGACCTCCAAAAAGAAAAAAACTTTCTTCACTGTTTGCTACAAACAGGTACACTGAGCTTGCGTTTGACGAAAAGTTGCAGCTACTAACGAAGACAAGACCCGTAGAGATGATATTCCGACGAGCTGTAGGAAGTGAGAAGACACAAGTGCGAGTGTCACCTAAACCCGTAGTGCAACCCTCAGGAGGGTTTTTTGCTTTTTGCACAGTGTGCGCAGAAGCGAAGCGTGGAGACACGGAACAAATCGTCGTTTGACGAGTAGGCCTAATCTTCTAGGTGTTTCTTGAGTTACTCAGTTGTAGATCTACTAATTACTAAGTGTTAGTGTTTCCTCTAGATCTAGAAAAACCCAAAACAAAATGAAATTTTCTTTTTTGACCGTGCAATTGCAAGTAAGGAGCATAGTTGGTCAGAAAAACAGTAGGTCACGGTCACCATGTGCATGTCATGATTCCTTATTTACAACTTTGGTACGCGTTGTACTAGAGTGTAGACCAAGTCCTAGGATGTTGCTTTATGTACAGATAGGATGGCGCTGAAGGAAGCCACCCATTTATGAAGAATGTACTCGTGGTCGTGTCTGAAGATGCACGTCGGTGGAGGACGCATTTTCGTAGAAAATAAGTAAACCATTCATCTTGCGTGTGTGCATCAAGATACTGAATATTCATCGCGGCGTGTGTGCACAAGGAAATTTAAGATGGATATAGCTGCATCAATCAACTGTAGTACACAAAAATTCATGATAAGCATCATCAGTGTCGCAACATCTATATCAATGAACATTTTTAAGGAACTACAACAAGTACAACAGGGAACAACTCAAGCTCTGCACGATCAATACTCATCGATTAGAAAGTGTGTGTTGATGATGTCATCATCGTTGAACACATTATGCAACGAAAACAAAACCGCTAGGAAAAGAGCGCATTGAAGCCACAACTGGAGACGAGAGACAAAAATAGGCACTTCATCAGAGCGCTTCCGCTTTTGTTTCGAAGCCGAGAAAAACTAAAACTTGGACTAGGATCCAAGAACGATTCATTTTCTATTTTTTGCTTTAACTTGCTTCTTCAAAGCTGTGCGTCAAGGTCAATATCAAGATTAGATCTTCCTTCTGGAAGGATCATCATCGGGATCGGTATTTTGCGCGTTGTACAAGCAAGAACTACAAAAATAGCATGGAGGTCAAAGTAGGAAAAGACCAGCAATGCTCTTGGCAAGAATTATCACGACAGGTGGTAGTATCGCAGGGGGAATTTCAAGCGATCAAAATGAAGACAAAAGATATGGATACTACTTTCGAAATATGAACGTCGAAAGAGCCACAGCCACGACTTTGGAAACGACATCGAATATCTGAAAACAGGACGATGCGTTCAACAATCGGGGAGCTCGGCTGTCCCGGTTCATCCGCAGGTGGTGGGAAGGACGGCACGGGGGATCCACACCAACTACCTGCGCGGTATTCCTGCCCTCATCTCCTGTGGCAAGTCGAGAGCGATCCGTATGTGCACTCCCTCATTCCAGACTTGGCAACGAGGGTACTTGATGGCCTCACTGGTGGAAGGCCTAATTCTGCTTTTCCAGAGTGCGTCGATGTCGAGCTTCGCGTCCGAAGGGAGCACGACCAAAATGTCACCGTGCAAAACTTGAGTTGTCACTTGCAGCAATTGGTGCACTTTGCGCAGAATCCACGGCTCAAGCAGGTCCTTTTGACCTTCAGCGACTTGCCACAGCTAGCGGCCGCTTTAGCAGGAGCGATAAGGTCCTCGGAGGTTGCCGATGGAGTCGGCGCTAGCTTTGGGGTGCAAGCACTGAGTCTCATTTTCTTTCTGACGCATCGTCCTGTGGTCTCTACCACGACGTCGCAAGGAGGGGATCCGAAAAATGTTGCAGCTTATAGCTACTTCGGCAGCCAATTGTTGCCGATTCTAGTACAGCATGCACTTGCGTCTGCGTCAGTGTCATCGAGCAGGTCCTCGACAGGAGGACTAGATCATAGTCTCCAGTTTGGCGGAGTTCATCTGCCTCTGCCTCTCACACTCGCTGTTCTGGCGAATCTGCTAAGGGGAAATGCGGTGGCGCAAGGCAGTGTGAAAGCCATGAACGGCTATCCCGATCTCGTACAGATTCTCAGAAGATGGGCATCTCCTCCAGCAGCACAGGAGTCATGTGGCGGTGAGGAAAAGCATCGGACTGGGAGAAGAGGAAGCGGCAGTGGCTCATCAACTTACGAACCGCCAACGATATCGGCATTTGACTACATCTTGCCACCTACATTCGATTCAGCGCCTATAGCCGCGCAGGATTCGACCTCGGCTGAAGAAGATTTACCACCTGTGAAAGTTGGTACGACAATTATTCCGTCTTATGCATGGGTACTACAAACAAGCTAGAAGTACTAAATGAACATGTAGTAAAGAACGTTATCGACGCTATTGTGCTTGTTCATCTTGAACCAACAAGTAGGAGAATGAACCTCACATTATCGCTAGTACAACTAATATTAATGGTCTGTTCAATGACAGAGTTTGTTACTACTTAATACATAGATACAACAGTGCCACCAGTGGTACAAGCAGAGAATGACGCGTTGTTGTAGATCAGAAAGCAGAATCAGCTAAGCTTTAGTGATTCTGTCCGCGAGTACGACAGCAGCCGTGGACGCAGCGATTTCCGGTTTGGATCGCGGTACAAGAGAACGCGCACTCTCAGCGGCCGAACTCTGCAGTGTTCGGCTTTTTGCGGCGCAGACTCTATTGGCATTGGAACCCCAGCACGCCTCGGAGACGAGCTACTATGTCTTAGGTTGGACGAGAGAATTGGAAGTACTAATAAGTATGTGTTACTCCTAAGTAATAGATACTTCTATAATGTGACATGAAGATCATGAAGTAGAGCGGTTCTTGTTCTTCCTCTAGGGGGGCGTGGATGTTAGTACGAGGACAGTGTTATTTGGGCTCTCTACTGGAAGTACTTCCTACTTCTACACTAATCTCAAAAATTAGCTGCTGTTGTAAGTCCTACTGCTCCGTCTACTTCTAATTTGCCGCAGTCCCTGTCGAAGAGCGGCGGTCCCTCGACGAGCTGCATGAAATCAGCTTCTTCCACGCTTTGTCTGTGGTGTGTGCGCCAGTGGCTTCTTTGTACGTGAGCGAATCGATGGGTCTCCTCTTAGTCGACGTTGCGCGAGACTTGATCGAGGACAGATTCGCGATGGACGCAACTGCGGCCGAACGGCTTTTACACGAGTACAGCACGAAGTTTTGTCCGGCGACTACTTCTAGCACGACCCCTTTGGATGTTGTTGCGAAGACGGGAAGTCAGACCAAGATGGACGATGCAATGAACCCATCTTCGTCCGGGGCCATAATCCCTGCCACACGAGATGTTTTAGCAGGTGCAGACGAAGTAAGGGCTGCCGGGATCAGCAAGTTGGCGGTGAAAAATTTTATCAAGGGACACGAAATGCAGTTCTATCTGCCTCTGGAGGCGCTCGTCGAAAATGAGGCAGAGGAAAGGAGGAGCGAGGAGAACAACCTGCTACAACGACCAGAACTACATGACCGAGAGAACAATCTTTCAACGGATGCAGCACTACGGCGGGCCGCTAGAAGTTCTAGTACTACAGCTTCTCCAGAACGACCTCCCACTTGTCCTCCAGCACCTGGACTCGACAATTTGTTAGTTCCTGTTGAGTTCGCTCGACATTTGCTTCACTACTTGCACGATCTCCGTCACACCGACGACGTCGTTTGCGCCGTCCTGCAGTTGCTGGATCGCGTTCTGTGTCGACACAGCACCACTTTTCGCAAAGCTCTCGGCTTGGTCTTAAATCAGCATATCATGGTAGCGCGAGAAGATTGCGTCATCCACCCAGTTTCATCTACTACTACAGCAGCCATGATCCCGAGCGATAGAACAATAACAATAAATGGGAACAAAAGTAGTTGGGGAAAAATGGACGGTCTCAACCTGCTAGCAGAACTAGGTACGCGACAACACCCTCTGATCCACACGCATGCAGTGCGGATACTGACACTGTGGGTGCAGGATACCACAGGCAGTTCCCTGCTTTTGGCGCATGACTGCGAAAAGTTGCGTGGAGGTGGACACTCTGGCACTTCTTCTAGTACGTCGAGCTCCAAGGGTAGATCGGGGCAGCATCTGTACACGCTAACGGACCGACACGCGGCTCTGCGACCACTCGTTCTGCACATTGCGCGGCAAACAGAGCAGACAGAAGCCGGGTGTCGCTTCTTGGTCGCCTTGTTTTAAGGGTAGTTTTTAATCACTCTCCCATGTGGACTAATATGCTGCGCGGAGTCCTCCTTGATTTAATACACGGGAAAATTATACGGGGGAAAGAGGGCAACACACTCGACTCGGGATAGTGAAGAACTACCTTCAATTGTTGCGGATTAACGCGATGCCGACAGGCACAGGCCCAGGCGCATCTACTTTTCCAGGAGGACGAGCACGAGGCGATGTGCAAGACTCTTCAAATCAGGTTTCATTTACCGAACAGGCGTGCCGCGAGGAGTACCAGTTGTTACTGCAAAACGGCATGCGTGCGCTAGAACAGCGCGACTTCGGCAAGCTGAGCGCGCTTTTCGAGCTCGGCCTCTCTCTCGACGACGCCTCATTGAGACAGCGGCTGCAGCGTGAGGCGGCTGTAAGGCAGCTGCTGCACGAGTCCAGTGTAGCGAAACGAGAGCAAGCAGTAGCAAGGGACCGAATGCGCAAGTTAGGAAACCAAAAAATGATTGGCGTCGTCGACGATTTCGTGGCTGAGGCAGCAGGCGATTTCGCGGACGGCCGCCTTCGTGACCGAGGAAGTCCTGAGTTCTTGGCAGAGAAGGCATCTTTCGGTTTCGGCGGAACGTTTGAGGAACGGATGCACAAATTCTCAGCGCCACTGACTCGCTCGTCTCGCAGTGGCGGGACTACATCAAAAGGGCGTGCTATTATTCACACAGGAGGTGGGTCGAAAGAAACGAGTACTACGGCGCGAACCACCGAGCTTGGTCACGACCAGTCGCTCGGAGCTTCTCTTGCAGAGTCGAGATACAGAACTGCCGACGAAAGCAGCAAAGAAACAGCACTGTCGTTGCTCGCGTCAGGAGGAGTCTATGACCACTCGGACCATGAGCAAAAGCAATTTCTACAAGGAGTGGCTGCAGCAGGTCCCTCGGGATCATCTGCGGCTCCTAGATCTTCCGCTGATGCCGTTACTGCCGCTGCGTCGAGAAACATAAGTGAAGAAGAAAATGTCCTTGATGAGGATGATCCATTGTCTTATCGCCTCTTGGATTTGCGGAGTGATGAAGGCTTCCACCTTGGGTCCGCGATGGCTACTTCGGCCCCCTATTCGGTCGTACCAGCTCACATGCGCGAAATATTCTACAGTCACGTCTATTTGAGCATGCTCAGCCAGCAGAACGGACCTCGACTTATACACGATCGCAACCTCCAGAAATTCTACGTTCTTCTCAACTCACCAGAGTGTGTTGCCTTTCTCATCGAGACCCTGCTAGGACTCAGCGGACCGAAAGATGCATTGACGAATGGACTTTCAAATGTAGGGGAAAAATATTGTGAACAATTTACCATAGAACAACGAGCACGTCGTAAGTTGTAAGAAGTTGTAGTACTACAACTAGTACTTCTTTTTAATTTGATGAAATGTACTCGTACAACTCCTAGTGCTCATGTAACATACTTCTCATTTTTCTCATACCCTTCTTGAAGATTTTGGGAAGAAGACGTATGCTCGTCCTCCAGGATGATATTAAGCTCAAGAATGATTGCTCTTCCAGACCCAGGAGAAAATTCAGATGATTGAACTTGACGTCCTAATCTAATCTCCGCCACAGAATGGTCTCAGCAGACGACGCATATGGACGTCCTTGCTTGCTGGCGGTTGCTGCGGCGTCTGTCTACGACCGACGACTTGGAGCGCGAGGTGGGGGACGGTTTTCTCAATGCTGCACGAAAGGTAGAGCAACTGCGTACAGAGCCCCGTGTCTCTCCTGCTGAACTCGCGCAGCGTGAGCGGGAACTGGGAGTCTGTCGCACAGAGAGAGACATCGCAGCTCAGCAGATTTTGGTCAAGAATGAAGCATTGCAACAAGCTAACGCAACGCTAGAGACCTGTGTGCGGCAGCTGCAACAGCAACAAGAAACGCTGATGGAATTGCGCGAGACACGCTCGTCGCTAGAGGCCGCGGAGGAACGCCTATCCGCTTCAGCCGCAGAGAACGCGCGCGTTCTGCAGGAGTCGCTTGACAAAGATGCGTTACTAGCGCATTTTGAGCAGCAAGCCGCGCAGATGGCTGCGGACGGACAGCACAGACTGGGCCAGGCCGTAGACAGTCAGACGGATCTGTATCGTACTGTCCGTGACCTCGAAATGAGACTACAGCAAGCGCAAGAGGACAACCGGCAGGTGAACGCGCAGAACGACACGCTGAGACGGGAAAACGAGCTCTTATCCGAAGCAAATGCGCGCATTGGCACACAACTGAAGCTACTGGAAATGAAGGATAGAGAAAGGGAGGCGGAGAAATTAAACATACTGAAGCTACTGGAAATGAAGGATAGAGAAAGTTAAGGCTCAACTTTCAGTGGTCATCGAGGTTAGTCATAGTCACTGAGATCGAAGAGCAGAAGACCCCAGGAGAGAACAGGGGAAAATGAAGGGAAAACAAAGTAGGGAGAGGCAACATGGCTCGTTTTTCTTTCAGAATCAGAAGTGACCACTGAATGCTGACCTTCAAGAAAGGGAGGCGGAGAAATTAAACAAGGGCCGTCAAGAACGAGATGGAGGACACCTGGACGCGAGGGGCGAACAAGGTAACTCAACCTCTGGTGTCATGGCCAAATCGGGGGTTCCCTATGATAGTGGTGCAGCTACAATTGCAGCAAGTGAAGACATCAACCGAAACAAGTATAATGACAACTTCACTACGTTGCGCGCACCTCCAAAACAAGTCGTAAACAACAGGGGTAGTACTTTTAGTAGAGGAAATGCAACAAATCCACTCAGTCAAGTAGAACATGTTGTGGGAGATACAAATACAACATCAAGACAGCTTGACACGACGATGCGAACGGCAGAAATGATGGGGGACCTTTTCAGGACGTCCTTAGCTGTCCCAGCAGGACGGACGCTTGACCCAGAACTGGCTGCAATCGATAGTCGCTACAATCAACATCTAGTGTTCGGCAAAGAAGGATCATCAGCCAGCGTCATACCTGCACCTCCGCCAAAACCAAGAACGCTCAAAAGTCTCGATTACCTGATTCCTGAAGCAGGAATGGATCTAAGTGGAACTAAAGGACCTATCACAGCGTCTGCTGTTGTAAATCCTCTACTACAAAACTCGTCCTCAGGAGGTCCTCGTGGGTTTGATTTTGGAAGGAGAAGGGGAGAAGGAGAACGTGAAAAATCGCGGACACCTTCGCGGAATCTACAACCTTCCAACAGAGGAGGTGTTGGAGCACATGGTCAAGAGCCTAGGAGCAAGGCATCTTCCACTCACCTGTTATCGTCTTCGCGATCGAGATCACCGCCAAAAACGGGTCGGCCCATGGAGGTAGTTTCAAATAGGCAAGCAAACGCAAATAGGATCCGGACTCAAGCAGCAGCCGGACGAGGGCGCATCGGCTCGCGCACACGGTCACCACTGAAAAACTACGACTCGTTTGCGCCGTCTGCGACCCGCGACAACGGTAATAGGAGCAGATCAAATTCTCCGGAGAAATCTGCACGTGGACTCAGAGCGCCGACGCTTTCCAGTACGCTGAAGCGTGCAGGCGTGCTCAGCGTGCCTGGCACAACTAGAAGTACTGGAGACCACGAAAAGAAGGCTTGGAATTACGCAGCTGGCGGGTCACGACCGCGTTCCCCAGACAAAGGTGCGCTGTTTTCCACACCGTCTGCTTTTTCGGCGCAAGTACGAGCAGACCCTCGCCACGCTAGGGCGAAGAATAGGCTTCGGAGTGTGTCATTTTCACCACCGAAACGCGTAAGCCCGATCAAAAAAGCTGCACAGAAGCCAGCGCTCAAGAGGTCTCATCCTGATCATCCTCAGCAAAACAAATTTGCTTTTCCTACCGGTGCAAGCGCTTACCGCAGATACCAGCGAGAGGATACAGTTTTTGATGAAAAACCTGAAAGTCCTCCACATGATCCCTCTAAAACTATCGACTTCGATGACGCCATATACAAGCGAGCGGGCGACATGAAATGGTTGGAGGACAAACGAAGGCATCTTCGTTGGGGATCTTGAGACTGATTGGGAAATTGTAGGCAGAAAAATGAGGTTAAAAGGCCTCACGCAATGCCAAGAATAACATGAAATTCTTCTTGAGGATGTTGAGGGGAGGTTCAAGTTTCTACTTATCACTATACTAGTTCCTCGTTGCGCCCGTGATACATGTTCGATACTCGTCGATAAATCAATGCTTATCTCTTTCATACAACTACTTAGTATCTTCTCTACTTTTCTTCATCTGTTGCTACACGACAGAGAAACATTCTTTCCTTATCGCGCTTATCTTGATGTGCCAAGAACTACTAGACACGCATCCTCCGGGAATCCCACAAGACTCAGGACGACTGATTCCGCTAAGAACTACCTCATTCTCCATCTGCTTGGTTACTCTTACTTCCTCGTCTTGTTCATCAAAAAGAGCAAAAAGTCACAACTTCTGAGACGAATTGGGGTTGTTTCGAAGGTACCGTTACATAAACGCAGGTCGACCAAACGAGCCTTTATTCGTAAAACCTTTCCGACCTCCTCTTCAGCTTCAAGAACAACCCTCTACCTCAACTACTAGATAAGTAGGCCGCTTATTTAGATTCTCGTCGTCTTTCCAAAAAATCCTAGTAGAACAGCTTTATTGTTTATAAAGGACAGGGAACGTCGCGCCGCACCTTTTACCTGGAAGGACAACGACAACTACATCAAACATGGCCTCCCATTTGGATCCGTACATGCCCATTACTGCTGGGGTCGCAGTATCTCTCCTGACGGGCCACTGCCTTGTCACGAAGGCTCTTCAGACAATCCTCTTTCGCCTGAAGATTACCGATGCTAGTACCCCAGATGCGGAGGTGAAGAAGGTAGTGGAGTCGACCTTCTACAAGCGCGTCTGGGCCGCCCAGTTGAATGAAGCTGAATACGCACCAGTGTTGATTTATGACGAATAACCGAAACCGAAGGAAGTGCATGACCTCCATAGAAGATAGACAAGATACACGACTAACACTTCTGATCGTAATCGTCGCATCTCGATCTACCGGATCCTAGAAGATAGACTGTTGATAATCATGCTTTACTTCAGCACGCTTCAGCACTTCTTGATGATGATCAGCATCTTCTTGTTCTTCCCATGTTACTTTATGTTCTTCCCATGTTACTTTATGTTCTTCCCATGTTACTTTTTCATGTGTTCTTCCCATGTTACTTTATGTTCATCTTTCATACTTCCGCGGGTCTTGGCTACCTGGCTTTGAAAGGTAAGGAGTGTTCTGCGGCTGCGACTTTGGCGGTTGTTGGACAGGTCTGGTACTACTGGACGCGCGCTTTCATTGGTAACTCGAAAGAAGGAGGCGTTCATCCGCCTCCTTATGTACCTTATGGACAAAGACTTCTGGAGCTCTGGCCGCTGCCTGTCGCAAGCCAGAAATCTCTTATAATCTTCTTGATCTTAAATGTCATTCTGTAACAGGACGACACGACTCTTGGTCAGAATTATTTTCTTATTTACACTAATAATTCTCTTTCTCATTTTCGGTAGTTAGAGTTAACAAAGTTGACATTTCTTCCCTTCTGGAAATTTTATTCCTCTACAAGAAGTTCTTCTAATTCCGCGGCGTCTTTATGAGACATTTCGCTCTCGGATTCATCGCATACGAAATGTGGTGCTGCGCGTCGAAGTAGAGTGCAGAGGTGAAAATACCAAACTAGTGGTTTGTTTCTTTAGGGTGTTGAAATGGTCACTATATGAGAGTCTTTTTCTTGAGAAGGATGAAAAAAACAAGTACAATGAAAAATATTCATATTCTAAGAAAGAATCTACAATCGAGTGGTTCAGGATCACGAATGCGACGATGCTCACTACTACTACTACAACAACGAAAGCTGTTTGGAAACATGTTTGGCCGATTCTGAAGTCATAATCGATAATATCATCTACCACTGCCTCTTCGTTGTGGAAAAAAAATGGCTAGGCAGCAACCGCAACAAGTAAAACCGTGTTAGAAGTACGAATCAGATGCAATTATGTGTGAGAATGTTAGGAAGGAGAAGTAAATCTTCGCATACTTAGTATTTGCCGCCCTCCCAGTGGCAGTGTCGGTGATCAAGATCAACATGCTGAGTCGATCTGATGCTTGATGCCGCAGTACAGCTAGTTTTTTCTAGACAACAACTGGGTCTAGGGGTAAACTACACTTGAATATGCAAATAAAGTGACAGTGGTCGTGGTGTATAGTCCTTGTCCTGGTAGCTAAGAGTTGTAAGAGGAAGATGTACTAGATGTACAACTGTCCTTTGATTGTGTATCATAATCTATTTTCCTACTTCTAGAAGTTCTTACTTGTTTAATAGAAGTGGTCTTGACGTTCGTACGAAAATGATGTTCCCATCGCCTGCTGCCCTGGAGGCTTCTCGAGAGAAGGCGGTCCTCGGAGGCGAAGATGAACAGCTCCACCGTTATCAAGAAGATTCAGGGCGACCTTCGCGACTGTCAGTCGCTGAGGAGACGGTGGTTACGGATCATCAAGCGCGACAGCTGTACCATATGGTGCAGAAGGCGGAGGGAGTGATTGCTCCTGGTGCATGGTATACCTCCGTACTTTTTTTCCGGGCCTTCTATGCGCGAAGGTCAATTCTGGAGCACAATCCAGAGACGAGCCTGTTTTGCGCTTTGTTGCTAGCGTTGAAAGCTGAGGAGCAGGCACTTGACGTCAGCTTTTTCGCAAATCTACTTGGGAAAATACTGGGCGCACCAACACCAGCATCTTCAAGTTCGGCTTCAGATGCTTCAGTTACAGTTCCCCACCCAGGACCAGAAGATAGAGCCGCGACAAAACGGAAAATCGAGAAAAGGTGGGCCGATGTCTTGCGCAGTGAACTCGATTTCATCGAAGGCATAGATTTCCAATTGGTGGTGGAAAAACCCTTTGCGATACTAGAGCTTTTAGCCGAAACCTTAGTAGCAGAACAAGGCCCCCCGTCGTCCGAAGCTTTTGGTGAGGAGAAGAACCATTATATTCATCAAGAAGTGGACGCAGTATCATTGGTAAAGCCTTGGACAAGTGAGCAAGTGAGGGCTGCTGCAATGAGTGATGAGGCCCTGTGTTTGCCAGTCCGGCTTATTGCTATCGCTATATTCGTCGCAGCAGGAAATCGGGTGCCAGCAAGCGTGAAACGCTTTAAGAGATTGGATTTGTATCACTTTACTTTTGGATTTGAGTCACTTCGTTTTCGAGAGATTATTTTTGATCTTCTATCTAGAATGAGATGATCTACACGCTCTACGACACTTTTTCATCTAGTACATAGTAAAACACCTTGGAGACCTCTAGATTATTAGTTGACGTCCTAAGACTAACTACTAGTTGTAGTTTGTTGTGAATGAGAACAATGTAACTACAACTGTTCCAAACTTCATCTACTTTCATAATTCCCCTGAGCGCGGAAGAAGTGCAGCTGATGAAGCCGTTGATTCTCAAGGTTCGTGCGGCTGAAGGCGCGACGACCTCAGCTGAGCAGGCTGCCCAGTTAGGGACAATCCTGAACAAGCGGAAACAGTGTCTCAAACAACGGAAAGCCAAATAGCAAATGATTTAAAGCTCAACAGATGACATGGTGGAAGAGACGACACGCGACGCAGAACAATGAAAATCTTCTTGGCATTTTTCGAAGAACGCCCCTATTCCTGAAAATGAATTATCCGGCTACTATCGACCACGACGCCGACGAAAGTTGAAATGATAAACGTGAGAAAATACAAGTACAACTTGGCTCTGCTCGCTTCCGCGTGTGTGTTTTTGTCGCTAATTTAGTCGCGTTGTTACATCCATCGTCCTACCATCTTCAATCTCATCTTATCGGATCCTCTCATCGGTCAACTGTACATAATGATGCATTGTGAGAGGACTTCATTCTGTGTGGTCTGCGGCCCTTGAAGAATTTGAAAAATTGTCCTCGGTTTCCTCTGTCGGTGGATTCATCAGCTTTGCAAAGTAGAGCTGCTCGGCTCCTCTCGGTATCCCATGGCCATCTTGTATTGTTTTCCACTGGGCCATTTCTGTTGTCCTTGACCATGCCGTTCCAGTTCCTCCCAGTTAACGTTAAAGACGCTTATTTGATCCAATTTTAAAGACAGAGATTTGCTAGGTAGTGGAAGTGGTAGGCCACCTAACGGTTTTGATATTAGATAATTTTTTTTTATATACTACCTCCTTCTACGTTATTCCCATCTGAAGAATATTTGTATTAGTAATTTCTGTGGTTTTTTTATATCTATCTCTGTCTCCTAGTTAGGACGGGTCTACCACTAATATTAGAAGTGCTCCTGTCTTCTCCTGTCATCTTCAACATCATCTTCATCTCGTTCGACTTCAATCGCAAGAAGAATCTTCGAACAATAACAAAAATGGCACCAATAATTGTACAACATCATCTTCATCAGCCTTTGGGACCAGACGTGACACGATCGCTGTGGCAATTGTGGGATCAATTTCACGCGTGGCTGGCACTGAGAAACGTGACAGACACTTATGTGGATACGTTGAGACAAAAGGTCTCAAGATGTGCTGCAGCTGAAGCAGCGGACAATAGTAGAAGTGGCGGATCTAGCGGTGAGGAGTCCGGGAGTTCATCGGATTCAACAGGAGATGCGGGAGACGAGGAGAACGAAGACACTGGAATGGAGGAAGAAGCATGTGCAGCGGCAAAAATGCGGATGCCTAGAGTGTTAGAGGCCATTGAAGACAGTGCGGCACAGAGCGGGCATCAGATGCGTCGCCTACGAGAGCAATTGGATAAAGCGCGAGCGCTTGTGTCGGAATTGCAAGAAAAAGCAAATTCGGAACAAGAAATGAAAGCATCGTCTGCAATTAACGTGGAGGACGGACACCGACACGGGGGTGAGGACGAAGTACAAGTAGAAGCACATGGTAAAAATACTGAAGATGAAGATGAAGAAGATTCTACGAATATCAATACACAAGGACAAGAAGAAGAACATGTTGATGGAGACCACAACGACATGGACGAGCAGGAGGTGTGAATGGCCAGAGGCATTGTAAGTATGTCTTGACAATCGCACATCGGAACAAGGCTTTTTTTTCTTGACACGGACATCACCCGTCTTTTTTTTGATGCGATAGTTAGACCTGGTGATGCACAACATCAATCAGGAGGACGATATGCATGTCAAGTCGTCGTTTTTTTTGATGCAAGAGACAGAAGGGCCGTTTGCAGGTACCCATTTATACTTACAGTCAAGCCGAAGAAGTGTAGAAGCAGGATGGACATTATCGCACCAGCAGCCGAGATGAAGAAATGCGCTGTGTTCTTCAGACCTGTCTTTTTTTTTCAACAGCGAGCCAAACATGGCATGCACCGATGCCGCGTACCGTCGTTCGGTTCGAACTTCGACTTTTTCTGAGTTGCAATAATGCTCGGTCCTCTCTGCTCGGATTCGGAAGTGGAGGTCACTTTTTTTTTAAAATAATTGAAAGGTGGAGTCGTAATCGTTTTTATCACATGGTTGATTCGCATTCGATTTCATTGGGCTCCCCTGTCGCAATATGAAAGAGTGTGTTGGGGACTTTGAAAGTATTTTCTTCATCCAAGGAACCATCGCATCATGTTTGTACAGCACGAGTGTTCTTGAAGGTCGTGGAGTTCTTTCGCTTTGAAAGGTGACTATTGTACTTGTACCAAAAAAATGACATGGAAGACGAAGCATCAAGATCAACTTGTTGAGACCAACTAGTAGGTTAGTTCATCCTTGGTAAGTAATTTTTCTCGTCTAGGTTTATTGGGTGCTGGTCAAAGAATACCAATTTGATGATTATGGTAGAATCTTCAATTTAGCACGAAACCGTAAGCCACAATTATAACCTAAGTACTAGAGTATAATAAAAAAAAATCCATTGTAATAAAAGAACATGCCCAACAGCTACATCAACAAAACAATGTCGCCTTCCGCGGCCGAAAAAGCGGGAAGGAGTAGGAGCGTTAAAACCGGGGAATTCTTCGAATGGATTGGTGAGGATAATATTCGAGAACGACACGCCGAAGAGGAAAACTATGGTCTCGTTGCCACCCAATCTGCAGCGGCTGCTTTGAGGAAAGCAGCAAATGTATTACTTCTAGTGCTACAGGATGTTTTGTTGATGTTGCCTCCTCGACCTCGACGAGAGCTAGACCGAGTCCTAGGCCGTCTTCTTGCTTCATTTTTTCCGTCATGTTTGGATGAAAGTACTAGTGAGTTAGTTACTTACATACATAGTACTTTTTTTTGCAATTGTTACTGTTAGATCATGGATATGGATTTGGTTGCATTGTTTTTCACGTTCAGACTTTCGCTGCTTACGGTCAGCGGTCCACCTCATTGCCTGGAAGAGCAGGCCGTTTCGAGACCGGAACTGCTAAAGCTGTTGAGACTTTCAAGCGACTGCGCGACGGCTTTTCCTCATCTATGGCTCGGGGTAATCATGTTACAGCTGAGCAGCAAGAGGAGCTCGATGACGATGAGGAGGAGGACGCTGATGACGCAGTAACGTCAACGACAGCGTCAGACTACGAGGATGAAGAGGATGAAACCAGTTGTAGTTCTTCTGGAGCAGAGGGAGGTAGAACAAGTTGTGCGCGTTTATCTCGTAGAGGCAGAAGCACAACGACATGTGGAAGGGATATGGGGTGTTGCACATCTTCAGTTGGGAGAAAAGGATTGTCCTTGTACTCACCACCATCATCTGGTGTGCGCGATTGCAGCTTGAAGATACTGCAAGGAAGAACCGGGTACGGGCAGACGGACAGTGCAGATGAATACAACCAACATGTTCTGCGTGAGCATTATCACCAAGCTTCGGAAAGCACACCTTCATCAATTAGTTGTACGAAAAATATCAGTACGGAATTTGTAGCAGACATGCACCATGTTTCAGCAACACTTTTTGGAGAAGGCTGTGGACATTTTCAGCGACGTGCTTGGACGCCTTCGCCTTCGCCGAAACTGCTTAGAACACCAGAAGAGGCGTTTCTTCGACGTTGTGCAGCGTCAACTGCGCAAGGGATCCAGATGCCTTCCTGCCTGCCAACCAGCCGCTCGCCCTCCATATCTTCCTCACCTGGCGGCGGCTGCGGCAGGTTGTCATTACTCGTCGCTGGACAAAAGGTTAAGGTACCACACGAGCTGCAGCAGGGCTCGTTCGATCAAGATATCAGCCGGCGTGTTGATTTCGGGGGTAGAAGTGGACTGGATGGATCTGCGAGGACTACAACAAGTCGCGGATCCCCGTTTGCATCGACGAAGTCACTGGTTGCACTACGTGCTGGCTTCAACCAGTGTGGCGGAAGCACAAGTTCAAGCAGCCGCCTATCTCCTGGATCGAGACTAGTTGAATCGTCGACATCATGTCGCATGCAAGGGCGCCTAGAAGGGAGTTGTAGCTCTTTGGTGGATCATGAACAAGATGTCCTAGCAGCAAGAGTCGTAGCCGAAAGCTTCTTCGAAGTGAGTCCGACAGGTGAGTTGCGACACCAGGAGGCACATCCCGCAAGAAAACGGCGATTCGCGTCGCGCTCACCGTCCTCGCTGAAGATGGGCAATTTTAGAAGAAAAACCAACAGCCCAAGCCCTACACCATCCACCCAATTCCAGACAAGCAATGCTCGGATCCCTCCGTTTGGCACTACTAGTTGTACGTCTTCCACCGTGCTTCAAAGCAAGAACGGAAAGCTGATGATGAGCGCTGGATCATCCGCAGCTAGTTCCTGTGCAGACAGTGCGGCTCGGATTCTCAGGAACGCTCGGGATGCATTGGGAGATCCTTCGGTGCCGCAAGTGTGTGGAGCGCTGCTTTCGATGTTGCCGCCAGCTCTTGTTAAGGCTTCCGGGAATCCACCTTCAGAAGCATCTTACTAGGACTGTAGTTTTAGTTCTTCCATAAGGGAAAAACAAAACGGCTTCAAGATGCATCTCAAGATGGATGCGGGTGAGCGCTAATCTTGGTGCTACATCTGCTGGAGGGCTTTCCCTGGCAACGGCTAGCGCAGCGGGACTGGCCACACCCATCGCCCTCGCTTTCTGCCCGAACCCGTTGCTAATGTTCGGACCCGAAGTAGAGCAGGCAGTACAGGATTGCCTGCCTGAAAACTGGTACTGATTATGACTGTAAGTATTGACTTCGAATTTGTGATATTGGTGGGAGTTGCTATGTTTCTAAGTTCGCCTCTCCGTGGTCTCAATTTGTTTTCTTGCTACTTTTGAAGATACTTAATTGAAGGCAAGGCCACATACCTATACAACTAGATAGATAAAGATAAACGGCGCGCTTCCGCTTCGATCTTCAGGTCTATGCCAGCGCAGCAGAACGGAATGCTCGTAGTGACGTTTTTGCAGGGGTCGCTCGCGTTAGGTCGGATTTTTCTGGGTGATATTTTCGGTGGTGCTTACGCGTTGATGCTTGCCACTCTGGGCTATAATTCGCGGCATCCCGGTCCCCAGGCGAACACGCTGAAGACGTACATCCTCATTACCTTCATCAACGGCACAGTGGGAACAGTGGATTTTATTCAAAATATGTTTCTAGGCAACTACCCGATCTTGTCGCGCTCTTTGCCGCTCGCTGTGAATGTCGCGCACTTGGTGCAATTTGCGGTGCCTTTGATCTCCTTCAGCGGCGCTTACATCGGATGGGAGTACATCAAGGCGCAAAGGGCCTACATGGCCAGGTATCACTACGAGCAAGCAAAGCCCCCTGCAGTTCATCCCTCGCTCCCCTGGCCACCACCAGCACTGCCGCCGCCGAAAGTGCTCGAGCACATGGCTCGTATCACTATTCCCTAGATTAAGATGTTCCTGCTTTGTAGATGTACATGTAGTTAGTATCAGTGATATTTAATTTTTTCTTTGCCGATCTACTTCTTGTTCTACTTGTACTTCATCTACAACAATATAACTTACTATCGCGATCACAACCTGCACCCAGGTGAAATGGAGGCATACCACAAACGAATGGCTGCCATCACAAACAGTCGTGGTGAGATAGTGCTGGACGCAGACCTGCAACCTGGCGCCTTACGCAATATTGAAGAGGAGAGCGAGGATGAAGAGTCGTCTCTCTCTGAGGATTTTTAAGGCTCCCCTTATATATAACCTTGTTAACCTTACAGTACATACTAGATACATGGTCAAAAATTTACTCGTCCACATATGATCAACATGAGACGAAAATTTATGTCTTTACAGGCTTCTTGGGATCGTAGGCATCCTGGTCAGGGGAGATGGCCAACAAGCTGCTCTTCAGGATGAATATCGGTACTAAGGTCTAATCTGAGGTGGAGGAAGGGATCGAGGAACTCGAAGCTAGTCCGCGAAAAGCCATCATGGATGGTGTAGCGAGTAATACGACAATCGAGAGCAGAAATGCAGAGGACACGGCAAACAAGAGCAAAAATGCATCAACGTCAGCATTGCAGTTAGTGAAAAAAACCTCATCTGCAGATCCCTCTTCGGCATCTCCAGATGCGGAACAGGCTGGGAACCAAGGTGTAGGTACAGCACCTGCAGAGGTGACAACCACAACGACCTCCACGACCACTATCACAATCACGGCTGCGACCACAACGACACTGTCTACCACAGTGAAGAATTTAGAGGAGTAGGCCAATGTCCTGGTCCACTTAGTGGAGCTCTGTTTTGCGGTGATTCGCTGAGCAGTCTTGCTTTAATTCGTATTGCGACAATGTGGGGACGATCGGGAAATCTCTATGTTTGGTTGAGGTCGCCAATGTAAGTATATCCAAGTTCTTAAAGTTCCCACCTCCTGTAGGTACAAGTTCTCAAAGTAGGAACAGGAAGTGAATGTTGCTAGAAGTATAACGGAAGCCTTGTTCTTCATGTATTTCCCACATACCAAGTATCTGAAATTGCTTGAAGATACTAAGTATTGCTGCATTTTTCTCCTGAAGGTCGTTAAGCCGAACTTTGAGTATTTTTAGATTGACCACAGCCAATGATCCATCCCGATGTTATCATGATTCCTAGATTCGAATACTAAGACTCGTCCTTCTCTGTTTTTCGGTTTTGAAAGTACACTAAACTGTTCCTCTGACACTCTGTTACTCCCTCTCACAACATCAAACTGTAAAAAAATCAGTGTACTAGACTACAAGTAGTATCACTCACCTGTAGCTGTAGCTCCTGTAGAAATGCAGTGTACAATCATTCATGATTTTCACTCGTCGCTATGATGGCTATCGCGGACATCAATCAAATTGAAATTGTATCTAAGTAGTTGTACTTCACTGCCACGAGGTGGTTGGTTGACGTCGCTTTCTTCGATTTCTAAGATAAAGATCTGAACTTTTTTTTGTCGCAAAGAACTATATGATAAAGAAAATATTAATGACTTTTTTCGATTTCGTTTTCAAGTGACAAGTGCTAACGTTAGTACGTCGGTTGCAATTTACCGAAGTTTTCAAAGAAAAATTTAATTGGGGCTAGCCAAGTTGGGGGTGCGGCATGTGAAGGCGCGTTGTCATTATTGCAATGATCTTTTTGCTTTCATGCGCATGCCGTCTTTTACTGTCAGTTACGACGTTCCTCGTCCATGAGTACTTTATTTCGCTTGCTTGTATCCAGGATTAGATTTTGAAGGCACACATTATATCTTATTTTTCTTATAAGTACCATATTTATAGATACCTGGTCGTAGAAACTATAAAAGATGAACTACTTCTACGACGATGGAACTCGTAGAATATGACGAACTGAGTTCTTATTTTTAGATATGTTGCTTACCTTACCGTTATTTCCTGCTCAAGTTGAGCGTACTGTTATTTTTCTTGATGGTTCTGGTGCTCCCTGCTCTTGTTCTTTCATCTTCTTCCTCATCATACTTCTTCTATGCGCGGCCCCCAAAAAGGTCATCATGATAGTGGTCCTGTTTCCAAGGACAAGTATCCTGGGATTTTGGATCTTCTTCAGGACTGGTCGTTGACATTACGCAAAAGCGGACGAACATTCACGGGTCTCATCTATAACGTTGTACAGCAGAGGTGGGGAAAAGAAGTAACATTAGGATAAATTTGTATTACAGTCAATTTAATGAACCACAAGAACCTAATAAACAAGGATCACTCGTCATAGAAGAATTTTGATTTATTTTACTGAGCAGGTTTCAAGAATGTAAGAATAGACCGAGAAGATTCTTTCTTGTTTCGCTTTATACCGATAGTACAGCACTTTTGTGTGGTGTAGTATCTACTTCTTCTCCATTTTTAGTAGATGATTTTGATTAGTATGGTAAGATTCAGATTCATCTTGAAATTCCCTTGACATCATACGTCGACTTGCTTAGAATCCATGCCTTTCAGTTACTCTGCTGCTCTTCATCCGACAAGGAAGCAGGGCTTGCTGAGATGTGCGTTGTATGTAAGAAATTAAACAAGAATTTGTGATGTCTCAGTCTCAGAATGCTAGATGCTCAAACAGTCACACTAGTCATCGGTCTTCTCGATGAAGCAAAATGCAGTCGCCGATCACGTTGTACAATGTTGACGAGACCGTAATTCCTAATTAGATGAAAGATAGATCTTGATTTTGTTCAATAACATCGAGTGGAATGTGTAGCTCCTTAGAGATGACGTATGAGATGTAGTATGTTCTTCTTGGGCTTTTGGTTCTTATTGGATATGAAAACTGCCACAGCAGGAGCAGGAAAGACGAGAGATGCGACGCTGTCTCGCACCACCTAGAGCCGAACTCAGTTTCATTATCTGAACTAATTTTTCATAGTAGTTGTAAGAGTAAGTAGTTCTTGATCAGGACTGCTTCTTTGAGCACCTCCGTTCCCAAAGAAATGGGCATCCATTAGACATGAGTTACATGACCACGGCAAATGTGGATATAATGATAGAGGATGCTGCGAATGGAATGTAGTCCAATAATTCCTTTGATGACAACATCATTGTACCAGTACTTACTCGGAGCAAAGTACGGAGCGATTTTGGTAGGTGATATGCCTCTGAGGCGACGGTACCAGCGGAAAATTGGGCATGCAGGATGGCATCTCCGTATGATAGAACGGTGAAAGTGTTACCGCTACTTTTAGAATGGATGAGTGAATGAATGAATGTTTATGTTACGAAGAGAAAATTACGAAGAGAAATCTCCAAATCCAAATCCAAACCTCACGTCTGAATGAATAGGCCAGGTCGGACTCAGAGAGGGACCTCTTGACAAAAAAAAATGAGTAGGACAGTGAGGATTCTCGAGACTTGGACGACCAGCGACATCATTTATTCTTTTTCATCCTCTGCTGAAGCTGAAGAGTAAGCATATGAAGCGTCTGGCGACGTCGACTTAGTACTATACAGAAAATTTAAATGATTCCTAACGAATGTTGTAGTTGCGACCTCTCTTGTTCATCTTCAAGTTGTTCGAACGTCTTCAAATTATTCAAAGAGAACTTCTGAGACGAATGGAAAGCAAAAATGTCTTCCTCTCAGGCACCAGCTTCGGCAACGGAGCAAGGAGCGGGAGTTCCGTTGCTAACGACCTCTGCCGGAGCGGTATCGAAGAAGAACTCGATCCTCCCTCTCTGGCTCATCTACATCATCCCCGGGGCGCTGATCCTTGTCAACTACGTGGTGTGCGTTGTGTATTTGATGAATCATTACGGCGCGAACGATGCTAATCCTGACCAGAGAGGCGGTTTCAACCTGTGGGGCTCGATCTACGACAAAAAATACACATGGCTGTACGCTCTGTATCAAATCGGTTTTTTGGTAGCAGCATCCGGCTTCATAATGAACATGTACTACGTGTTCACGGTGGCGAGTCTGATTCCCACGAATTTGTATAGTAAACTCTGTAGCGCCATGGCGGTCTTCATGGTGTTCGAGCATCTATGGATGCCTGCGTGTTGCCTATACATCGGGGACCCGAAGAACAGAGACTGGCTTTGTTAAGGCTACTTACAACAACAAACCAGCGTCTTGTTCTGATCATCCATAGTGCCTTTTTCAAAGGAAAAAGAAGCATCATGATGTTGCTCCTGAAGATTATAGGTTTTATCTCTTAGTAAATATAAGTACTTAGTTCGAAGGTTATAGGTTTATTCTCTTAATATATTATAGTTCTATGTTCTAACTCTGGTGGTTCATTTTCGTGGAGTTAAAGATTTGCGCGCTGGCGATTATCGCAGTCGCAGTCTGTACGACTCTGATTCCACCTGAACTCGCTGAGTATGCAAGCTGGAAAGGCGGAGAGGAGACCAAAACCTCAGTTATGGCCAACAAAATTAATGAGTGTCCATATTTTTTAGTGTCCAATTAGAGAATTAGAAGATTAGTGTCCAATTATAGAAGATCGATGAAGATTAAAACAGTTCTTCTTCTTCACACGACCCGCTTCGTATTCGTTACTGAGTATATCCGCATCATCATCAGCATTTTTTCGGTAGGACCCTTCTCAGGATATCAATCGATACCCTTTTACCAATTTTAATTGTTTCATCTCAGAATGTTGAAATACAAAGGTCGGAAGAGGGGTCGAGATGAGTTGGTTTGGCTGAAAAAAAGCTGGTTCTAACTCGGAGAACGGAGGCGGCAGGACCAAGAGAACAGTCGGCGTTGTCGGTTCGTGGATGATTGCTGCTCATTGCACACTCTTAGATGGGATAATGTGGCCCTTCTTCTTCAACGACGATGGAAGGTTCAGCACAATAAAAAGATTAGATCCTAACTACTAAGCAGAAGCTGATCATTCCGAAGTAAGAACCAACTAGACGTGAGCAGAACGAAGCAGATCATGAGGGGTGGAAGAACAGTGCGTGGTCGTGGAGATACATGAGTAGTACGTTGAGCAAGATGAATGTCAAGATGAAAAATGTATGAGGAAGACGAGGACACGAAATGATGGAAATGCAAGACGAACGCAAGTGCTATTGGTCATCATCGTTTTTATTGCCCTGCAATAGTCTTAAGATCCGCTAACTATAATGATTTTGCCGGATGTCGATCCCTGAAGATGGTATGGACGAGACTCGTTCAGTCTGTCACTCCTGCGATGTCCGGAGGCGAGATCGGCGATGAGTGTTGCCCTTGTCTTATCGTGTCGTCGGTATCGTTGCGTCGTCGTGATAATTAGACTCAAAGCGCTCACTTATTACCAGTGTGGTCTGTTTTTTCACTTCAAAAAGGGAGCACCAACGCTCAGACCAGGGCTCTCGAGAGACGCTTGAGAGGTAGACGAGCGGCAGCATTGAGATTGAGTAGCGGCTCCGTTCTTCAAATATTCTTATGTTGCATCTTCTGTTTTCTTCCTCGATGTAATCGCTTGCTTTCGCAGTATGGCACACGGTCCAGCCTGCGTATTTCGCATTTTCGTGGTAGTATCGCAGGAGTAAATTGGCCACTGGTCGACTGATTTCTTTACTAATCTCGTTTTGGCGTCGTTGGTATACAGGTCGTAGTCGTTGCTAACTAGAGGAGTCGTGTGGAGCTCTTTCTTGGGCTTTCCTGTTTATTAACTCAGTCTTTTATCTCTATCTCATTTCGATTTCTCACTCATGTGATGTTCTCGTCTCATTCTTTCTGTGAAGTACGTGCTTTCTCTGCGCCCGTGCGTTGGCGTCAAGTCGACAGCTTTGCGCTTGTGCTTCGAATTGCTATTTGTTTGCATAAAACTAGTGGCGCCACTGCAGGCGACTACGATGTCGAGTCCGATGATGAGGCTAAAGAAGAAATCTGATGTAGTCAGTTGTATTTCAGGAAGTAACTGGTTTACGAAAAAAGTTATCTTTTACAGTGTCAGTGACTGTCTTATAGAGTTAGTTTTGCGAAAGAATATGATTATGAATGTTTTTTTGCACCTGTTGAAATCAGACTGTTGCGGTACCCGCCTCAGGTAATGAAGGACAAGAATGAAGATCATATGTATGCTCTGAGACGAAAGTAGCCAACCATCAATCAAAATAATGTTGTACTTCCTTGTAGAGTCGAAGATTTTTGTTTCAAAAATCCTCGTTTCCATCCCAAGAACCGAAATGCCGCAGCGCGAATGAACATATTGTACTCGTGAAGATTTTTTATCAAGCGAACTTTCTCTACATCTACTGTTTGTATTGCTTCCGAGCAGGTCCTGTATCATGTATGTTGTATATCACACGAATTTTCTGGTGCACCATAGCGTCAATGAACCTGAAATTTTTTATGTTCTAAAACAAACTTAACGTTTTATAATGTCTCTTTCAAAGAAATATTACAGGACCCCTCCTCCACCTCAATCATAACCTTGAAGAAACAAACAACCAGGTCGGACAGACAGACCTCTTTGACTTCCTACTTCTATTTGCAAATGAATAATGATAAGATGAAATCATGAGCACAGTGATTCAAAACTCAGGCGGTGGACAGATTTTTACGACGAAGATTGGACAAAGGAAAGGAAAGGAAGTCTGCGAGGGTTTGATCTGCGCGATTCATTGTATACGATAATATGCTAGAAGACAAAAAGATTGAGAAACATGATCATGAAGTGTAGTATAGAGGGAAAGCGGAGCGAGGAATAATACGTGAATGTATGTTGAGGAGAAGTCTGTGAGGGCAACGTCGAGGCATCCTATTCTGTCCTCCCCTATCCTATCCCTAGCCTCGCAATGAGGTGGTCAAAATTTATAGTTGTTGGATCATTTTTCAGATTCAATTTTAATGGTCGTTTTCAGAAAACTAGAACAATTTGAGCCGTTAACATGCAAGTAGACCAACCTTCGTTCACTGTGGAGGTCATGCCATTGCGAACAATTTGAGCCGTCAACATGCAAGACAATTGCAATCCATCGATTGTGGCATCACTGGTGCCTTCAACATTTTACGTAGTTCACGATGTGTTGCGACTCTCTGGGGAAAGCCTCGACAATCCAGGGTGTTGCAAAGGGGGGACCAGGCAGCAGCATGGCACAGTCGACTTCCTCAAGATGGTGCGGTCTTTGAGCCGATGCGCGAGAGGGATCACGCGCTTTCTCGATCGAGGATGCTCAGGTGAAACATTCTTAAGTGTAGACTTTTGTGTTTCTGTTAACGCCGTTAGTTTGTTTTGACTCTTCTCCAGCTAAGTGAGAAGCAAAAGCATAACAAAATGGAAAATAGAGGAACACCAGAGCGCTACAGCTAAGATTGGAAGAAGAAACTGAAAACAAGCTAAGACTTTTGCTCTTGCATTACACTGACCGAGACTGGCACCTCAGCTGCACACAATACAATGGAAATGCGCAGCAACTCTACGAGGCCAGGTTTCCGGATGTGGCCATGATGTCAAACTCCTCCACTAGTCTGGCTGCGACATCACGACCGTCATGGGCAGCGTCTGCTAGTTCTAGTACGCAACCGAACGAGGGTAAACGAGGACCTGATTTTTCTGATGGGAACAACACCATTCCCTTGGTTTTACACTTGTGTCAGTTAGCGGCTCAGCACGCGCACATCCTTCTTCAAGGAGCTGCGAAAAGACTTGTTCCAGATAGTGGTGAGCAGAAGGCGAGAAATCTTCCAAATCTAAGTGCTACTACAGTATCTCCGACTAGTACATCAGTGGTGAAGACTGCTCGCGAGTGGATCATTTCACAGGCATTGTTGGCTCTCCAGGCTCTACTGGGGACACTGAGGTCCGCAACTTTCGAGGATCTCAGCTTAGATGTGGCTGGAGAACACGATGGACTTCGATGCCACGAGCTCCTGGCACGCTTTTGTGACCAGCACCTATATTTCCGACTCGCCTTTCAAGCTCTGATCTCCAAGACCAGGCGTGTAGGACGTAGTTGTATCAGTATTAAAGGAAATATTACAAGCGGGCACGGGCTCGGGCAGAAGGAAGTAGAAGACGGCAGCAGCAGCCTAGGAGCGGTAGCCCTGTCAGTCTGTGAAAGTCTTGCAGGGGAGATTCTATGTGCCTTGCTGCAGGATCGTGCGCAAATGGCAAAGAATAGCCTCACGCCGTTACTGCGAGCCTTTGTGCGAACCGTTGGGCAAGAAGAAGAAATCGCTGGTCGTGGCAGAAGTGGCCATCTTATCTTGATGCAAGCTGTAAAGGCATTAGAAAGTAGTAGTAAAGAAAGTAGTAATACTAGTCAAGTAGCTAGTATTTTACTCAGCACATCAACCACTACAACCGATGCAACTCGTGTCCAACTTATGGAACTGTTCTCGAACGAAATACTTCGTTGTTATGATACTAATAACCAAGATGAAACAGAGACGATTCGGACTGCTTGTTCTGCGTTATTCATGATTGAGTCCTTCACTGCGTTACCGTTACCTGTCCCACAACCTGCCATGTTGACACTGGTGGGCTCACCAGAATATCTGCGTTCCTGTGGGTCAGTCAGGAGTAGTCACGGCTTGTTTATTGCAAAGTCGTGGCGAACTGTGTTCTTACGGTTGAGCGAAATCAAGTAGCGTAAGTACAGCTAGTCATCGTCTACGTGATCTCGACACTTGTCCTACTCATTACACATCAGTAAGCATGACTGCTACGGAACTGGTATTGATTATTTGATTTTTTCCGAATCGACTGCTCCAAAGATCATGTTCCTAAGTAGCTATTACAACAACATGTACTGACGTCGAGAAGGAGAACCACGAGAAATCAGCAAAGGTCTTGATCTCATGATGTGATCACATGTGAGGAAATTTCGTGAACTACCACTACGACCACAATCGCCAATTCTAGATCAAAGAGGATCACGATGATGCAGGTGCCAATTCCTCTGTCACGACTTGTAGTTGGTACCGGCGCCTCTGGTCCTTCTAATGCGACAACTGGCCGGCTTTTTTCGCGCAAGGGCTTCTGTGCTACGGCGAGCTTTAGTGGAAGTTCATCTTGCTCTTCTGCTACGCACACGGCGACGAGCAGATGTTCTGTTCTGGCTGCAAGAGGTCCCTGTCAATTCGACCAGCGCCGTTTTATGCGAGAGCGTGTGCGCGTCTCGAACGCGTGGGACGACGTGTATACCATGGAAAACCCTCGTTACGGCAAGACATGGCCGCCTGACATGAACGAAATCGGGGAACCCTTGAGCATGCCCAGAATGCGTACGCTGATGCACCAACTCCAAGTAGAGGAGATGCAAAAACTAGAAGCCATGCGCAGCTATCAGATGCCAAAAGTCTCGCTTTATGTCGCTGGAAGTAGATACTATTGACTGTGATATCATAAAGACAGTGACAGTTGTACTTCTTTTAGTGATCAAGAAGCATGGTTGCATTCTGAAGTAGACAAAGACATTTGTAGTGATCAAGAAGCATGGTTGCATTCTGAAAGTATTAGTAGATAGATAATATCTATGACAGTAACAGTAGTAGAAGCGATGATGAAGCATGTTGATAAATTGCGCAGCTATGTATTCGTGAGAAAGTAGAACTTCAGGTTCAGTAGAGCTTCTCTGCTGCTCTTCTAACCCCAAGGAGATTTGATCGAAGTGAAGTACGAATTGTCTCGGTCTCAGCAGACCTTCGCTACTTTCCAGGGATACTGCGTCGCACTACGAAAAAAGCGGGCAGCTTCGGCTATCGTACTGAAAAACACCTACGACGGTGTTGGAGTCGAACAGCTTTTGCCGATTTATAATTTATGACATTCCCGTTGGCTTTGTATTCTAAAACAAGAATGATATCATGATAATAACTAGGCCACTAATACCAAAGTAGGAGGAAATCATCTGATGACTGTCATCACATTCACAATTCGGCAGGTTCTACAATTTCTAAGGTAAGAACTTTTACCTATAATCTCAAATCTTCTTCTTTCATTTCCTCCTCGGCTTTTGGATGTGCGTGTGCTTAAACGAGCGAATTTGTCGGAAGAACAGTTGAAGGTGGACAAGCGGCACAAGTCGCGGAATTATCGCTATCACTGGCAGTACTACAAGCTCGGAAAGTGGCGAAGCTCAAATCGAAAATACTGGTGGCGACGACCAGCGCGAACAGGTACAACGATTTGTTACGGCGTTCCGGATGCAAGACGAAGATATTCCTACATGAGTTTTGCCCATAGCGCATTCTTGTCTTTCGATAGCCAAGCTCCTTTACCCACTAGACGAGGGCAAATTGATAATCCAAGCGTCAAATCAAGTAGAAAACTCAGTCTACAACTAAAACTGAAGGAAGTAAAGAAAATCAAAATATCCGATGCTTACCCTAACTTCTCTCCTTCCTCAGGTATCCTGAATTTGGAGAACAAGATTCGTGTTGAGTACGCCCATTTGCGCAAGCGGTATGCGATGCAGCGCGCGGCGGCTGGGTTGCCAGCTTACATCCATCCGGGTCCGTATCACATTGTGCGTCGACAGACACGTGAGGTGCGCGCTGAAATGGAGCGTCGTATGTTGGTATACGCCTGGGATGAGCGCCGCGCGCGGTGGGCGAAACTCGCCCGCCGCAAGCGACAGCAACGATGGGGTCTGTGTCGTGTGAAAAAAGTCGAGAAGACGGCATTGGGAAGCCACGCGAAACAAAGGCTGCCAAGATACCACACGCTTAACAACGTGGAACAATAAATCCGTTGTCATCTTGGAGGTGTACATTCCATGATGAAGGTAAGACGCTCTTTCTAGTACGTATGTGATATGATCGACGACATCTAACGACTACGTAATCTTAATACAAAGACAATGCCGTTGCTTTGTGCTTGTCAATGATTCAACTACATCCAGATAAACGCAAAACCAAAAAGATGCCATTGTTGTGCCTTGGTGCTCCTGAGTGAGGGACGTCTTTCCTAAACATTTCTGAACCGCGAATGCACAAACTGAGTTCGAACACGAACATTTTCCTTGTGATGGGACACGTTTGCACCATAGAAAAAACTCGAAATTCTTCCTTGTGAAAATTCAAAAATTCACTGATGAAGGCTATTTGGAGTAGAGATTTCAATAACGTCGACATGCATGCAGTAAACAACTACTAAGGATTGAGATTGGTAATTATGGAATTATATATTTTTACTTCCTGTGTGAGTGACAGCACCGAGAAGTTCACCATAGGAGTCAAGAGGTCGCTGCTGAAATAACAATGACGTCAGAGGTTACGGTCCAACACGGGCATCAAGAAGACCGAGATACAGCATCACCACCAGCAGTGCCGGACCAAGATATGCATCGGAGTCTACACGTTTCAGTCGTTTTTGGTGGGGAGAGTATTACTTCGAAGTGGCGCTTTGCTAACGATGATGCCGTCGACCGATTAGACTTGGAAAGGTTTTGTGCGAGCTTTTTGCCTGAAGCTGAGAAGCGATTCTACCCTGATTTTCGGAATGGTGACGGCGAGTTGTTGTGCGAGGTAAATCTTGTGGTTAATACTGGACCAGTTGTAAACGGTAACGGAAATATTACGGATGTTGACGGGACGTCGCGGTTGCAGCTGGTTGAGAGAGACACTGCCACGAGCGTCGTTTTTCCAAATTGGCCAAACCAGGGACTGCGCGGCGCGATTGAGGTATTTTCACCTGAAGGGGATGAAGATCATGGATGTTGTGATAAAAGAGAAGTACTATTAGTATTACCCGAGGAAGAACAAGATGCAGAGGTTGCAGCCCATGTGGTCGTTGCGAATACCGACGAGGAGCAACATCACGATTCTACTAGAACAAGACTCCCATCGACGTACACAGTGGAGCTTCTCTTAGTTCTCACGGGTGTACAAGTGTTGGTTGTTTATGGAGAGGATGTATGCTTGGATGGAATGAAAGCTTTCAGAGACCCCAGACCCGCGGCTAGCCTTCTCGTCGAAGCCTTGAGCACCATGGATGATGAGGATCCTGAGAGTCTGAAAATTTTCGTAGACTTCCGACTAGTTCGGGTACGTGATGAGGCACGGCGAGATAGGGATAGCGGGAGAACAAGCGGGGACAAGCGGCAGGAAATGTTAAGGGAAAGTGATGCTGATGCAGTCGATGACAAAATCCACGAACGCCAGAGGGAAACGAGTCTCCAAATTACTGATGCACCCGTGGCAGATGCAGTCGACTTGCCGGTAGAAGACATCCATTCAGGACCTCCTACTTTGTGCAAAGTGTTTGACCAATTAGGAGCGCAGCGGAAGCTGCGCGACCCTGATTTTGACGGAAACGTGTTAGATCGCTACACGGCGATCGTATTGCTTGGTTACAGTGACGAGAAGTGGTTTGATGATGATGGCAGTGAAGATTTACCCATGCCGACAGGACCAGGAGTGTCAACATCTTGCTCTGATTATAGAGCAAAAGAGTTTATACGAGACTACACAGCGCAAGGAGGTCTTTTGTTTCTCGAAGGGGACCTCTTCGGAGGCAGAAGCACACATCAGGAAGAGGCAGCAGAGGAGCAAGAGCGTGTTTTTAATGCCAGTTCTGGGAAGATGCCTGATAAGGATGCATCTTTTGATTTTGTACCTCCTCTTCATAACAGCGAAGAGTCAGGAAATCAAAATCGAGATAGTGGCGCTTCTGAAGGGAGTCATGGGATCGATATCCAAGGTGAAGAAGAAATGGGAGAACCTCCGAAGCAGAACGAAGCCGAACGTCAAGTGGGAAAAGGTCTCTCATCTCCAATGCTTCACACGTTTTTCAAAGATCATCTGCTGAGTTTGGAGGTGGAGCTTTGTGGGAAAGGAACTCGCGTCGCTCTACCTATTAGGCCAGGGGTTGTGCAGAATCGCTTTGGGAATGAGCTCTATGAACGCTTATTTCGCACATCGGTGCCAGGACAGAAAGAGTCCGATTTATCGCTCTTCCGCTCTTATTGGGCCTACGTGTTCGCTGCGCATCCGAGTCGGACGCTTTTTGAAGCGGGAAGCGAAATCGATGTGAAGAACGACACGGCCAGCAGCCAGTCTTATGTCCTAGAAGTCCTCGTGACGGCAACAAATAGTTGTAAAACTAAGACCCGTCGTCGTAAACGTGATGTTGCAGCTAGTGCAAAAACAATTTTTTTTCCTTCCTACTTGAAGATATTGATATATTCGTTGTATTATCAGAAACTGAATTTCTGTCAACATCGTGCCAAACCTCTATGACGCCTTTCATATTTCGGATATCATGCCATTTTTCGCTTACGGACAAGGCTATCTGATACACTGGTGCGATGCAAGCGATGGCCGTGACGTGCATGGCCCCTGGAGACTGTGGAACGCAATTATTAGGCGAGTTTTGTACAATTTCGTCGTAGGAGGTGGCAGTTAGGAAGGCTCCTTAAGTCCGAGTGAGCAGACGCAAGTAGATGCGCAGAAGATACGAAGCCAATCAAAGCGGCATAGGGCAGCAGAGATTGTAGTTGACGCAACGAGTATTGCGTGGCTCGATGAGAGGACGTCGTGGACGGCTCACTAACTAGCTTGTGTACAGCCAGGCTTCCGCCATCCACCACAGCCAGGCTTCCGCCATCCAGTCAGTGGCACACAGACGGGGCAAGAAGCATTACAGAAGACTTGCAAGTTTTCTGCATTGTTCTCAAACACGCCTTGTCCTGTGTAGGGGTAGCTGGCTCTCCTTGTCACTCATGTTTATCCCTGTTTCATCAACATGAACAATTATCTTGAGCAGATAGAAGTTTCTCAAGGGTTGTACAGTTCTAATGGGATCGATCGAGTTCGAGACAGAGGAGGAGAGCGAGAATGTGAATGTTGACCACGCATGTACTTTATTATTGTTGCAGCCAGTAGAGGTAGAGTCACTTAGTCGTCGTGTATAAAGAAGATCGCATTTTTGATGTAGATGTTATCCTTCACGAGTTCATCGAGCCGATATTAATCTGCGACTGTGTCGATCTTGCAATCTCGATAGATGTAGTTTGGATTATCGGTCTTCCTACTCCTAGAATCATCATTTGGATTGTCGTATTTCCAGCGAATGCTAGCACAGTGGAGTAGAGTGAGGAAGTGACGAGGGCAAGAATTTTGAAGTCGACAATTGACTTGTGAGTTCCAGAATAGGAATACGTTGTGCAGCTCGAGCTCTTTTCGTTTTCTGCGAGTGTGCGTTTTAGCTGGAACAAGATGGTGCCCAAGGTGTCCAACTACGAGTACGAGTTTAACAGAATTAGAGATCCATCATTTAGTCATTGCTTGTCCTCGTCGTGCTAGCCCTAGCCCTCGTGAAGATACTTAATCGAAATCCTCCGACAAAGAGAGTATATCAGGAAACTCAGCAGCGGCCAGTAGCACCACATATCAGAGAAAATGAAAAAACTGGTCTATGATCTTGGTCTTCCTACGATGTTGCTCAATCAAAGTTCCCCTCGTCTCAAAGATCGCAGAGTTTGGTCGCTCGTTCTGATTATACCAAAAGAAAAAATAATATTTCGATGTTGCTTCACTTGCGTGCGTGTCATCTCAAGCATACACAGTACCAATCTCATACTGAAAACAAATAGGTGGTGGCAGGAACTTGCTAGTCGAATTGATGGGTAGAAGGTTCGGGTATCATATTTGATATTAATTTGGATTTGCATTCGGAATAAGAATTCTGCTACTTCTTCTAGTTGTGAGTTTATTGCAAGAAGATAAAAAGTATTATTGATTGCGGGTGCTATCCGTTTTCTCTCGCCGTTGCTGTTTCTCGAATCGACCGAGTGGTCTTATACCTTAGAGTAGTTAATTAACAACTGTTGATTCTACGTACTATTAATATTTCTTGCATCAACAAACTACGAACCTGACGACCTTCCTGCACTAGTACTTCAAGAGCTCCGTGGTCGCAATCTCAAGAACAGTTCTCCAAAACACAACAATCATAAAAAGAACATCAGGACATCATTACACCACAATCTCAATCAACTAAGTAGTCTAAGCAAGCATGCAATAAATATGTTGTATCAGAACGATCACAAGCACTACTTCTAACTAAGTAAGTCTCTTATCAATAATTGAGTCATTACTTCAACTCCAAGAATTCAGCATTGTCAGAACAAATAGATAGCACTTCTAGCAGCAATAGCATTAGTTGACTCAAGGAAATCAACAATCAGAGTCAGACACAATGACCACTGCTCACTCCATCTCCGCCTCGACCCCGTCTGCAGAAGTCGTTGCGGATGATGTTGAGAGGTCGAAATCGAAAAGGATTAAGCTTTTTGGGGAGTGGATTGATGTCACGGATTTCCATGCGCGTCATCCTGGCGGCAGCGACGTCCTGTTGCTGTACGAAAATCAAGATGCGACCGACGTCTATGAGGCCTTCCACGTCTCAAACCGAGCAAGGGCTATCTTGAAACGACTCCCGCGCGTCGCAGGTCGTCAGGAGGCGGGTCAACATCTTCCAGTGGAGGGTCCTCTTCCAGTGGAGCAAGAAGCAAAACTTCTTCAAGTGCTGGCACCTCCAACAACAGTTTCAGCAACCGTTTCTCCTAATGACACAGGAAATGGTGATGTACCAAACTCGACGCCCTTGCGCTCCTTAACAGGGAGCGAGATTGCCTCCTTGACAGGGATTAAGAAGAGCAATCCCGCAGAGGACATTGAAGATCAGCTGAGCGACGTGTCCACAAATTCGCAAGTCGATGCAAGAACCTTATCTGACGAAACCGAATACGAGGTTGATGACGAGCTTTCTCCGAAGGCTGGTGCAGTAGGAGATGTAGATGTTCTTGATGAAGTTGATGAAGATATAATCGAAAACGTGTCTTCCTCTAAGAATCATCTCGAGGATGATGCTCATAGTGAAGATGCTGTTGCCGGAGCTAGTGCTTCCACGAAATCTACTGCATCTTCTGCTGCTGCGCTGCGCGCAGCTCGTAACGCTGCGGTCCAAGAAGACTGGCGTGCCTTGGTGCAAACGTGGAAAGCGAAAGGGTACTACGAGGCGCGACCGTGGTTCGTTTGTACCTGGCTCGCATGCGTTGTGCTCCTTGCTTAAGGCTAGTAATGTCTAAAGAATCTACTTAAACTTTCAGTCAAATTACTTTCAAATAGTAACATACTTATATATAATAAACAAGAATCTGAATCACAAGAATCACAATCTTAATCTACTTACAACAAAAATAAGTCTTACTTGAATACCGTTTAAATAACGTCGACCGTTCTTCTGCTATACTTAATTCTTCTCTAGCACTAGGTAGTACTAGTGGGTGGTAGTCAGTCGTAGAAACTCAGGTTGAGTTTCTCGAAATTATTGTGTAGGCTCTTCAGGTCTTCAGTTTGGTGGTACTCTAAAGAGCAACAGCTGTGTTCCAGATCACTTGCACTGTCTTTTTCTAATTCCCTACCCTTGTATTGCGGTACTGGGGCGACTATTGGCGGCTTCTCGACGACATTTTCGTGCCGTTGGATGAACTCTGTAGCTCGAGTGTGCTGTTCTTGCTACCGCGAATGTGTGTCTACATGCTGCATGCGACCTTCCGCGTCTTTCCCGCTTTGATTCAGGGCTTCTTCTTTGGGCAATTCGGCTGGCTGATGCACTGCGCAGGTCACGCTGGCGTGTTTCGCGACCATCGATACGACTACTACCTGCAAGTTCTCTGCCTCTCGTTCTTTCTCTTATGGAACCTCAACCTACCACATCAAGCACAAATAACTTGGAGTTTTTCTTTGCATTCTAGTTAGAAGTACTTCTTGTTCTTGAAGATTGCTTCCATATTCATCTTCTAATCCTAGCCGATTCCTCTGTATCGTGGAAGCGCAAGCATGACAAGCATCATGCGAAAACGAACGTTTTGGATCACGACCCCGATATCCAAACTTTGTTCTTCTTCGAGAACAAGATTGTGGATACCCATTGGCCGTTCGGAGAAAAAGCGAAAAATCTCTTGCTGCAGTATCAGCACTACTACACCTACGTGCTATACAGCTTCTTCGGCCACTGGCGTCAAGCGGAGTGCTGGTTCACGGTCTTTGGCGCAAGTGGCTACGATAACGGCGTCCTAGTCAAGAAGAACACGAATAAAACCGGTAGAAGTAGTGCAACTTCAACAACTACATCTACTTCGGGATCGGGAGCTAGTAAAAAAACCGATGATGTTGAAATGGAACGCGGAATCCTACGTCTCGAGTGTGCTGCATTGATCGGCCATTACATTTTGCGCTTATTCATCTACGCAACGTGCTTGCAGGATTCGATGTCGTTTCTGGGATTTTGCTGGCAATACCACATCGCCCTGTCGGTGATGGGGCTCTATCTCTCCCTAGTCTTCACGGCGAACCACAATCAGATGCCCATCCAACTGTTAAGGGTTTCCGCATTACATCCCTCACTTCCAGCCTCTTACTTTGGGTCTTTTCCTAGTAGAAAAGAAGCCAGGGATGTTCTGAGGAAGAACACATCTAAGACGGGATGCCAAGGAAGAAACCAACTGGCTCGAAATGAACACGAATGGCACGGTGAATTACCAGAGTGACATCGTCTTTAAGAATAACACTGATCATGGTCGTAGTGAATGTGCTAGTTCTAGTAGTTGTTTACAGAGTAACAGTATGAGTAAGTATGTTCATTTACTTTTACCGTCTACTAAACAGGACTGTGGTCGTACAAGTACTAGAGTACTGTTTGTGATACTAGCACTTATCTTTAGAGTAGAAAAGAAGTGACTCGTATGGGTGGACCCGGAGGTCAAGATGCATATCTGTAGAAAATTATTACATAACAACTTATTTGTTATTTTCTTCTTCCTCTTCTTCTTCTTCTTCTTCTTCTTCTTCCTCTTTTTTTTCTTCTTCTTCTTCTTCTTCTTCTTCTTCTTCTTCTTCTTCTTCTTCCTCTTCTTCTTCTTCTTCTTCTTCTTCTTCCCCCTCTAATCCCGCATCGTTTATGACCGGATACCTGAACTTCCAGATCGAGCACCATTTGTGTCCGTCGATGCCCTGCCACTTGTATCCCACGATTCAGCCGGACGTAAGGGAGCTGTGCAAGAAACACGGCATTGCGTATGGGCAGGGGACGTTTTGGCAGGCCCTGTGCGACAACCACGACGCCCTCGCTCGAGTAGCGAAAATGAGAGGTGACCTGCATGCGGAGTTGTCGACTACTTCTCGGTCTCCAGAAGCTGAGATGGACAAGAAGAACGCATGAAGATTATAAGATTAAGAACATGGTTATGAAAGAAAAAAGTGCACTCACACTCAAAAAAATTAGCTATTTTCCTACTTAAATCCTACCCAATTTCTTGAGTGTGAGTGCACTTTTTCGTTTCATAATGGTCCAGGACCAAAGTTGTCGACTACTTCTCCAGGGTCATCTGAGGAGAAATTCATAGCTTCTGCGCAGAGTCGGACGGTACAGCGTCGCTCTGGTGCTGGTGGGATGGACAAGAAGATGAACGCATGAAGATAGTATATATGTTGAAGATCGACGCTCGGAACACCTTACCTCATGCGTAGAAAGGAGCAGCATAAGCTCAAAAAATATGTAGTAGATGTTGAAGATTTGGCGCATAGTAAAAAAACCAGGATTTACCTCACGTCTCTACGGCCATCATGAACGATGGCAACAGGGACAACAGCATGCATACGAAGAGTATACCTGATGAAGAAGATCAACATTCATAAGAAGTAGCTGAAGTTCTGATGGTATTTTGTGCGGTAAGAAGCAAGTACTTCTGATGAAGAGGATTGAATAGCAAGAACTGAAGAGATTTATGGGTTGCAATTACTTTGGGGTAGCTGTCAAGCCTAATAGAGCTAGAGGGTTCATCTTTTCATCTTCCTAGAAGACCTAACCGAAACAGATCATGGTATCGTGTGAGAAGTGTGATGTACCCTTACTTGATCTAGATCTAGAACTCTGGTGGAGATACCTGCAATACGAATGCCGTGAGTTGTCGACGTGCAGCTGCTGTTGAACAGCTGACCCACTCGATTTCAACTTATATATAGTGAGTATGTCATTCCTAGTACAAGTTTATTCTTGACTTTGATGAGGGGAAGGAGTTTTCTTATAATTCGATGTTTTGATGGCTGTTGCTTCCTCATGCTAGTCGTCTAGGGTATAGTTCTTGTGACCTCCAAACAGCTAAATCATTTTGTTGAACGCGAACTAGATGATCATGCAAATATGTAATTGGAAAAAAGGCGCTCTTTCTATTTCTTATTCATTGCTCATCGAAAAAGGGGAACGAGCACTCCCAGCATAGGTCAATTGAAATTGCACTTACCTATAGATACGGTGCTCAAACGGCAGCACTCGTCATCTTCAACAAATTTTCTAATTTATGATTCTTCTAAATGGCTCCTGGTGCGTTTAAAGTGAGATCGTACATTGTGATTAGTTATAGACGAATCAGATCCGCCATCTTCATGCATTTGCGATACATTTCCCCCAACCAAAATGGTGCTTGGCACATTCGCTGTGTCATTCGAAAGCTACGAGGAACTAGCAGGGGACCGCCTCTGCGACGGACAGGTTGCAGATCGTAGACGTTCCTAAATCGATGAATCAAGGCAATAGGCTGGAGTGGTCATTCTTCTTATCGTTCAGCGGGGGCGTCTGTCTGAATTTGAATTACTGATTGCCTCTTCGTTAAGCCGCACAGACACGTAAAAATCTAGAACCTGACTCAGTCTCAGTCACTCTCATTGTGTAGGAGATTCATCTCAAGGAAGATCTGTTTGATTTCCATTTTGAGTCAGTAGCTAGAGAGGCAAAAATGAACACGAGCATGTCCAGTAGGAAGATTCGCAGCTTGTTTCAATCTATCGAAGAAGCGGTCACCAGTTCCAGTTGTTATATAGATGAGAGTGTATGCGTAGTATCTGTACTTACTTTTGTAAGTATGTGTTTGTGAAGCAAGTTAATCTAGCTGATTCTGTTTCCCGAAAGTGTAGATTGTGATTCTCGGTAGGTTGAGAGCGTGGTAGTAACCGTTTCTTGAATGCAGAGACTGACTGTGCTTGAATGGCCGTGTTATCATCAGAATCCTAGATGTAAGGATAAGTACTCAGAAGTGAGCAGGCACAACAGGAGGCACCAATACCAAAGACTTAAGTTGCATGTAATATCCTCAATAGTACGTTACTAGTAGTTAAGGATAAGGGTACGCAGTGTACTAGTTAAGGGTACGCACTAGTTTATCACTATTGATTCCCTGTGGAGGACTCAACTGAGTGAAATCCCCCCTGATCAGAAGGGGGAAATAAAGGGGGAAAAGGGCAACTCACTCGACCAGGGATACTGAAGAAATGGCGAAGAAAACATTTTCGCAGTCGCAAGCACAATGTGCCTCGCTCTGCAGTCCATGGTAGCGTTGACGAGCTCTCAAGAGTTCGTTCGCACGCAGCTATGTTGTGACACACCCTAAAATAGACTTTCGCGTTTTTGAGAGAACTACTGCAGCAGTGTGCAACCTCCACTAGCTATGTGAGTCTCAAAAAATACGTGGCGAACAGTAATGAGGTGGAACGACAAGGCATCCAACTTCCACCTGTCTTGTCTTTGTCGTGGTTATATTTTTGAAGCAGACGAAATATAATCAATGATTTGGCTACAGGAATTAATGATTGAAACTACTCCTATTGTTAACTTATGGATATCTGTGCAGAAGCGTAAATTACTTGTGGTTCTCTCATCTACATTTCATATCTACATTTCATAGCATTAGAACACGAAAACAAAGAACATAATTAAAAGTAAGTTGCACAGGCAGTGGGAGTGCTCCATCGCAAGTAACTAGTTCTGCGAACAAAAATGAGTCTTATTTACTGGAACAAAAAATGCGATATTTTGCTACTTGTATTTGATGATTGTTGGGGTTTATTCTGTCGTGAGAAAATTCAAAGCCTGATAGCATGATGATGATGTGATCCTAGTCCTAGCGAAGGAGCACGCGCAAGGGCTAGCAATGTACTTGTAATGTTTTGAGTGTTCGCCGAGTGGAGCAGTGTGTTTCTGAGGTTCCTATCTTCAATCCTAGAGCATTAAATAACTACTAGACGTGTTCCGAGTGTCATGACTTTTGTTTGTGTCGATCATGGTGGTGCCTTGATCTGAAAACTCAGGTGAAGTAGAGTAGTAGAAGCCACCACTTGTCTGGCATCGAGAGAGTTCATCGAGGGAACATGAACAGCCAGTGAGAACGAGTACGAGAGCTTCTCCTGTCTTCATCATCACTGCAGTATGCGTATAAATGTTCGAGAGCAGACGCTTGTTAGACTTCTCTGGAGTTCAGCAGGAAGCACATTGATCATGCAGATAATTGTTTCCAGGAGAATGTGTTGCTTGATCTTCATGATGATGCTTGGGCTTCACCCAGTCTTCTAGGCTTACCCAATCTTCAACACAAGACACACCTAGACGACGGTTCTACTTACTTTTTAGAACTGTTGTCTAGAGGTTCTTTGGCTTTCGGACTCGAAGTAGTTAGAAGATTCTTCTTCAGAATATCCATCGCGTGGAACTAGAACCTTAACGCTAGAACTACAAGTTCTTTATCGAAAAAAAGATGAAAGTGCCGACCCAGGGGTCGTCTCTTCGTTCTGGGCAGCGACGAAGCAGGATGGCGCCCTCCGCGTCAAGGAGTTCACCACTCTGCAATTCAAGGCAGGTCGTCTTGAGTGCAGTGGCAGGCCTGCTGATTATGACGTCAAACTCAGAGAGAGTATAAGTAACAAATTAGAACTAACAATTAGGCTACTAGATGAGGCAACAGCATTATATTTATATACTAGATCCAAGATACAACTGCAAAAAACTGTTGCAAATTATTCGTGAAACTTACTACATGTTTTGCATTTGCTCGTTTGTCGAGGTTGTATTAATATTAAACCGCACACCACAACGACCTCCTACTTTAGTATCATAGTACCATCTAATCCCTCAGCACATAGGGCTAGCGCCTCGATTGGAATTGTGCCTCCTATGGGTGGAATTACACCGCAGTTCGATCTGGAGCCGAAAGCCATGTTCCGGCACAACACGTCAGAGCTGCACTGTCCAGACCGGGAACTGATCCACCCATGCACTACCGAACTCACGGGATATTTGAAAGGTATCTATCCTTTCTAACTAGAACTTCTAGATGGTCCTTTCGGCTTTCTACACCGTTGAGACTAAGGGGTAGTACAATATAATATTCGACCACTAATGCGGTACAACTACTCAGGTAACCTCTTATCTTCCATCAGTATAGTGACTCCACCTAGTATTCAGGTAAAAATATCAGAGACGAGGGTTACAAGCAGGCGGCATACGACTGCGCAAGGACGGTTTACGACAGCGTAGACGATTTCTGGATTACCAAGAATATGACCCACCTTCTGCTCGACTTGGACACAAGCACACACTTTTTCTTATGAAGTTATCCCAGATGATTATGTTGACTGAAGACCCACAAACATGACGAGGGATCTATTTATTCTACCGAAGTAGATCTAGATTTTCGATTGAAGTAGATTCTCGATCGCGGAAACCAACTGACAGCCCAAAAAAAACAAATCAAATCTTATAGTCGTGTAGACCATCGCATCTGTTTCTGTTCTAATCGGCGACAAGAACCTGACCCAGGAAAGCAGCTTTTTCCAGTTGGGACTCAAATTCGGACGAAAGCTGATCTATCATCCCGAATGCGTCGGCGAGTTCGATTCGAAGGATCCTCTCGAATGCCGCTGCTCGAATCTCTATGGTACTTTAGACTCCAATGCATTTTTTTTCATCCTCTTCTTTCCCCCAATCAATCTCTCTACCTCTCTTTCTCTCTCTTTAGTTTCTCTGGCATTTATCTCACGCTTACCACGTTCTTGTTGTTGTTGCAAGTTGTGCTCTGATTGTTGTTATACAGATTATTGGGTCTGGTGTCTAACAGCAAATGGAAGTGCAGCAGGCGTCTTTTTTTTGATACTAAGTACATAGAGATTTTTTTTTATTCTTGCCTCACTTACAACACCGTTCACCGTTCGCCGTACCTGAACACTACAACAGGTAAGATTATCCTCCTGAAATTGAAGCTTCTGGGAATGTGGAATGAGGCCTATGAACTGTTCGACGAGTTGAAGGCATTTGAGTGGGACGGCAAGGTGAAAAAGCTTGCAGCTGGGGAGGCTTTCCCGTGGCACCACATTCAGCAGACATTATGAACCAAATCCGTGGTTTAGGTTAATATTTGATAGGTGGTGTAGGAGTGTGGTATGGAAGAAAAAAGTGCACTCACACTCAAACAAAGTGGCTATTTTCCTACTTAAATCCTAGCCAATTCCTTGAGTCTGAGTGCACTTTTTCGCTTCATACGTGGTTTAGGTTATTGGATAGGTGGTGTAGGTGTACCATACGTGGTTTAGGTTATTTGATAGGTGGCGTAGGTGTACATCTAGAACTAGATCTACATTGCTTACTCACTTTTCTGAACTTCGGTTCTTTTGAAGTAAGATAGCATGACTCGGCGTCGTTGCTGGTGAATGAAAGTATCATGTGGATGCCGTTGCGCAGTACCTACTGTAGATTTTTTCCTGTACGAATTGTTTCATCATGATCGGTGGATGATGTTCCAGTGTTTTTTTTCTTCCCTTCCCTTAGAGGACTCTTTCATTTCCGCCGCAGATGTTTATGCCCACGCTTGAGGCGTTGCCTGTCTGGCCTCGCGAACGCATGGATGAACTGCCGATCTGGAAGGTGCTGGAGGACAACTACCCTATTTTTCTGGAAGAGACCCTTGAAGCCTACGCCAGGGATACAAGCCTCGCACAGGACGCATACCCGTTCCTTTTTCAAGGCGGCAACTGGAATCAAATCCTCCTCTTTCATAACCGAAACTACACCGAGGCGTGTGAAAAAGTAAGAGTCTACTTATAACTGAAGATTTTTGATATGATATCTACCAAATTAATGAGAAGAAGTCCCTAATTAACTTAGACAGTAGGCATGTTCATCTTCGCTCCTGAGCTGCATCAGAATCAATTTCTTGTCAACTTCTAATGAAATACACGCTTATTTGTACACCCACTGATTTTTCAACTCAAGCTTGGTTGACAATCCCTGTTGACTATTCGATCATCAAGGAACGATAATGGCCTTGTATGGTTCTGGTATTTGGTAGCCTGAATTTGATCCTAAGGGTTCTCTTCTTGTTTTCCCTTATGATCCAATTCAGGTTACCAAATACCGGAACCATACAAGGCCATTATCGTTCCTTGATGATCGAATAGTCTGTCAACAGGGATTGTCAACCAACCTTAGTCTTGTTAGTACTTTGCCACGAACTCGAAGTCGAACACAAACTACTACCACTTAGTAACTCTTCTCTTCGCGAAGTGAGTATCAGTTTTCCCATCATTAAATGTTGAACAAGCTCCACCTCCTTCTTCTGCTTACGATGTTACTGTTGGACTTTTAGCATGGTACAACTCCTTAATGTTAATGCACCTCCCTCTTCCTGTTCAGTACGGCTTAATACAAATACACTCTCCATGTGGTCAACCTCAACAGTCGTTCCCGAAAACGTGTGCGATCCTGAAGCGAGAACTGCCGAAGAGAGACCTGCATAACTACCCGTGGACCTCCAACCAGAATGAGCAAGTTCTAGTCCTAAGGCTGAAAGTCGGGACCGACGTCGAGACGCATTGCGGTCCAGCAAACAATATTCTCAACGTGCACCTGGGACTCAAAGTTATGTAGTTGTTAATCAATTTTTAGTTACAACGAACTTTTACTTTTTTTAGTTTTAGAATTTCATTTTCCAACAAACCAGAACAAACGCAAGAACTCCAGATTACCGGTGTGATCGTCAATTGAGTCAGATTCGGAACGTCCTTTGTGCTCCGGATGAGTTCGCTTTTCCCATGGCACAGAGTCTATTTTACTTAAATGGAATCATAAACACAAAAACATACAATAACACGACTCATGGACAACTGGGTCAACTATCTTTATCATTCTGGTCTAATCTCAGCACAAAGGGTGCAAAGCTGATCGTGGCAAACGAGACCTACGGCTGGGAGGAAGGGAAGGTGATCGCGTGGGATGGGTCCTTCGATCATCGCGTTCACTGTCTAGAATGCGTGGAAGACCGCTACATCATGATGGTGCGATACATTTATGTCACAATATCATTATCTCGCTGGTGAGTTGTATCAGTTACTCGAACAACTAGAATTTTTACACTCTTTCATCTGCTGAATCTGAAATTTGTTTTAATTTCACTCCCTCTCCCAATGTACTCGATCGCCTAAGAAAGGATGAAACTCCATGTTAAGTATCCGACATGTTGATGAAAATTTCCTGCCTTGAGTTCGAGTACTAGTAGTAGAAACACACTCGTCTGCCCGTTTCCTGTTCTAAAATCTGCATCCTGGTGTGACGCCAGACCACTATAGGGGGAGCCGCCAGACACACTACGAGAAACTGCCAGCGGAGTGGCTGGAAAAGTGGGATAAGGAAGACCTGAAGGATGTGGATGACGATTTGTAAACATCGAATACTTTTTGTACATGTATCCGAAACGAATAACTAAGGCTTCTTCACTATGAATAGGAAAAGCAAACAGCTGCAAATTAATATGGACACGATCATGAAGTGGTTAGCGTCGCGCCGTTGTGAATACGTTTATTTAAATATCCGAAGAAGAAGAAGAACTCTACTGTTGTTAATTAGTATTGGATGAAAAAGCATCAAAAATTCTCTTCCTACTTCATCACGCATGATTGATGCTACCTGTATCGGCTTGCTCTTGGTAGTCTCGTCTGCTTGACTACGGAACTTTGAGTACAAAACCAGGAGACTATAACCATTTCGATTTGCATGCCTACAACAAGCCTCCTCGCATCAAGTACTAGACTCCTGAGACAAGACTAGACTGAGCCTCGATGCAGCAGTATTTTTAGCAGAGAGAATCCATTGTCTTCAGAAAGTAGATGGACGACATGGAGAATGACATGTTAGAGCCGTCGCACCATTTTTACCATACAAGATGGATTAACATCAACTACGTTCTTAAATTTCACATTACTACATATTTTGTCATTTCTCGTGTCATTCGTGTCATTGACTTTGACTCTAAAATCATGGCTACCATGTGAATGTGTGCTAGTGCCAACCACGATCTCATCTTCACAAGCAAAGTCTTCAATCCCTGTCATCATGACTGACGCTGAAACAATTCACTTTGCTATCCTACTACTAGTAGAGGGTCTGATGTGCCCTCTAGTCTAGAGGGTACGTATTATTTTAGACCAGGATTTTTCTCGTTGCACCACGTAGATTCTTTTTGAAAAATGCAGCCAGGCACAAGGCCTGGCGCACAGCCATACACCCCGGCCATCACGTGACTGGAAGCGTTCGGCGTCGTCGACATTCGCAGAGTGGCAGCCGCCAAGGATACTTGACTCGCTGGGGGCTAGGGGGTGCCTTAAGGCGGCCCCTTTTGGTCCAAAATGGTCGCCAAATGACCCGGGTCGTTTGGGGTGTCAAAGTGGGGTCTTTTTGCCCCCCTTTTTGACACCCCTCCAAAGCACCTCCGAGCCAAGCCTCCCAAGGGTTGGGGCTCCCCTGGAGGCGCTTTTAGGGTCCACACTTCGCGATCCTTGGAAGCGGAGTCCCGCTCCGAGGGTTCACTGCCAAGCTATCGGGATGGCCCCAGCGGTCCCGAAGAGGTTGGGACTTGTCAGGCTAGCAAAATTTGAAAATAAACCCACGTGGTGCAACGAAAAAAATCCTGGTCTAATTATTTTTACAGATGCCCCAGAAGGTAAACAGAGTCGAAAGTGTTCTTATAAAATTTTTACTCAGCATTCATATTGATGCTCACCCAGTTAATGCTTTCTCCTTGAAGCATGCGGTCGCGCTCATCTGCGGGATAGAGATAGTTGAGTTCGTTGAGAGGGATCAAAAAGAGAGTTTGAGCGCAGAGGAGAATTGTAAAAACTGGTGTTTTGATATTGCTTTTTTTTGCATCTTTTACTACTACTACACATCCCCATCTTCTCAAGGCGTAAGCGTGTCACTACCCCGCACCCTGAAAGGCGCAAATAAAACACCAAAACCAGCAAAAGTATTTCACCACCAAAAACTTTCTCGTTCTTGTGTCGTTCGAAAATCAGACAAAAATTGTAATGAGTCTTGATCCTAGCACTCATCTTCCCTACAACTTCTTAAAAGTAGATTTTTGCTACTGTTAGGAGTTAGAATTCCGACGAAGACCATCCCCCGTGTGCTATGCTGTTGCTGCCATAAGGATGAGCATGTTGCTTTATCTTGAATAGGCGGCCTCGACGACGGAGAGGCCAGTGAAGAAATCATAACTCGCCCTTCTTGGTCTGCTCTTATATCACGACGAGAGCAGGCTCGTGGCGCCGTCAGGCTCAAAAGCAGTCAGCGGAGCGGAGAAAAATGTCGTATCAACATCGACGGTCTCGTATAGGGAAGTCTTCATCAAGAAGACCACTTCCACCTCGAAGATCTCTCTCGGATCTTGGGAATGCGAGTTTTCTCGAGATGGAAGACACGACAACATGTTCGCCGTCTTCACCTGAGCCTGAGGATACTGCTCAAATAAATCATGAAGGAGAAGAATCTTCACGAACAAGAGGATTCAGATTTGTTCTACGGGCTCCTACGAAAGGCAGAAAACGGCGCCCTGATCACCTAGTCAGGCGTGGTACAACTGGAATGACAATGCTGCTTGTCCAACTTCAACTTTTCCATTGTGGCTTTTTGTCGGATGGAGTTTTGGGGAAAACCGCAGCCAGTATTATGGAACCTAACTACTTACTTCTACTGGCGGATACTGAGTTCTACTTCTTGTTTTTTGTGTTATTGTTTCGCTTTTCTATGTACGTGGTCTTCGCCTTCGGCGTTTCATATTGTAATTGTTGTTGAGTTCGAAATCGAAGATGAAAGCACTCTACAACTCCGTCTGCAGATGACTAAATAAGTACATCAAAGCACGAGGACGACAATAGAAATAGTACTACAGATTCGAAGTGTAGTAACTTCTTGATACAGCACCCAAACGAAACGTGACACCAAAAAAAAAGTTTCTAAGAAACGTGACACCGCAATTCGTGTGCGGAGTTCGGGTCAGACAGAACGCGATGACGCTATAGGAAAGGACCAAGACGGACTAGGAGACCAAGAGGACGAGTCTTTCCTCTCTTCGCTGATTATGTCCTTCTACATATCTCTATGTCTGTAGAAGTTGTTCTACACGTGATATCTATAGCTCCATACCCTCTCTCGGACATCGTCAGTTACAGTTTCATCTCTCTATCTTCTCCATCTATACATTTACATGTCGTCTTCTGGGGTCGAGTCTCGGCCGTGACTTGGTGGATCACACATGAGACACATGACATGACATGACGTGGCATCTCCTATTTCCACGACGTAAACTACACCTGCGTTCCCTAAAAATTCGTTTTTGTGATTTCGTGAATTGATAATGTGTGGGTCAAGTAGTACGAGAAGTGTGTAAAAAAAGAAGAACTTAGACTGATGTTTCATGGAAGTTTCGCTTGCCACTGACTAAGTTGCAAGTAAAATAAGAGATTGCAACCAGCAGCCGCTCTAACCTGAAGGACGATCAAGGAGGGAAGTCAAGTCATGGCGCCAGAACTGCGATGACGAGTGAGCAGACGGCTTCGAGGAATAGCGCAAATAACCGCACCTCTAACGTTGTATCAACATCGCCGTCTGGCACCTCCAGTGGTATTTCACCTTCCTCTAGACCCTCTTCTTCCTCTAGCGGAGGTTTTGCTGCCTTGTCCTCTTCTACAACTTCTGCTACTGGTGCTACACGAGGACACGATGAGGATGGACCAACAACTCTTGATCGTAGACATGATTCAGTGGGAGAACGAGGCCTTCAAGACGACAATTTCTTGGACCACGATGTAGAAGAGGAGAATGTAGGACAAGTAGATGACAGAAAGCAGGAAAAGGATCATACTGCACAAGCACAACTCTTATCGCAAGAAGAGCAAGAAGAAGAGCAACATGTTGATGCTGATGAACAAATAGAGGTTAAAAAAACGAAAACCAGAGGACGAGGAACACGCCAACAAGACCCAAGTAGAACGTCTGCATCGAACAAAGTCTCATCTTCTGTGCAAAAACGTGGGAGAGCGAGAACTTTATCAAGGGGTCCTGTCCAGCTTACGCCTACTACCGCCTCTCCGTGTAGGATGGCAGCGGATAACAGCATCACAATTATGAGCATCATCAACTGCATCTGCAAACACTATCAGGGGCTTCATTTGTATATTACTTCTATAGTTATTTGTAATGAGTATGAGTCAGAGTCTCATTATTTTATCACGTAAAAAACCTCTCCATCACGTATAGGTAGGACGGCATGGCGAAACCACTAGAATATACTCGAAGACTGAAAATAAGCGAGTTACTGACTGAAATAAGGCGCGTAGCTTTTATAAGCTATCATCATTAATATTGTGGTCCGCTGTGACCTTCACCCTCACAGATCGAAAACTACTTCTATATAGAAGGACGGAGTATTCTCTTCAGTTACTTGTTGCTTATTTCAATTTATCGAATACATGCGCAGAGCATCAGCGCGATCTCTGTTCCCCGTTACTTTCGGGGATTTTACACGATTATCTTCAACGGATGGAGGGCATCAAAGCTGTATTTGAGTGCACCACCAAAGAAGATCATTTTCATAACCAGGATGTTAGGTCCTTCTATATAGAAGTAGTTTTCGATCATTTTCCTTCACCCTCACAGATCGAAACCTACTTCTATATAGAATATTAACAATAAGGTTGTAGACTTACACTTACTACTACTAGACGTAAAAAAGGACAACTACGTATAGTTATAGTACAACTACGTATAGTTATGATTTCTACTTTCACCTCCTATTACTATAATTAGATAGTAGTATTATACAAGAACTGATATCAGGTAGTAGAAGAGTTGTGCAAGTAGGTACAACTACAACGAACTGATGAAAAATGTTCTTAGAGAAAACAGGAAGGTCAGGAGCAGCGAACAAGAGATAAACCGCGACCACTCTAATGAAATTGACCAGCCAACTTTTGCTATCTCGGTGGGTCAGAGCAATCCGATAAAATACGAATGGCCAGCAGCGCATTTTAGCCCTGCGGTGAGTGCCGCAGACGATGGAGGTCTTGCAATTACGAATCTTCGAGTCCTCTTCGCATACAACGTATATCGGATATCAGAGTAGTTTATAGCACGCATGGCGCATGGAGTAGCATGGAGTGCATGGAGCGCAGAGCTCTAAGGGGCGCAAGAAGCTCCCCCTTTAGCTCCATGCTCCTCCATGTGATCCATGCACTCCATGCCGTGCGAGCTGTGAAACCTTATAAATTGCTCTGGGATATATGTGCTGTCTTTTGTTCGCAGACATTCTTCACGCTGGTGGTTGAGAAGATGCACTGACGATGACACTCTTCACAATCACACTCTTCTTTGCTTGTTTTGAGAAGCAATATGTAGTAGAAAGACATACGTATTTATTAGTTTCTATATTGGCTTCAAGAAGAAAAAAAAGCCATTCGCTTCTATTCGAAGAGGAGCGAGCCCCGGTTTGTTTTCCCTACCAGCCACCATCATCAAAAAAAGGGGCCTAATAGTATCTCTATGCTGGTATCCTTAGGCTTGACTTTTACATATGGTAGGTCCGTCTGCGTCTTCCATGTCCATCGTGTAGAATAGTCATTGGAAAGAAGAAGTAATAATGATAAAGGTGTCCACCTCAACCTCATAATCATAATGTTGAATGAGCAAAATTTATTAAAGTAAAAACATCAACAAACAACAAGTAGAACTACTGCTACAGCTACACCTACATCATGCATAAGGCAAAAGCTCTAAGGCAACTGGCGGTTGGTGTGTAGGGGACGGATCCAAGGCAATCGGATTCACTTTTCCTGCGCAAACAAAGTCGTCTTTGGTCCAGGAAGAACCTGATGCACTATGAAACCAAGATCTATTATCATCTCTCTAGTTTTTCCTGGATAGCAGTAGTACTTTTCTACCTCAGAAACTTGAGAATGATAACAGATTTTGGCTTCATATGATGATCGCTATTGGGAGCTGCAAGAAGGGGCGGATGAATCAGCGGTGGCGTTAAGGCTACAACCACTGAAACATCCTGCACGTCCTCCTTGGTCCTTTTTCTACTCGAAAAGCTGACCAAGAATGCAGTCAGGGATGCTAACGGGGTCGCTCTAATGGCGGATGAATCAACGGCGGCGGATGAATCAACGGTGTCCAGTACTGGGACGGAATCAAGATCAAGAGCAGCATCTGGTAGTACAAGTATAAAAACATCAGAGGTACTAGATGATCGTAGTACGAGGATAAAGAAGCACAATACGAATGCAACTTCCAGCACGACTGGGATTACAAGAGTTAAGGCGATTCTTCTGCGTAAATATCCACGGTATAATTGCTTGTTGGTCAAAACACTGAAACTAATAGATGATGAGGTGATCATGTTAGAACAGGTGTAAGAATCCGTGTCGAAAATGATGATCGTCCATGGCGTGAGTAAGAGTATGTTGATGATTGTGATTCCACGTCCACGTGCGCCTCCTGTCTTAGAGTTCTCGACTGTAAAACAAGAATGGAAAAAGATGCTTCGACTCCAGATCTTCATGTTTTGATTCGTAGCAACACCAGGCAACTGCATCACCTCAAACTATTTATAATGAACGAAGAAAATAATACGGTCATTGTCGTTCATGAAGTAGAAGATAGAACATCACAACCAGCATGATCAGGAGTAGTTATCACACCCCGGTGTAGTATCATCGGTCGACAAGAAGTCCTCTAAAAAGGCTACAAGCACAGAGCGGGCACACCAACAATCGCTTCTTCTGCGCCAGGAAGAGGCTGCTGGTCATGCAAGAACTACCTTCGAGAGAAAGGCTTCTGGCATTCATGGGGGACAAGATATCAGGGACACGGACAAGCAGAGCCACAAATCTGGCTCCTCCTTTTCGTCGTTGTCCCGATCAAAGAAAGGAGCAAAGTTAAAGAAATGAAATAATGTTTTGAGGTTCCCTATAATGTCTGTTAGAGGGTCTGTTAGAGGTGTAAGTATGTAAGTAAGTAAAATATATACAACTTGCAAGTTAGTAGAAGTAGTCACTCATTACCTAGAGTAAGTAGTTACCTGTGCTTTCCAGTTGTGAGGAGTAGTAGAGTCTAAGAAAAGGTCACGTGGTAGAGCGCATTGAGATGGAAATTGGAGGATGGGGCTACGCACATCGGTTTTTGGACTTATTGCGTTCGGAGGACAGACGTAAAGAATCTGGAACACGAGAAACAAATCAAAAGCCTCTGATTAACTGGTCGGAGACGGTGAAGCATGATGCCGCTGATGTACTAAAGCGCTTTCAAATATGGCTACTTATTATTTGTTCGTTACAAGCCGTCTTTGTCTTATTAGCTGTTGGTGCTGAACTCTTATTAACAACTGAATGTAAAAACAATCAAAATGGCACTTATTCTCGAGTCGACAACAAGTGTTGTTTTGTTCCTACAAGATCTCTTGATTGTTGGAAATAGAATTAGCTGAATGCTGATGCTCGCCAATATTAAGTTAATTAGAGGCAGAGCCAGAAGCTAGTTTTCTAGATGAACTTCTATGCAATATGCCTCATCGGGTAATTTATATTTAGCTACAACTACAACAAGGGGCGAACGCAGGACATTGGGCATGCGTCTATCACTCTTACAATGGCACTAAGAGTGAGCATGTGTTGGCCATGTATGGCCCAAGCCTCTCGGATGTCGTGTTGTTCTGTTCTCAGTGGCTCACACAAAGCCTCGCGCTCGACTGTCATCGGGATGGTCTCCCATGGGCATGGGTGTCAATGATCGCGAATGCTACTTCCGACGCATAATCATAATGATCAACGCGCAGACTAGGCACGGGCGTGCTGATCCTAGTCGTATGATGCATGTTCAGCCCGGTCCCTTCTGACATGCTTATGCTGATGATGTATGACGCATCTTACCCAATGAGCCAAACGCTGAAGCCTCTGCCCATCTTGAATCTGAGGCCTTAACTTTGGCGCATATTTCTCCCACTTTTCAGCTTTGAAAAAATTCGTTTTTCACTTTTTTTCCCCACAGGTCTCCCTCTCAGGTTTTTGATTTTTCTGTCTTTTTTTCATATGCTCTCACTCTCAAGCTTTTTGCTTTTCCCTATGTTGGTCTCTCTCTCAGGTTTTTGCTTTTTCTCTCTTTTTTTCTCATGCTCTTCTTTTCTAAAATTTTCGCCTTTTCCTACTGCAGGCTCCTCCCCGCCCCAAGTTTTTGCTTTTTCTGTGTTTTTTCGCATGCTTTTTTCTGTGAACTTTTCCACTTTTCCCCCTGCAGGTCTCTCTCTCAGGCTTTTGCCTTCTCTATCTGTTCTTCTATGTCGTTTCTTGTCAGGTTTTCGCCTTTCGCTCAAGCAAGCCTCTCCCAGGTTTTTGCTTCTTCTGTCTGGTCACTTTGCCACTGCCTTCAAGGCTTTGCAGTGGCCCTCTAAGTATATAGCTAGCGCATAGCATCAGCATCAAGTCATATGTATTGCAATGCAAAGAAATGCGGCGTGAGCGTATTGCTCTGTATGTGCTGTAGGTGTAGACGTGGACAAGACTGGCGCAGCAGTGTGGTAGAGTCATGTCAGGCGACCCCAAGTCTTTCTCGCCTCTAGCTACCTTACTCTCGCTCCTGCTTCTCTAGACTAGTGGAGACCACTAGACGTAGAGTAGTGCAGCAGCCATAGCGTAGGAGCAAAGAGGAGCAGTCCTGAGAGGAGAGAAAACCAAACGAAGCGCATGCGAAACGAATCGAAACCAGGCCACGGCAGGCCACGCCACGCCAGCCCACCCGCCCCGCCGCTCCCAAGCCCAGCCCACTCCAGACCAGTGCCAGCCCAGAGAGACCTAGCCCACCCGCAGCCCAGGTGGGCGGGCCTGGCCTGCCCTGGCCCTGCTGTGCTGTGCTGTGCTTCGGCTCAGGCTGTTTCGGTTTGCTTTTGCGTGGCGTAGTGTAGTCTGGTGCGCAGCGCTCTGCGGTGGTCTCGACGCCGGCCCAGGCGGTGGCGGACTGCACTGCGCTGGCCATGGCGCCGCGTCGCGGCGGCGGTGGCCATGGTCTGGCGGCATCAGTTCAGGGAGACCACTCGACAGCCGTGCGCTGTGGCGCCACCATACCCTTCCGCCCCGCGCCCTGGTGGTCTCGTCTGCTCTGCTCTGTCTGGTCTGGTGTGGCCGGCTGTGGTCTGCTCTGGTGCGGTCCGGTGTGGTCTGGTGTGGTCGGGTCCCGTCCTCTCCTGGTCTGGTGTGCGTCACGTGTGGTCTGGTGTGGTCCAGTCTGGCTCGCTCTGTTCTGGCTTGGGCGGGTGCTGGTCTCGTCTGCGGGTCTGCGACTGCTGTGGCGCTGGTGTGGAGTGGTCTGCCCTGTCCTGCTGTGCTCTGCTGCGTCCTGGCTTGCTGCGCCCAGGCCGGTTCTCTTCCGCTGTGGTCTGCTGTGCTCTCCGTCCTCGGGTCAGGCCTCCTCTCGCCTGTGCTGGTCTGCTCTCATCTCTCCTCTGCGGCGGATGTCTTGCCTTCGTCTAACCTCGCGTGTAGTCGTGGCGTCCCATCCCTTGCGCGCCGCGTGTGCCGTAGCTTTTCCCTTTGATTGTCTTCGCCGTCGCTGCGTAATGTTGATGCTCTCTCGTGTCTTGTTTCTGTGTGCTTTTTCTGCGCGTGGTCTTATCTCTTGCTCTTACTTTTTTGGCTCGTCCGTGCCGTCGTCGCTACCTCGTCTCATTTTGCTTCCCCTCGTGTCTTGTCTTTGTGTGCTCTTTGCGCCCGTGGTCTTATGTTCTTACTTTTTTGTCTTCGTCGTCGCTGCCTCGTGTTCTCTCGTGGCTTGTTTTTGCGTGCTCTTTGCGTCTGTGGTCTTATGTTCTTACTTTTTTGTCTTCGCCGTCGCTGCCTAATGTTCTCGCGTGTCTTGTTTTTGCGTGTTTATTTTTTCTGTGCGTGGTCTTATGTTCTTACTTTTTTGTCTTCGCCGTCGCTGCCTAATGAATGTTCTCTCGTGTCTTGTTTTTGCGTGTTTTTTCTGTGCGTGGTCTTATGTTCTTATTAGTTTTTTTTTCTTCGTCGCCGCTGCCTAATGTTCTCTCGTGTCTTGTTTTTGCGTGTTTTTTCTGTGTGTGGTCTTATGTTCTTACTTTTTTGCCTTCGTCGTCGCTGCCTAATAGAAAAACGCTCTCTCGTGTCTTGTTTTTGCGTGCTCTTTGCGTCCGTGGTCTTATGTTCTTACTTTTTTGCCTTCGTCGCCGCTGCTTAATGTTCTTTCGTGGCTTGTTTTTGCGTGCTCTTTGCGTCTGTGGTCTTATGTTCTTGCTTTTTTTTCTTCGTCGTCGCTGCCTAGTGTTCTCGCGCGGCTTGTTTTTGCGTGTTCTTTGCGTCCGTGGTCTTATGTTCTTACTTTTTCGTCTTCGTCGCCGCTGCCTAATGTTCTCTCGTGTCTTGTTTTTGCGTGCTTTTTGCGTCCGTGGTCTTATGGTCTTGCTTTTTTGTCTTCGTCGTCGCTGCCTAATGTTCTCTCGTGTCTTGTTTTTGCGTGCTTTTTGCGTCTGTGGTCTTATGTTCTTACTTTTTTGCCTCGTTTTCGCTGCCTAATGTTCTCGACCGGGCAGACTTCTAATCTTGTCGCTGCCTAATGTTCTTGCGAGCGGTTTGGCGTCTCTTTTTGTGTCCTTTTCTGCGCTGGTTGAACGCTAGCCCCGAGCGGTTTCCGCTTCTCAGTTGTCGAACTCTTTCACTTCGCGGCGCTTTTTGGCTTGCGTGGTTTCGTATAGTTTCCCACTTTTCTGGTCCTCGCGTTTTGACTGCCTCCCAAGATGTAGCGCGAGCGGGTTCCAGCTCTTTGCGTCGCTTTTTTTTGTCTCTTTCTTTTGCCATCTTAAGGCACGACGTCCCGAGCCTTGCGGAGCCTTTGAGCCGTTAACTTTCAGCAAAAGACAGCACGGAACAGAAGAGCCGCGCGCCCTAGGCTCTGCGATTTTATTTCGGCGCCGATTTTTTGCCTAGAAATCGCCAAAGTTAATAGATGAAAAGCCGCGACCGAAGCCGAGAGAAGCAAGGGAACAAAAACCGAAAGGAGACAGCGGGAACCCCGCCGAGCCACATGCCAGAAGACCCACAAAGAGACACGCCAATCCGAAAGAACATTAGGCAACGACAACAAAAAAAGACGCCTGACGGAGAACATTAGGCAGCGAAAACAAGACAGAAAACAAGAACACCACTGCACGGCGCACGCAAAGA